GATAGTACCAGGCCTTTAAAGTTTGGTATTTTTGGAAAGGATAACCACAAGACCCCTAAAGAGGCCTCAAAATAAAATTTATTCACAAACCTGTATAACTTGAGCAATTTGTTTAAGTGCCCTTTCACTTGTTTTTTGCACTTTTCCATGTGTATCCGTCAATGCCTCACACAATTTTGGAACAATTGCAGGAAGGGAAGTAGAAAGTTGGCGAGGAGCACAATTTGACATTGCTCCTAAAAGAAAATTTAATTTTAAAAAGCTTTCAAAAACCTAAAAGCTCAGCAGATGCACATTTTGTCCTCCAAGAATCATCATCAAGTCCTTTTAACAACGATGGTAATAATAATTTAACTCCGTGAGCAGAAAGTGAACGCCTTCAAAAAAATTTTTTTTATTTTTAAAAAATTTATTAGAAAAAATCTGCACATCATAGCTTTAGCAGTATCATCAGCAGTTCTTCTAACTGCTTCAGAAGTGTCTCCAAAAGCTGTAAGAAGGTCAGGAAGTAAATGAACGAGATAAGGCTCGAATAATTTTCCAACTGTGCTAAAAATTAAAGAAAAAATTTAAATTAAGATTTAGGTGGATGTTTTGATAGACTCCTATTATAAGAGCTCACAATATTTTTGTGAGTTTAAGAGTCCATCCAAAAAACAGAAGACAAAAAATGACAAAAAATTTCTAGACGGTCACTTAAAATGTCAGATACCCTCCTTCCACACAACCGATAAACCAAATTTAAAATAATAAAAAAATTTTCAAACCTGCAAAGAATTTCAATACAAAGAAGAGCACCTTCCCTAAACAAAGGTTTTTGTTTTTGTGCCAGCATATCTTTAAGCCTCGAATTTATATTCATTTGTTTAATTGAAGCAACTCCAAGTCCTTTTATTATACTTCCAATTCCATAAGCTGCCCCTCTTCGTTCTCCATAACTTTCAGCACTTGTAAGTAACATAAACATATTCTCAATGAGTGTACTTGCATCATTTTTTAGGGATGGGATAAGTGCTGGAAGACAACCAGCAACTGATTCTTGGACCTATACAAAAGAAAATGCGTTTGAAGACTAGTTTATTATTTAAAAATTCAAAATTATTACAAGCCGAACCTTACCATCATTTTGAAATCCCCTTGAGAGGCATCCCATGAATTGGGGCTAAGATTATCCAGTGGGGCTGAGGAGCTAAAGCCTTTTTTAGGGCTGACAAATGAGGGGGAAGTCTTTTTCCCCCATTCTCCATAAGAAATGAGGGAAAAGGAAAGTTTTTGCGCCTACGACCTCCTCAAAAATCTTCGGCAGCGGCGCTGAAAGAATAAAATATAGGCTCAAAAAAATTTGCGTACAAAGCGCCAAGTAAAAGCCAAAACTTTGACGCTAATTTTAATTTATTGGACACCTTCCCCTATTACTCACATCAGTTCAATGTGTGAGTATACATTTTTTATAAGAAAATAAAAACCTGTTGAGACGGAGTAGAAAGAGCTTCAATTAATCTCGCAACAATTTTTCGTACTTTTGTATTGTCTTCTTTCAAATATTGAGCTAACGTTCCTATTAGTACAACCAGTCCTTGTCTCAAATTATCATTTTTTGCCTCCTTCGTTAATTTATTGAGTTGTTCTTCAATAAAAGGAAAAAGTGTGTCAACCATTTCAGAGCCATGCTGAAAAAAAAATTTTCAAAAAATTTCAAAAAAATTTTCAAAAAAAAACGTTTTGTATAGTTTTTGCTGCAGCATTTCTCATTAAATTTCTACAAGTTTCGGCTCTATCATTTAAACCATATGGGACTACCAAGTGTAAAAGAGACATAATTTGTTGAGGAGAGACAAGTGAATCGGTTATTAGAAAAATACCTAAAAATTTAGACTAGTAAAAGTAAAAATTAAAGGAAGAAACCAGTTGCAATTCCTTCTCTTTTTTCATAAGGATCAGATTCTTCTTTTATTTTACGCCCTACAGAGTCAAATTGAGCTGGTTGAAACTAAAAGAAAAAATTTTTTTGAGAGACAAATTCTATATTTTTAAGAAATATCTACTCCCAAAGAATTATCTTTTTAAACCATCAGGCAAATAATATGACCAAATATTAACAGTATAATTCAACTCCACGGGTCTATGGAGTTCAGAGCCTTTGGACATAAGGGACTCACACGAACTTTAAGTATTCCAAAATCTGAACTCAAGCGCGTAATCAAGGTGTCGATTTTGGGAGGGGAACTAGAATGGGGTTTCACGTTTTCAATAAAAACCATTTTGTTTCTTTAAGTTAATGGGTCTTTGGAGTTCATGACTTTGGACAAGCAATTTGTCAGCAAATTTTAAAAAATTGTCCTGCAAACTAATTAAATAACCCTCACCTTCTTCTCAAAAAAATAAAAAAAAATTTCCCCCAAAAACCCCAAAATTCAAAAAAAAACCTTCTCAAATTGTTTATAAAGTATTCCCATTTGTTTAAGCATTCCATCAACTTCAAGAGGGAATAAAATAGCCAAACTTTGCATAGATTTTCCAGCATCTTCCCTCTTCAATTTTTTATCATCATGTAAATATAAAAGTAATGTCTTGTAAAATGTTGGAGACAAATTAAATTCTAAATTTTCCCAACAATTACAAGCATTTTGTGAACATTCCAAATTTGAATCATGTTTAGATAAATAAATATCACGAATAAATGATTGAAATAATTCTTTGTTGTTTTCAAAGGTTAGCTTTAATAATGGTGATATTGAATTTATTGCCTTGAAAAAAATAAAAATTAAATTAAAATTTAAAAAAAAAGTTAAAAATTAAATAGAAAAAAATTTAATAATTTAACTATCATTTTACTCATAAAAACTTTATTAATCAGAATAATTCTGGTATTTTTTATTTTATTATAAAATGCATTTTTTGGATTAAAAATTAGCATAAAAATATTTTCAGGAGAAAAATCAGAATAATTGTGTATTTTCGGAAAATCGAAGTAAGTAAATAATTTTTTCCGGAAGCTTTTACTATTATTATAAACGTCAGAATATTTGCGTTTTCCGGAAAATTAAAATCAGTAATTTTTAGGAAAACTTTTGTGTTTCTCCATTATTTCAAAAAAATCAGAATATATTTTTAATTCTGTATTTTTTCTAAATAAATAAAAAATTTAAAAAAAAACCTTTAAAATCACAATTCTTTTCAACACATTATCATCAAAAATATGTAAATTAATATTTTTAAAAAAATTAGACAATTCAACATCTTTTGTATTTATTAATTCTTTATTTGAATTAAACATGTCCAAAAATTGGTTTAAAGTTGTTTTTAAATCATTAATATATTCTATTGATGAATCCAAACAAATACAGTCAACTAGAAGTGAAGCTAATTTTAATAGTGGAGGTGAGGTTAATTCTTCTGGCTAAAATTTTTAAAAAATTAAAATTAAAAAATTAATTAAAAAAAATTTTTTTCGATTAATTTAGAGAAATTTTTTTGTTAATAAATGTATTTTTATTGTATTTAGCAAAATAAAAATGTATTTTCCGGAAAGAAATTAAAGAAAAAACACTTTCCGGGAATCAAAATTTATTTTTGTCTTACTATGTGTTTACGGAAAAAACAATTAATAAAATTAGAATTTTTGTGTATTTTTTTAAAAAGTCGTGTCCCATTTTCCGGAAAGCTATTCGATATCTATCAATATAAAATGCATTTTCCGGAAAAAAATAAATTAAGTGTTTTCCGAAATATTTTTGTTGTGTATATATAAATCAGAATTTTAAAATCAGAAATTTAAAATGTGTATTTTTATTTGTCTAAAAGAAAAACTGTATTTTCCGGAAAGTTTATTTAACAAAATCAGAATTTTTGTGTATTTTCTTTTACTCCAGAAAATTTTGTGTTTTTAATGTTGTATTTTCATTTTCAGAAATAAAGAATGTATTTTCCGGAAAGAAATAAAGAAAAATAAAGTGTTTTCCGGAAAGTTTGTTTGTATTTAATAAAATCAGAATTTTTGTGTTTTTCTTTTACTCCGGAAATTTTTTTTGTATTTTCTTAAATCAAAACAGAAAAACGACAAAATACAAAAATTTGTATTTTAAATCAGAATTTAATTATTTAATTATTTACCTTAATAAATTTATTATTGACCGCATTTTGTAAAAACTTTGCAACTTTAATTCTCAAATCAACATCAAACTTTTCTGGTGTTTTCTTCAAAAATTGTTCAAAGAAGGGTAATAAGAAGGCTAATTTTGCTGCAGTTATTTTAATTTCAATTTCATCTTCCTCCTCCAAATTTTCATTTCCTTCTTCTTCCCCTTCTTCTTCTTCCAATAAATTTAAATATAAAAAACATGAAGACGAAAGTAAATGAAATGATTGACGTATTTGTTCTTCCAATGAAATTTCACACCAATGATCCATTAAAAATTTTGAATCCAAAACTCGTAATGTTGCGTGGGAAATTAATTTGTCTTAAATTAAATTAATTTTTGTTAACAAGGGAACATTTCGAACTGTGACCAAGAATTTTTAAATAAAAATTATACCATCGTGTAGAGCGTGGTCGAAAACGTATTGTAGTACCCGGCTTTTCTTCCCTTGCCCCCCCCCCCCATTTCGTATAGTTATAGGGCTTCAAAGTTTTAGCCTTTTGGAGTGGTTGAGTCTCCCTCATAAAGAAAGAATTTTCTTTTATTAAGCAGAAAAATAAGACTCCCATAATAAGACTCCCATATTTTTGAAAATTAAAAATGAATTCGGGGAAATTTAAAAAAAATTCTAGTCGTGTTTGGAAACTTCCTTCATACTTGACCTATTCTCATACTCTTTTTATGAATTAATCATATTTTCCTTATCCCCATTTTTAACCTATACTAGATTATCTTCCAAACTCTAATTCATCAGTTTCCCAATTCCCCATTTTTTTGAATTTTTGACAAAAAAATTTTTACTCGTTTTCCAAAAAAAAAGAAAACCCAACAATACTCTTTTTAAAGGACCACCAATTTAATTTTACAATTTCCCTTCTAATAACAAAAAAACCTTACAAAGATCATCAGAAGTCACTTCAAAAATAGCATCTCTAAAAGAAAGATATCCTCTAACAGCAATTTTAGCAACCAAAGGAGACTTGATTAAAGGAACAATATAATCATAAAATATATTTATATAGGTGAAAGCAAACTAAAAAAAGAAAATTTTTATGAATCGAGGTCAAGTCTAGTGGCAATCATTAAAAAAAATTTTTTTTTAGAAAACCTCAAAAAATTGCAAAAAAAAATTTTTTTAAATAAATTCTGGTCAATTTTAGCGTCATCCCTTTAAAAAATTTTTTCAGAAAAAAATTTCAAAAAATTCCCAAAAATTTTTTTTAAATAAATTCAGGTCAGGTCTAATGTCATGTCTAAAAAAATATTTTAAAAAATTCAAAAAATAATTTTTTTTAATTAATTTATTACCCCAAAAACCCCCAAAAAATAAACAAACAAACCTGAGGTTCCTTTTTACAAGCCATAAAAAGTAATTTGACTTTTCCTTCAAATAAATCATGCAATTGTTTAAGCGACTTGCGAATCTCCTAAAAATTAAATTTAAAAAATTTTTTCCAAAAATTTCAAAAAAAACCTCCTCATTTTTGAGTTCCAATTCAACCGCTTTCTTCTGCTTTTCAGTTAATATTCCAGCTTTTCTATTTTTATCAGCAATTTCTTTTCGTAATTGTAAATCGGCCAGTTGGTCTTTGTATGATGCAAAAGAATAATCTCTTTTGATATTTTTTGGAATTTCTATTATATCTGCATTTCTATGAAGAAAAAAATTTTTTTAAGAAGAGAATGAAAACAAAATTCTAAAAGGTACTTGTGAGTTATTGCGGACATTTTTTGCGGACGGACTATTCTCACAGTTAAGGCCACAGGAAATAGAATGAATTTATATTAGGATAAGTCAGACCATTTTTTACATATGAATGAGTCCGCAAAAAATATCCGCAAGAACTGGTGACTCACAAGTACCTTCAAAAATAATTTTATGACAGAAAAAAGTTGCCAAAACTCCTCATACCCATTCCCACAAAAAAATCTTTTTATTGAATAACTCCTCTATCCAGTAAAAAACCCCAAAAATGAGTCATTTTCAGACTTTTTTCCTTTCACAAAAAATGGAGCAGAAAAACCAGAGCCGTACTGATCTAAAAAATCCGCAAATAAAGTCCGCAAAAAATTTCTCAAAATTGTCACTCCTTCAGCCATAAGAGAGAGGTACTTGGAAAGTATTTTCAGAATAAAGAACAGAAAACAATGTTAAACTTAGAGTTCAAGACAATTAAAGATTCAGCCACATTTTTAGAAATTTTGACTGAAATTTCCATGAATTTCCCCAAAATACCCCAAAAAGAAAAAAAAACAAACTTTTCAATAACTTCTTGATTAAACAGCGTCCCTTCAGCCGTCTCATAAATTTTAAGTTGACGTTCTTCCACATTTAAATATTTTTGAATATCAATAGATTTAAAGGCTTCTGATGCTTTTTTCCATAATTCTGAATCTGATGCCATTTTATTTTTTTAAAATTTGATTGGTTTTTGATAAATCTAGAAAAAAATTAATGAAAATACATGCTAAAATTCAGAACAAAAATTTCAAAAAAAAAACACCTAATTTTGGAAACCCCACAAATAGAGTGCGACACGGGAGGGATCCCGGGCGGGATTTTACGAGATCCCGTCCCAAAATCCCGGGTTTTTAACGATGAGCGGGATTAGATTAATCCCGCGGGATCCCTCCCGTTCAGTTTTTTCAAACTCAATCCCGTTACCGGATCCCGGAAATGCGATTTTGCCGATCTCTGCCCAAAAATTATTCAAATTTCCAGACTCTAATGGTATATAAAACAAAACGCCAAAAATTATTTTAATGCCAAAAACTTTTTCTTTTAAATAATTTTTAGTTAGTTGTAAAATTTAGTCTCAGGAATAGTTTGTGAGTCTTTATTAGAGATCGGAATTTTGAAAAAAACCGGGTCCGGGAACCGGGAAACGTGTTCTGAAGGTAGACCGGGAGGGACCCGGACCGGGAAAACCGGGAATTCCCGTTCCTAGTTTCATCCCGGTTGCTTCAAAAAACCGGGAAAAGGGACCCGAAACCGGCAAACGGGTTCGGATTCCCGGACCCGTTTCAATCTCTAGTCCTTATTCAGACTTGTAAAAGTAACTTTTAATCGATTCATAAACTTAGATTTTCTTTTTTTTTAGTTAATTTTAAAAAAATGACTACAGATCCATTTAAATGGGAAGAGGCTTATACTGACGGTTTTTTTATTTTCTTAATTAAAAATTTTTTAAAAATAAATTTTAAAGATATTTGTATACAATCTGCACTTCAAGAAGATGAAAATGGTTCCATGGAAAATGCAATTCGACGAATCATTTCTGAAGAAAAGAGACTTAGAAGAAATGAGGGAAGACCGACTAGAATACGTCTTGGAATGGTTTTTTTTAATTTTTTGGGGGTTTTATGACCAGACCTTTTTTTTATTTGTTTGGTTCGTTTATCGATTTCTAGGGATTCCTCTTTTTTTCTGATTTAATCTGAATTTTTCTAAATTTTTTTTATTCTGTTTCGCTTTTCTTTTCTGATTGTTTATTTTGATTTTTTCGTTCTGATTTTAATTCTTGAGGTTTTTATGGTTCTCCTCATCTTCTGATTTTACCAGAAATTTTTTTATTCTGATTTTTCAATGTTGTTTAGGGTCCTCTTCCGTTAATGTCCATTTCTCTTCATCTCTTTGATTCTATAGGATTTTTTATGATTTTTCGTTCTGCTTTTATTTCTCGGGGTTTTCTCCATATTTTTTCTTATTTGTTCTCCTTACCTTCTGATTTCACCAGAAAATTTATTTTATTCTGATTTTTCTTTTGTTCTAGGGTCCTCTTCCGTTACTTCCATTTTTCTTCATCCCTCTGATTTTACAGGATTTTTTCTGATTTTTTGTTCTGATTTTAATTTTGGATTTTTAGTGTTCTCCTTACCTTCTGGTTTACGAGAAATTTTTTTTATTCTGATTTCTGTTTTTTTTGGGGTCCCCTTCGTTGCTGTCCATTTCTCTTCATCTCTCTGGTTTTACAGAATTTTTTCTGTTTTTATTTTTCGGATTTTATGGTTCCCCTCCCGGTTTGTCCATTTCACTCTTCAAAATATTACCCAAAAAATTATTTTTTTATTTTTAAGATGCGACATGTCTTTGTTGGTATTGATCTTTCAACATCAATCCTTTCAAAAGATGTTGAACCTAGTAGATTACGAGTTGTGAGGGAATGTCTATTAAATTTTGTAAATAAATTTTTTGAGCTCAATCCTTTGTCTGCTGTAAGTTTTTTTGGTAAACTTTTGAAAAAAAAATTTTTCAATTTTTTTAGATGGGTCTAATAATTGGACGTGACAAGAAGGGTGATTGCTTTTGTGGATTTTCAAGTATTTTTTTTTGAATTTATTAGGGAGGGGATTGATTTTAGGGCCCTTTGACTGAATAAAGCACTTGATAAATTTTCTATTTTTGAAAGAATGCTAAAATTAAAAATTAATTTTTGGGAAGGGAAGAGGCTTAAGTCTAGTTTAAGGCTTAAGTCTAGTGACTGAGGCCGGACCGGATCCGGCCGGATTTTTTCGGAGTCCGGGTCCCAATTCTTTGTTTTTTTCGCAATCTCCGGATTCTGTTTCAAAAAAATGCCAAAATTAAAAATTAAGTTTTATTTTTCGGGAGGAAAGAAAAATTCATGCCATCTTTACCCTAATTTTGTGGGGTTTTCTTGAAGTCATCAGTTCTAGGCTCATTTTCCCTTCCTGAATTTTTATATTTGGTCTAGTCCCTCTTTTTTTACTAACTATTTTTAGGAAATTTTTTTAAATTTTTATAACTTCTCGTGATTTTTTATATATTTTTGGCTTGAAACGACATATTTTAAACCTTGTTAATTTTTTGCAAATTTATTTAGATGCCCAAAATTTTTTTTCTAGTTACATATCACATCCTCGAAACTAGTTTAATTTTCCTAATATGTGTTTGGGGCTCTTTCCAATTTCTACCACCTTCTATTTTTCAAGGTAGTCTTCAAAAATTGACTGAAGCATTTAATTCTCTCAATGAAGCGTCTTGTGGTGGAACAGAATTTTCTTTACATTCAATGCTGGAAACTGCTTTAAATCATTTTAGGTTTCTTTTATAATTTTTTTAAAATTTATTTTTTTCTTAAAAAGAAATGTTCCTGCCCACACAAGCAAAGAATGTATTTTTATTGTTGCAAGTTTGAGTACTATTGATGCTTCTAGTTTAAAACAAATTTATGAGGTTTTTTTTCAAATTTTATTTTTTTTTGGTGGATTTATTAGAGATAGTCTTCAAAGCTTCTTTTTCCTAATTTCTCCAAAAGTTGTGCTAGTTATAATATTATCCTTTTTTAATTTTATTTCCTATGGGTAGGTAGTCTTTAGAACTTTCATGTCCAGTTGATAAATGTCCTAACGCCAAAAATGCAAAGAAATGTGTGCATTCTCTTTGCGGACATGTAGAGAGTCATCTGGCCATTTACCTTCCTAATTTTCCAATAGTTTATAACGATGAATCTTTTCCTTTTTTAAGGAAAAAATCAATTAAAAAATTTTTAATTTTTAAGCAATTAAAAATGCAATCTGTTCGTTGTTCAATAATTTCTTTTTTGGCTGAAGTTTATGCTTTTAAAAAACTTTGTGTTACTACACAAGGTAATTTTTTTCTTTATCGAAAAAAAATTTTTTTCGTTTAAAAATTTCAAAAAAAAATTTTTTTGAAAAAATTTTATTTTGAAAATTTTGAAATTTTTTTTAAATTCTTCAAAAATTTTTTAAAAAATTTTTGAATTTTCAAAAAAAAATTTTTTATTTTTAAAGGAAAGTATGGAGTAGCTTTAGATAAGGAACATTTTGACCTTTTACTTACTGAACACTTACAACCTCCACCTCTCAAACCAAAACAAGGACATCAAGATAGTATTGTAAAAATGGGGTTTCCAATTAAAAAGGCGAAGAAAATTGTTTCTTTTTGTGCTTGGTAAAAATTAAAAAATTTTATTTTCCTTAAATTTATGACTTTAAATGGTTACTTTATTCTTTCGACAAATGTGTTTTTTAAAAAATGTAGACAAAATTATTTTTTGTTTGCTTCTTTTTTTTTCAATATACCTATTTAGGGTTGTTGGCGACCGGTTATTAACCGGTACCTCCGGTTTTCGGTTAATCTAAATTTTAGAAACCCGGTTTTCGGTTTTGTGTTTTAGGCAAATACCGGTTTTACTTTGGGGGAATTTTTAATAAAATCACTCATTTTCAGAAGTTTTTGGTTTTTTTTTAATTTTGTAAAAACGGTTAATTTTTGGCAAAAAATTTCAAAAATTCCGGTTTTAAAACCGGTCGCCAACAACCCCAATACCTATCTTGTTTTTAAGTCGAAAGGAAGGCAAAAAGTTCTGTTTAAAATTTGAAAAAAAAATTTTTTTTTAATTGAGCAAAACTAACCTCAAGTTTTTTTTTAAATTTTGACACAGCTCTGTTTGGTCTTAAAACGACTTGAAAAGAGTTCAGGAAAAAATTTTTTTTTAATTCTTGTAACCTCTCCAAATCGATTTTTTAATTATTAATTTATTTAAATTTCAAAAATTAATTTTAACAAATTAAAATAAAAAATATTTTTAGTCACGAATTGGCTGGTGATGCTTTAGACCTTTCAAAAGTTTATTTTTTTTTAATTTTTTAAATAAATTTATTTTATTTTTTTAAAGCAAAATGAATATGCTTATATTTGTCCGCAATGTGGTTCTCATTATTGCCAAACTCCTACAAATTGTCGTGTTTGTGGTTTGTTTTTTTTTTGAAATTTTTTTTGAAGTTAAAAATTTTTTAAACGAGAAAAAAATTTTCAAACTTTCAAAAAAATTTTTTTAATTTTCAAATAATTAAAAAAAATAATTTTTAAGGCCTTTTATTATTAACTGCACCCCAATTAGCACGTGCTCATCAACATTTGGAGCCGTTGCCAGCATTTGTGGAGTCTACACCGATTGAAGGGTTTCTTTTTTAATTATTTCAAGGGACTTGGGTTTCCTCTTCTTAATTAAAAAAGAAGGCAACGGTTTTTTAAAAGCATTTTTTTCTCAAGTCTCGATGCTTATTAGATGGATGTGGCTGGTTATAAAACACACGAGATGAGACTCGGTATTTTCTCCGACCCAAAATTTCAAACTTGATCCGAGAAGTTGTCAAAACTCCCCAACTGAAATCCTTACTTGACCATTTCTTTTGTGTCTCTAAACTCTAAAAAAAAATTTTCTTTAATTAAAAAAAAATTTTTTTTCTTTAAAGGACAACATGTTTTGCCTGTGATGAACTTTTATTTTCTTCAATTAAAGCCTATTTTTGCAAAAATTGTAATGCACAATTTTGTATAGAATGTGATATTCTTTTACATGAATCTTTACAAGTTTGTCCGTCTTGTGGTTAATTAAATAAATTTTAATTTTTTTTTGAATTTTTTTTTGATTTTTTTTGAACGATTTGTTTAATTTAAGTTCGTACATATTTTTTTTATTTATTTATCATTTAATTAATTCTTGTTTGATTTTTTGCGGATTTTTATTTTTTGCGGATTTTATATTGTCGCAGATTTTTTTTGCGGACTTTTTAAGATTTTTTTTAAATTTAAAGACGTGGTAGAATGTTGTTCTGTTGAACAAACAAGTATTTTGTGGAGTCTATCCCCTACACCATCAAGAAAATAAAATCCGCAAAATTTGTCCGCAAATTAGAAAAAAATTTTTTTTCTAATTTTCAGAAAATTTTTAGAATTTTTTTTCGTTTTCTAAAAAATGTCAACTTCAAATACGGGCGCAGCTGTTTCTCGTATGGTTAGGCCAATAATTTCTCAAGATTTGGTTGAAGCAAAATTAAATGTTTTAAAAATGTATAAACAATTTCAACGTGTAGCTAAACAACATTGGTGGGATTATAGTGAGTTTTTGAAGGATTTTTTAGTTAAAAATTTTAATTAAGGGGTTTTTAATCGGAAAAATTTTTTGGTTAAATTTTTGTCCGCAAAAAATTTTTTGTCCGCAAATTTAGTCCGCAAAAATTTTTTTGTCCGCAAATTTAGTCCGCAAAAATTTTTTTTAATATTTTAAAATATAAAATTTTTCCTAGGACTTCAAGATATTCCGTTGCCTGTATTCCGTGAAGTTTTGAAAAAAGAATTTATGAAAAATGCGCATATACAAGATGTTAGAATTATTGATAGAAAAGTTGAAGGTAAAATTATTTTGTATTTCATTTATTTTAAAGTTTTCCGGAAATTTGTGTTTTCTCAAAATTCTGATTTTTATTTAAAATAAACTTTCCGGAAAACACAAGAAATATCAGAATAAAATTAAAACATGTCTGAAATAGATGTTTGGATTTAATTCTGATTTTAGTAAAAATGTTCAAATTTAATTCTGATTTTACAACTTACTAAAAACTTTGTTTCCGGAATGTTTGCAGTTTTCTTAAAATTCTGATTTATATTTAGAATAAACTTTCCGGAAAACAAAAGAAAATACATTCTGGAATAATTATAACTAGGGACAGCCAAAACATGCAAATGCATGTTTTGTATGCGGATATGCCTTGAAGTGGGAAGCCCAAAAATGGTGTTTTTACATAGGTCCGAGCACTTTAGGACATGGTTCTTAATGCATATATTTGCATATTTCGACCATTTCGTGCATATTTGCATATTTGTGCATATTTTGGCAAATTTTGCATATTTTGGTCCATATTTCGGCATTTTTTGGTAAATTTTAGTAAAAATCGGCGAAAATTTTCAAAATTTTGGAATTTTTTGGTCAAAAAATTTTTTTATAAAAATTTTATGAAAAAATTTTTTCGAAAAATTTTTCGGAAAAATTTTCTTTCAATAAATTTTTATGCAGAAATCTTAATTCCATAAAATCTTTTAGGATTTATCTTAAATTGCAGTTTTAAAGGCTAATTTCGTGTTTTTAACTTAAAATATTGATTTTTAAAGCATATTTTAACTATTTTTTGGTGCATATTTCAGTGCATATTTTGGCAAATTTTGCATATTTTGGTGCATATTTTGGGCTTTTTCGGTGCATATATATGCGCATATTTGGCGATTTTCCGTGCATATTTTGGCTGTCCCTAATTATAACTTTCCGGTTGTATTTTTATTTTAATTGTGTTTTCCGGAAAAGTCTACTATTTTATATTCAAAAATACGTTAATATTTTTCAGAAGCTCGTCAGCATCTGGTTGCATTAAAATATTTTTTCTACAATGAATATCACGTTCGTAATATGCTCTTTGCTGAGAATATTGAGCCTAAACCGAAAGATTTTCTTTCCAAATTTTTGCATGGGAAAGATTAAAATAATAATTAATTTTTGTTTTGGATAGATATTATTGCAGGATTTTAAATGAATATTTTTTTGGATAAAAATGTATTTTTGTTAAATGTGTTTTAGAGTTCTGATTTAAATGTTTTTCTGAAATGTGTTTTTGTTTAATTCTGAAAATGTATTTTGTAAAAAATACAAAATTTGTTCTGAAAACTTTAATTAAAATAAACATGTTTGAATTTAATTCTGATTTTTAATTTAGAAGAGAACATGTTCTAAATTAATTCTGATTTTTACTAATTTAGAAGAGAACATGTTCTAAATTAATTCTGATTTTTAATTAGAAGAAACATGTTTGAATTTAATTCTGATTTTTATTTAGAAGAAACATGTTCAAAATTAATTCTGGTTTTGTTTTAAAAATAAAAACTTATTCTGGTTGAGAATAAGTTTGTGTGTTTCCGGAAATGTGTGTTTTCATTTAAATTCTGATTTTATTAAAACTTGTTCTGATTAAAATTTCTGAAACCTTTTTTCATAAAAGTTTATTTTTAAGATTAAATCAGAATTATAAGAAATACAAAACTTTAAGATTAAAATTCTGAAAAAAAGGTTAATTAAATATCTGGGTACATTTAAGTGGTAAAATTAATTTTTAAAAATTTAAATTTTTCGTTTCATTTTTTCTTCCAATTTATTTTTCTTTACATAGACTCATCAATATTTTCTTCATTATTATTTTCCTCTATATTTTCCCCATTAGTAGTAATTTTGTTGGAAGTTTCAGAAAGTGCCTCAAATCCTCTAAAAAAATTTTTTGAAATTTTTTAGTAAAAATAATTTTAAAAAAATATTTTATTTTTTAAATATACCCATTAGCAAATTTATTGAAGCCTCTAAAATTAAAATAAAAAATAATTCTGATTTCTAAATTTAAATGAACCCACCCATTGTAAAAAGGCTCACTTGTCTGTAAAAATCCACTAAAATTATTTTTTTTTTAATTTTTAAAAATAAGTAAATATTATTTTTACCCATTTTCGAAGAAGCCTCTAAAATTTAAGTTTAAAAAAAATATGTTTGAAAATAAAAATAAAAATTTACCCGTTAATAAATTTATTGAAGCCTCTAAAATTAAAATAAAAAATAATTCTGATTCTTATTTAATAAACCCACCCATTGTAAAAAGGTTCGCTTGTCTGTGAAAACCCACTAAAAATTATTTTTAAAAAATTTTTTAAAATAAATATTGTTTTTACCCATTTTCGAAGGAGCCTCTAAAATAAAAATTAAAGTATAAAAATATTTTTGAAAAAAAATTAAAATAAACCTATTATCAGTTGAGTTAACTTGAACGCTGAAAAGGAGAGAAATTAATATTTTCAGAATTAAAAAATAAAAAATATTAAAACCAGAATAAGTTTTGTATTTCAGAATTTGCAAAAATACATTTCCGGAAAAAACACATCTTTAATTAAAACACACCACTAATAAAAATCAGAATAAAATTCAAACAAGTTTAATAAACATGTTTGAATTTAATTCTGATTTGTTTCCGGAAAAGTTTGTAAAGTTTTCCGGTAATGTGTTTTTCTTTAAATTCTGATTTACATATATTTAAAATAAACTTTCCTGAAAACACAAGAAAATACAAAAATATTCAAAAAATACATTCCGGAATAATTATACCTTTCCGGTTGTATTTTCATTTATTTTAAATGTGTTTTCCGGAAATTCATTGTTTAGAATAAATTCTGATTTTAATTTTAAATGTGTTTTCCGGAAAGTTTATTGTTTTAAATTAATTCTGATTTTAATTTTAAATGTGTTTTCCGGAAAGTTTATTGTTTTAAATTAATTCTGATTTTAATTTTAAATGTGTTTTCCGGAAAGTTTATTGTTTTAAATTAATTCTGATTTTAATTTTAAATGTGTTTTCCGGAAAGTTTATTGTTTTAAATTAATTCTGATTTTAATTTTAAATGTGTTTTCCGGAAAGTTTATTGTTTTAAATTAATTCTGATTTTAATTTTAAATGTGTTTTCCGGAAAGTTTATTGTTTTAAATTAATTCTGATTTTATTTTAAAAATAAATGTATCCCTTACTTGTTTGTGTTTTGTTTCAGAATCGTTCCTTTAGACATCTTTGTAGGGTTGTAGAAAATTCGAGGTTGAAGCAAAAGATTGAAATTAAAGCTTAAATATTTAAAAATTATTTTTTAAAATATTTTTAATTAATTTTGATTTTAATTTTTAGTATTTCACAATCATTTATTTTTATTCCCCCCCCCCATATTTGTCCCCAATTATTACATAGTTGTTTACCTAATTTTTGTGTTGTTGACGTTATAATGATTATCCTCCAACAAAAAGCGTTCGCTTGAATTGACTGCTTTTTCACTATTTGCACTTTGAGTTGTCAATAAAGCTGGAAACTACGAAAAAATGGAATGAGAAGAGACGTGAAAAAAAAGAAAAAAAAGAGAGAAAAAATAAAAGAAAGTGCCATTCTCGAAAGAATAACTAAGCTGTGCATTGGCGTTTAAGAGAAGTAAACGCCAAAAAGAAAAAACCGGAATAAGTTATAAATAAAAATACAATAAAAATACGGAAAAACACAAAAATTAAAACTTTCCGGATTCTTGTTAAATCAGAAAAACACAAAACTTTAATTAAAACACAACTCTAATAAAAATCAGAATAAAATTAAAACAAGTTTAATAAGTGTTTTAATTTTATTCTGATTTTTATTTAATTTAGAAGAGAACAAGTTTTAAATTAATTCCGGTTTTGTTTAAAATTAATTCTGATTTTGTTTTAATTTAATTCTGATTTTGTTTTAATTTAATTCTGATTTTGTTTTTATTTAATTCTGGTCCTGTTTTAATTTAATTCTGATTTTTATTAGTGTGTTTTCCGGAAAATTAAAAATAATTTTTATTAAAATACAAAAAAAAAATACAAAAATCAGAATATTTAATTAAAACATGTGTTTTTCAACAATCAGAATTAATTTTTGTATTTGCCGGAAAAGTTTAATTTTATTTTAAACTAAATTTAAATTAATTTTTACCATTTTGTTAAAAATCTGAAGCAAGTTGTCAAGGTAATAAAGAATTGTATTAAAATATTTAGTTAGCTGTCAAAAATTAAAAACTAGAAATTAAAGTTGCTTAATGGGTGAGAATTAAAAATGGATTGGAAAATTTTTTAAATTTTTAAAATTTTTTAAAAAGGTTCAGGACAAAGATTGATTTTTTTGGAGTTAAATTTAAAATTGAAAAATTATTTAATAAATTTAAAAAGATAAAAATTATTTTAAAAATAATTTAAAGTCTCCCAGTATTTTCCAAAAAACTAAAAAATAAATATTCCTTTCCCTATTTTTCGTCTAATTATTTTTAGCCTATTTCTCAAGAGAAATAAATTCCCTTCTTAAATATTCTTAAGAAAATTAAAAGAATTATGGCCAACAATAAACTAAAAATATATAAGAATAAATTTATCTTCAAGAATTATTTATTTTGTAAAAATAAAGATACTAATCTGCAAAAAGCTTTGTTTTGTATTTTTAGATTAAAAAACATTTGTTTATATGAACATTATAAAGGCGTTTAATCCGACTTAAACACAATTGTTTATTTATTATGTTGTATGTATTTTTGATATTTCCGAAACACATTAATAAAACTTGAAAATCAGAATTATTTAAAATCAGAATTATTTAAAAATCAGAATTATCTAAAAATCAGAATTATTTAAAATCAGAATTATTTAAAATCAGAATTATTTAAAAATCAGAATTATGTATTTAAAATCAGAATTATTAAAAATCAGAATTTCAGAATTTACAAAAATACAAACTTGTTTAATAAAATCAGAACAAGTTTATTCAATACAAAATAAAATCAGAATTAAACTTTCCGGAAAACACAAAAAAACACAAAAATTAAATCAGAATAAAATTTTGTATTTTTAAAAAACAATTTCAGAATTTACTCTTTCCGGAAAATACAAAACACAAAAAATATTCTGATTTGTGTTTCAAGTTTATTTAAATTAATTTAAATTCTGCTTACAGCTGTATAAACAAACAGAAGCAGATTTTGCTTCACCTTTAATTTCAATAAAAGAAAATTTAAAAATCTTTCTAAAATTAATTTTTTTCTCTTTTTCATGCTAGCAAAATTATTATTGAATTTTTATTTTAATTTAATTTTTAATTTTAATTTTTTTCTGGTTGATGGATTGGATGTAGACAACGGTTTTTATAAAAATTTCAATATTTTAACCAAAATAAATTTTTTAGTCGATGTAATTAATTTATTAAAAAATACACAAGACCCCTACAAAGTATTTCACTTAAAAAAGGGTGAAAAATTTACAAGAGAGGACCTCGAAAATAATTATGAAACGGTTAAACAATTAATTGAAGCAACTGAAAATGAAGAAGACAAAGATGAAGCATTGAAAAGTTGCTTCTAATATTTAAAAAAATTAAAAAAATTTAATTTAGAGTTGGACGAATTTAAAGAAAAGCTGGTTGAGAAGGCTATTGAAAAAGGTAAGTGGAATTAATTAATATTTTATGGTTGATGAAAAGTTGAAGCAAAAAAAAATAAAAAAAATTTGAAGCAAGTTTTGGGGGAAAAATATTTTGTGGGGAGAAAACTCGCGGGATAAATTAAAACTTGAAGCAACAAGCTTTATTTAAATTAAACTTGAAACAAAACTTAGACTTGAAGCAAAAAAAAAAAATAAAACTTGAAACAATTAAACTTGAAACAAAAAACTTGAAACATCCAAGTTTTGAAAATAAAGTTTGTTCTATTTTTTTATAGAAGGCCCTGTAGATGCCGAGCCTGAAGAAGAGGAGGTTACAGAAAATCATGAAGGACCTGAACAACCTTCTGGGGAAGCAACTGAAAATAGTAAAGAAACTAAAGAGGAAGAAGGGGAAGATGGCCCAAAGGAGCATTTAAAAGAAGAAAAGGAGGGGGAAGAGGGGCCAAAACATGAAGAAAGTGGGGAGACACACACTAAAGAAACTGAAGAAGAACAGAAAGAGCCTAAAATTGATGAGGATGGAGGGAAAGAGAATGAGGATGGGCCCAAAATAAAGGGTAATATTCTAAAAATCTCTGAGATATCACACGAAGTCTTTGAGTTATCACACCATTATAAGAGCTGTCCCAGGGATATGGATACTTGAGAGATTGGGAGTGATGTGTGGGTGAATAATTTTTTACTTATCACGCCTTTAAGAGATGTCACAAGGATAGAGATAAGTGAGAGTGAGATAGACAGGGTGTGATATGTGGGAGATGAAAGAATCTCTGACTTATCACACCATTATGAGAGATGTTCCAGGGGATTAGGATAAATGAGGATGGACCATACATGGACCAGACAAGGTGTGATAAGTGAGAGAGAAAATGACTTTTGACTTAAAGGTATGGGGTATCTAAGAGATTTTTAATGGAAGGGATAGGCTAAAGCTTTTCCTTGATAATTCCAAAAATTCTTAGAAGAAAAGAAAAAGAAGGCTGGAAAAGCTGAAAAGAAGGAAAAAGCTGAAAAAAAGGAAAAAACTAAAAAAGAAGTTGAAAAGAAGACTTCAAATGGCAAAATTTCAAAAGAAAAAGCAAAAGAAAATGAAGGGCTCCCATACAAAATACCGAATTCTTAAAATATGGAATCTCAAAATCGCGAATCGGCTAAAAAAGCTCAAAATATGGAATCTCAAAATATCGAATCTCAAAATATGGAATCCCAAAATATCGAATCGGCCAAAAAAGCTCAAAATATCGACAATGCGGCAAAAGCCAGTTGAGTCTGAACAATTTTATCAACAACTTCGAAAAAATTTAAAAATATGCAAAAGGGTTTTTCTATGGTAAAAAAATATGCTGATTACGAATCTGAGCTCGGATTTTGAAAAAGTCGAATCCCAGACCCGAACCGAGCTTCGAATCCCGAACCCGATTTCGATTTTCCGAATGATAGCTCATTTGAAAGAGCACGTCGAGCTGCATCGACTGACACCAAAATCAATGAAATCCGACTTTATTGGACTGAGATACAGACCCCTGAATAAACTGAAAAAGACCTGCACTCAATTGGCGGCACTCAAACGGCCCTTTTCGATTTAAAAAATTCGACATTTTTAACTACTTTTTAGCCGATTCGGTATTTTGAGCATTTTAGCCTATTCGAGATTTTGAGATTCGATATTTTAAGATTCCATATTTTGAGCTTTTTTGGCCGATTCCATATTTTGAGATATTTTTCCCGATTCGGTATTTTGAGCTTTTTTAGCCGATTCGCGATTTTGAGAATTCGGTATTTTGTGCGGGCACGAAATGAAGGAATAAATAGCCATAGCAATTCGGAAGATTCCTCAGCTTCGTCAGAAGACCAATTTGAGGATGGCCCGGATATTGTTAAACGTCCACCTGTCGGTTCGGAAGAATTGCCAAGTGAAAAAACAGTTCATTGGCCGGAAACGGAAGCGGATGAGAAAAGAAGAAGAGAGAGAAAGAAGGAAAAGGAGAGACGAGAGAGAAATAGAGAGGAGGAGGAAAATAAACGTTCAAATCAAAATAAGGGTAATTAACTTAAAATTATTTTAATCGGAAATTGATGAGGAGAATAAGGTTAGGTTTATGGTTAGATACATAAGTGAGAATAAAGATTTTTGGGAATTTTTGGTTTATTACCCCGAAGGGATGAGAGCTTTTCTAATTGAGAGAGGCCCTTCTCAGCACCTCTAAAAAATTTTCCAAAGCCAATGGGTACTTCCTAGTCATTAAGCCTTCACCTGGTGATTGTCTAACGTTAAACCTTTCAATTTCTAGTGGAACCCGAAGAAAATTCTGATGAGAGTGGACCCAAACTAGTTGAGGAGTCCGAATCTTCTGAATCACCTGATGACGAATATGAGCGAAGATCAAAAGAAAGAGAACAATTAACACATGGATACACTCCAACTTTTTGTAAAAAATATATCCATCGATGCTATATTGAAGAATATATGAGGGAAATGACTACTCACTGTAGAGGTTCTTTAAAATCATTTTCAGAGGCTTGTGTAGTTTACCCCCCATAAACTCCGCCCCTTTTTTCCTTCTCCTTTACCTTACAAGACTGCCATAAACAAGAAGGTAAATATTGACCCAACTGTTATTTTTTAGGAAGAAGAAAAGAGAAGAAAAAGGGGCGAGGCCTATGGGGGGTAAACTACACAAGAATTCTCTTTCAGACTAATGCCCAGTTTAATAAATTTAGATATTTGTGATCTATTGGGGACTTTGAATGTTGATATTGGACTTAATTGTGAAGAATTGGCGTTAAGCGGACTCTGTTCTGACGGAATGTGGGGTGATAAGATGGATAAGTATTGCCATAGATCGTGTACTAGTCTTAGAGGGAAAAGATGAGGATCGACTTTTTAGAGGAAAAGGACCTTAAGAATAATTTTTAAAAAGGACTAAATTTTGAAACTCATTGCTGAAATACTATGTGATTTTAATAAAGCTAATCTCAGATTCCTAGATTCAAAAGAAAAAGGGACTCAAATGTCTTGAGGTACTAAAAGCTTGTGACTCTGAAGGACGAAAAAATTTCACAAAATTTTGAAGGAAATTTTTTTCCAATTTAAAAGGCTATCAGTATATTCTATAAGATGGCCGAAAATATTTATTACACAAATATTTGCTTAATCATAATTAATTTTTTAACTGCCATTTTGTAACAATCTCTTCTCTCCCATTTCTTTCCAATTATATTCTTCAATCTACTTGCTGTTAGCCCAGTTAACGCGCAATGGTCGTCCATTCATCTCAACTCCGTTCATTTTTTGAACAGCATTTTCTGCTCCTTGTTGGTCTTGAAACTCGCAAAAACCAAAACCTTTTGAACGATTGGTGTTGCGATCAATGACTATGCTATAAAATTAGATTATAATTTTGCTAGGAAGCTTCAAATCGTATTAATTTTGATTCTATCGAACTCAGAGCGACGAGACGCGTCGAATGATATATTATACGCCTAAGAAATAAAATATTTACCCCAACGGGGTTCGAACCCACGACCCCTAGAAACCTCCGACAAACAACTAACCCACTACACCACATTTACAATTTTTCTAAAAAAACAAGGAAACTAACTGGACGTTGGTGACAACACCACATGACGAAAACATATTCCCAATGTCATTCTCTGTAGTATTATATGGAATGTTTCCAACTGAAATTTAGTGAGATTAAATCAACTTGTAGAGTTTTTAAGGATTTCAAGCCCTTTTAAATATTTTTATTTGTTCTCTCATAGTCAAAGAAGTTAATTCTCATGGTCTCATAGTCAAATTAAGAGGTAGCAGATGAAAATAGCTCTATAGTGAATGCAATAATGATAAGTTTTTTAATACAAAAAGAAAAAATGAGTTGAAAATTTTCGGAGTGTACGCCTACCGGCATCCTCTCGGATGCCTGTCCGCAAATGTCGTATGACCGAATTTCCCAAATTTTTAAAAAAAATAAAACATTTTCAACTCATTTCTACAACAAAAAATTGAGCAATTCACATACACACAAACATACCTCAAAAGTTATTTTCTGCTCTTCTACCGGGACCAATCTCATCTGATTGTGTTTTTGATTTTATGACGTCATAGAGACATTGTGTCAAGATCTCTTTCTCCATCACATCTCCGCTATATTATTTTTTTAACTAAAAATTTAGCCCATCTATTTATTATGACACCAAATTTTTCCTTTATTTTCCCACAAATGAAATAAAACTTTTAATCACCATAAACACTAAAACCAGAAGCAGCCATTCTTTAAATTTTGTTTTTAACTTGATAAAACTTGAAGAAAATCTGAAGAAAATTAGAGCAAACTAGCACACAAAAGAATCTCTAAAAAATTTAAAAAATTAATTTTAGAAAATTAGCTAAGAGAATTAGCGACAATCTGAGAAAAATTAGTCACTGAAAATGCTCAGTCTAACCAGAAAGAAATTCTCTTCCACGTAACTAAAATCGATAGAATAAAAAAATAATAATAATTTGTTTCACAACGAAAATAAAATTTTTTGGCAAGAAAATAAATTAATACTTAAATATATTTAATTGCTAAACCGAAAATTAGAATCTTAAAACCTCTGGTAAAAATTAGAAAAGTTTAGCTTAAACTGCAAAAAATATCCTATAAACTGTGCTAAACGTTAAAAATAAAAAATAAAATAATTTCAGACTCTAACGTCTTCTTTACTCTTCAAAAAAAATTAAATTTAATTAAACGAAATAGTGTTGACAGAGAAAAAGAGAAAATGAGAGACAGTGTAGAATAACAGTTAGAGAATTAAATTTGAATTTCAAATTGGTAACTTTTGTTAGATATTTGAGTCTTATTTCCGTTGGTCTTCCCATATTTTCTTTCCTTTTTTTAATTTCTTTTAATTTTAAATCGCGACACGCCCAAGTTGGCGCGTGGCTATAACGGCGTTAAGCCATAATTTGCTGGAAAATTTCTGGTCCTTATCAATTTTCTTAACAATCTTATTAGCTCGATGAGAGGAATCGTTTGATACTAAATTTGGTAAGATTCGGAAATCTTGAAGCAAGTTAAGGCTTTGCGCCGTTATGGCCGTGCGCCTACTTGGGCCTTTTAAATCTTCAAATTAAATTCTAATCATTTCAGGCCTTAGTTTCCCAATGCCTTTAACAACTCGCTCAGTCTCCCCAGTAAATTTATCCCTTCATCGACTCCCCGATTCTGTCAAACAAGACGAACTTCAATGCATTACAAACGGAACATTTGCAAATTTAATAAGACAATTGAGCTCTTTAAGTCGACATGCTCAACAAATATTTTCTGATATCCACAGGGAAGTATTGAAAATTGATCATAGAACAAACACTTTATTTTTGCGTGTTGAAAGGTTAGCTCAAAAAGTTGCTCAACAATCACAAAATTCGTTGGACCAGAGTAAGCTGATTTTTTTATTTTATTCAGGGCATGTTGGGTGATTTCTAGGAAAATATACGGAACCTTTATTTGAACTAGAGATACTTATTGTTGGGTTGATCCAACTGAACCTTTCAATTTCCGGACAGTGTGGCTTTACCAATTTTTCAGAACCGGGGAAAGTCCTGTTATGAATTTGTTATCAGTTCTGGGTATGCGCTAAGGACTAGTGAACGAGCTGGACCAGGACCACGTCCTGGGTTTTTCCTGTGCCCAGAGTCTAGGCCCAGGCATTTTTTGACCTTCTTTTGTTTTTCCTGAACTTCAGGCTTAAGATCCGACCCATGTCAATAAATCAAATCCGGAAACGGGCCCAGGCATTTCAAAAATCTCGATCACTACTAGGGACCTTTAACCCTAATCCTGACTTATTTTGGCTTAGAATATCCTTAACCACCAACCTTATTGTTAGTTTAGCTGGTTTTTTGAGGGGTCACCCTTTTCCTTTTCCAACCTTTTTTGATTATAGTTACAAGTTAATTCAGAATATATTTTTTCTTGTTTTTTCCTTGTCCTAGTAAAGCTCATGTCAGTGTTCATTTTCCCTCAAAATCTACTCTATTTTTACAAAAAAATTTAATTTCAGCAAATTTGGAAGAAGCAGCACTACGCAAAGCCTTTAAAAGCTGTAATATAATTGACCAGCATTCTCTAAGTAGACAAACATTGCCAACTTCTTTACAAGAGCAATATCAACAATGTGACCCACCTCCAGAATTAAACGAATTAAATCCTTATAGAGAAGATGAAAAAGAAGCTCTTCGTTATTACACAGATCCTGGCTATTTTTTTGAATTGTGGAGACAGGAAATACTTAAAGAGTGTGGGACGTCTGGAGAGAAGAGGCGAACAGGTTTTTTAAATTTTTAGAATTATTTTTTGGAAAATTGGTGATTTTTGGATTCTTTCTCCCTGGGAGTTAAATCTTTTCGAATTTTTTTCTTGTGACTTTGGACCGGATTCTTTACCTTATTTAGTGTTTCTTGGCCCACCTACCTTGACATGGTTCTGATCTTTCACTCATTTGGTTTGGGATCTTTGAACTTGATTGCAGAAAAAATCCTACAAAGCTTCCTTTGCTTGGTTCTTCTTGGGCCAACTTCCTTTACCCTAAAACAGTTCTGGTGTCCCGATTCGTTGGCTTCGACGGGATCCTCAATTTGGATTCCTGGAAAAATTTAAAAAAAACTTTCGTGGCTTTGTCTCCTGAACCACAAAACATTGTCCCAAGGCAAAAATTAGATTTATTAATTTTCCAGGTCGTTCACCAACAAGCCCTCATCGCCGCAACCGTGATCAAAAACAGCAAAAGCTACACAACATTTCTCAACAACAACAGAACGCTCTTTTAAACTTTCATTCTTCACGTTCAACAAATTATTCACGTTATTTGCCTCCTGGAAATAATGGGAAAAATTTGACCGGCAAAAATCAGCGGACAGGGCGATTGCCTAGTTCTGCAACTGAAGTTTTACATTTTCCAGCGGAATATCAGGTTTTTTATTATTTTTGTCGATTCTTATCTTTATTAATTGGGCCGTCTAACCGAATCTATAGCGAGTCTCAAGGGCGTAGCTAGAGGGTCGATTTCAGGGGGTGGAGGCTAAACTTGGGTGTGCACCCTCTGGCTATGCCCTTGGCGAGTCGTAATGCTAAAATGCCGAAAAGCCAGCCCCTCAAAAGTCATCGGAATACTAAACTGTGGAAATGACTATTGGAGCAGCATCCCCCGTTGTCAAATAAGACTGTTTGGCATTTCGGCGGTTTTTGGAGTTTGCTATTACGTCATTTTAGTATACCAACCGAATCCTTCACATGATTCAGTAAAAAAATTTTAGAAAAACAATCCGAATATTATGTATGTCCGATAATATCTTCCTTTTATTTTTTCATTTTTTTCAGGCCCCACAAGCTTTATTAGCTGAACGTGAAATGATGACTAGTACATCTACACCAATGCAACCACCACCTGGAATGACAATGATGATGAATTATGGATCAAATAATAATAATAATGATTTTGGTGGGCATAATATTTGTGGTGGTTTTAATGGGGGAAATAATAATAAAAATAATTTTGTGGAGAATAATACACAAGGATTGCTTCGAAATGTTTCAAATACTACTACTACGGATTCTGGTGGACAACAAGGTTTTTAAATAATTTTTTTGAAGGGTTAAGGAATAGGTTAAGGCAAGAAACACGGAACTTTAAGGGAAATGATTTATCTTTTTGTATTTTTTTTCGAAATCTTCCTTTTTCGGTTATGTTTTGTAGCTGAGTCAAATTTATTTTTAGATTTTCCAGATTTTTTTAAATGATCCAGACATTACTGTTAGACATTTTTAGGCTGCCTAGGTTTTTTTTGACTTCTTTTTGATACTAACTCCAGGATCCTGCCCAGGACCAGAATCTTACTAAAAATCTTGTCTATGACCCAACTTTAACTACAGGCTGAGAATTCTATTTTTTAATCAAAAAATTTTTATAGGCTCAGATTTTAATAAAATGGATGAACTTTTACGTAATTTAAATTTGTCTACATCCCAAAATTCTGAAAATATCCGTAAAGAAATTGCATTTTTGGATGATGAAGATCATGAATTACCTCCTCCACCACCACAAAATATGCTTGGATCTTCACAAAAAGATGTTGTTGTTGTTTTTCGTCCTCCACCAATATTAGAAAATTCAATGGAAAATTCTTTATCAGAAAATAATTTTATTGAAAAAAATGATCATGAATTTCCTCCTCCTCCACCTTTACAACAACATCAGCAAAATATTGCTGCTAATCAATTTCAATATTTACCTGCTGGAGGAACTGAAATTTCAACTACAACAACAACTCCAGAAGAGAATAATATTAATATTAATCAAGTTGTTTCTAATGTTAGTTCAAAAGAACAGGTTTTTTAATTTTTAAGTCTTTTTTTGGTTTTTTAATTGAGGGGGGGGGGCATTTAATCTATTTTTTATTGATATCTACGATTTTAAATTATTTGATTAATTAGTCGGTTTGTCTAAATGGTAGAGTTTACAGGTTTTGGCTTGGTATAGGTAAGGTGTTTCGATACTTTGATGTTGAAAGCTTTTTTTCTTATGTTGTTTAAAGGGCCTCAAGTTCTCAGACCGTTATGAGATTATAATTTTGGCACCAAATGAAATTTTACCAAGTTATATTTGTGAAAAATGAATGTTAGCAATATTTAAAGAAAGATTACTTTGATTAATAGAAAAAATATGATGGTCTCATAACGGTCAGAGATGGTCTATGATATCATAACGGCCCCGTTTTAAACTGCAGGAGTGCCTATTTTCTTCCTCTGTTTTTTCAATAATTTAACATTTTTAAAACTTTTCTAGATTCAATCATCTGTGCCTCCACCACCACCACCCCCGCCTCCTCCACCACCTCCACCGCCTTCTAATTTCAATTTAAAACAACAAGAAGGTACAAAAACTTTTTCAACTAGTGAAAATACAAGTCGAAAACCTTCAACTACTTCTAGTGAAGATGGAACAAAGGTTTGAATTAAAAAAATTTTTTTTGAAAGCTTTGAAGGTTTCTTGATTATTTGTTTAAAATTAATTTTAAAAGGGATTTAATAAATGTTTCTGATGACCTTATAATTGTTTATGGGAGTTAAATTTAAAAAAAATTTTTTCTGTCTTAACCACCAAGAATGTTCGCAAATGTAACTTGGCAGATTTTCCTTAAAATTAATTTGAGTGAAAAATTTTTTTTTGTAAATTGCGTATTCCTTTGGGTGATCACACAAACACCAACCCTTCTTTTATAAAAAAATTATTTTTTTGTTTAAATTTTAAATTTTCCTTAAATTTTTATTTTTCTTAGGACAATCGTTCATTATTATTAATTCAAATCCAAGAAGGTGTCCAATTAAAAAAAGTTCAAAAACAAGAAGAACAGGCAGAAAAAAGAGCTGTAAATGATTCAACAGATGTTGCTGCAATTTTACGTAAAAGAATGGAACATTGTTTTGGTGGGTCTTCTGATGAATCGAGTTCTAATAGTCCAACTGGGGATGATAATGAATGGGATTAAAGATTAAAGGAGAAAGAATGGAGGTTTTTTTAAAAATTATTTTTTGACTTAAAAGTGAGACAAGAGGGAATTTAATTTTATGCATTTTTTAAAATTTTTTTTTGTAAGCTACACATAAGATTCAGGGCTGTCCACAATTTTTTGTATTTTCCAAGTTGAGGTTTTGTCTAGAAATTTTTTTTCAATTGTGGATGGGATTGCATTTAAATTTTTTAAACAGAGGTGGGTCGGAATTCCGAATTCTGACTTATGATCCAGTTTCGATTTCTGGCTCTTCAGATTTCTGACACCTCTGACTGTTCCGACCCCACTTCTGTTTATAAAGAAATATTTTTTATTCTATCAATTTTTTGCAAGTTCCGGCGTAACATTAACACACACATCATTACATATTTCAATAATAATTTACTTAAAAAAATTTTTTTCTGTAATTTTCTAAAATAAATATTTCTTTTTTGATAAATATTATCTTTTTATTTTTTTTAATAATTATTTTTATATGGTTTTTATTCACCAACACATTTCTCCTATTTTTTCTTTAATTAATTTAAAATAAATTTTTTTTTCTTTTTTCAATATTTAAATGAATAAAGCAGCAAAAGTAGCTTCAACAATGTTAGTATCAAAAAATAATTTGGTGTTCAAAAATGGAAAATTTTTAAATTCTCTTTTGCCAATACTTAGAGATGAATTATCAAAATATTTAACTACAGATTTGGATGAATCTTCTGCTTTATTGAGCCAACAAAGAATTTGTAGAATTTTTGATTATAATGTGGCTGGTGGGAAATTTGCGAGGAGTAATTTGGCTATGCAGAATTTTACGGTTTTTTAATTTAAAAAATTTTTTTTAATTTTTTGTTGGGTCCGGTACTTTTGGGTTTACTCTGTTAAGCGTCAAAAATCATTTTTAGATACCCCCATATACACTCTGTCCCAAAATTATACATCCACCTATATTTTTGGCATAAGTCCGTAATTTGTTAACGGATTTGAATGAAAATTTAACAGATAATGCAGAAAGACATTTTGAAAGTATATATAAAATTTGAAAAAATTCTAATTATGCACTCAATATTTACAACTATTTATTTGTAAAATAGGTGTCCCATAAATATACATCCACCTTCCAAAAAAGTTATTTCCGATTATAGGAAAATTCTACAAAAATTCCAGTAAACTTATACATTGATATTATAAAAAAGTAAAAAGAAAGTAGGTCAATATCTTAACCCGAAGCCGAGATCCTGAGACCTCGAAAATCAACGTAAAACAGGGGTTTTCAAAATCAAAAAATATTTTTGACCCCTTATGGATTACTGTAAATTTTGATTTTGGGCTCATTCGAAAGCCCTTGAAATTTGCTACAAAATAGCAACAAGCTTATTTTCCAGAAAAATTTTTATCGAGAGAAGCAGGCATTTAAACTTTTTATGCAGAAAAAAGCGCCTAAATGCCCCATAAAATTAGCGTCGGGAAATTAACGACCTACATCTGTCTATCAAATTTTTTCTCAAATACTAGATCAAATTTATTTTTAGTAAATTTTAAGGGCTTTCGAATGAGCCTAAAATGAGAATTTAAAAACAACCATAAGGGGTTCAAAATGTCTTTCTGCATTATCTGTTAAATTTTCATTCAAATCCGTTAACAAATTACGGACTTATGCCAAAAATATAGGTGGATGTATAATTTTGGGACAGAGTGTACCCATTTAAAATTTTTTTAATTTGGTTGACCATTCGTTTTAAGGGAGAGAACTGCCTTAAACCGGTAATGCCTATTTAAGATAATGGAAAGGAAGGACATTTTTCACAATATTGTAAAAGGTTCCCGTTTACATGTTATTCTTCCTTGATTCGAGTATTTAAACATTCAGACTCTGATAGGACGCCCATTTCCATTTCTCATACCTTAGTGGTACCTCCCAGACTCATCTGGTTCCTCCAGAATCAGGCAGTCTTTTTCCGTTTTTAACAGACTCGTATGGATTGTCTAATCTTGTATAGACTCGAAAACAATAAAAAAAATTTTTAAAACCCCTAAAAATCCTAATTAAAAAATTTTCCCCAGGCTCTCTCCCCAAAGTCAATAACTGAAGAAGAATTAATTACAGCAGGAAAGGTTGCATTAACAATAGAATTGCTACAAACACTTTATTTAATTGAAGATGATATAATGGATTCAAGTATTTTGAGGCGTGGAAGGCCAAGTTGGCATTCTTTGGTTTTTTTTAATTTTTTTTTAATTTATAAAAAAATTTTTTTTCTTAAGCCAGATATTGGATTAGCAGCAATAAATGATGGTTTATTACTTGATTGTGGTATTAATAAAATTATTCAAAAAGAAATTCCTAGTCATCCCAGAAAAAATGCAATATTGAGGGAAATTGCTACAGTGAGTTGATTTTTCATAAGAAGTAGGGTTGCCGTTTACGAGTCGAGCCGACGGTCGTGGCATTTTTTCGGGTTTGTTTTTATCGAGTCGGGCCGACCAAGTCTTTTTCGGGCCAAAATTCGATGCCCAACTCGATCTTTCGAACCGGACCGGCCGGCAACCCTATTAGGAAGGCTAGTTGAGTCTGGGCTAGTAATTTTTCACTTCAAGTCTCACTTTCCTGATTTGAGAATATTTGAGTCCCAGTTGTTAGTATCATGATATTAGCTCTGGACTCTTGTGGTGAGACTCTAGTGTTCTTTTATTATGAACCTCTCCTTTTGGGAGACTTGAAACTAAGGAAAGAGATTATCGTTGAGGCTCAACTATCCTTCTATAAAATTTTTTAAAAATTTACATAAATTAAGGCAAAACAAAAGACAGTTATTGGTCAAATGCTGGATATGACAACAACAGATTTGTCACAATTCACTTGGTCGAGATACTCTTCAATTGTAAAACACAAAACTAGGTAAAAAGAAGGTCAACTGGACATTGGTCTTTTTTTAAATTTAAATTTTTTAAATTTCATAAATTCACGACTCTAAGGGTTTCCTGACTCTAAAGGTCATAAATTCCTGACTAATCTCGTAACGGGATTTTTTCAAAATTTTTACTGGACAGGATCCCGCGGGATTAATCCCGTAAATCCCGTTCGTCGCTTAAAATACGGGATTTTGGGACAGGATCTCGTAAAATATCGTAAGGCATCCTGTCCCATGCCGACCTTTAATTTTCAATCTCAATTTTGACACAAAATTTTCCCGGACTCTAATGTACCTTTTTCCAAAAGCTGTCATTTGAGTCTCGCCTTTAATTGAATTTTTTCTAAATTTTCAGTCATTATTCCTACTTGCTCCCATTAAATATTGGAATGCATTTGGCAGATTATACAACACCCCATCAAGTACAATTGAGACAAATAGCATATGATTTGGGTTATTTATTTCAAGCACAAGACGATTATCTTGATTGTTTTGGAGATCCTTCAATTACTGGGAAATCAAATTTGGTCGATTTGGCAGAAGGAAAATGTACTTGGGTTTGTTTCTGAAAATTTTTTTGAAAGTTTAAAAAGTCTCAGACTCTAATGAACAACACCCCATCAAGTATTTTTCTCAACCTGAAATTTCAGATTGAGAAAATTTCGCTTTTTTTTAAAAGCGACATTTGGGTCTCACCTCTAAAATTTTTTCTAAATTTTCACTAGTGACCGGGGCCGGACCGTATCCGGTCGGATTTTTCTGGAGTCCGAGTCCCAACTCCGAGTAACTAATTTTTATCATTCTTTTATTTAAAAAAATTTTTTAAAGGTAACATGTGCTCTAATTGAAAAATTGGAAAAAAGTAATAAATCTGTTGAATTGGACAATTTTAAAAAGAATTTTTCGACTAAAGATGAAAACAAATTAATTATTGCAAGAAATATTATTGTTGAACAGGGGATTGAAGAGGAGTGTCTGAAATTTCAGGTAAAGAAAAAATTTTTCTGAATTTTTTATCTACTGTAAAAACAAACCCATGAGCTTAAAAATTTTTTAAAAATGTCAAATTACCAAAAAGACAAAAGTTCAAAACGTCCAAAACCCCAACTATCCCAATCACTTAATTTAAGGACTTAACACCCTAAGAAAAATTCTTATAACATAAAAAATCATTTTTAGAAGCAAAAAGTATCCGAACTCCATGAAGATATAATGTCCTACCCAATAGAACCTATTCGAAATGTACTGGAACTGACACTTGATGAAATGACTGGACGGCAAAAATGACGTGAGAATTTTTTTTATAAATTTGTGCAAAAGAAAAGTGTCAGTGTGATCTATTTTGGATCTATACTCGAGTTTTTAATTACCAAAAAAAATTTATTAATTTATTCAGACAAAGAAATTTTTTGTAATTTACGCTTTAAAGATTATAAAGTTTTATCGTGCATACAAAAAGTATGAAAAATCATTTTCATGTCAGACCTTTTAATAATTTTTTTTAAATTAAAATTTTCCAAACGGTTGATCCTCCCGAATCCAAAGGAAACTTTATTTTGTTCTTTTCCATTCTTGATAGGATTTTGATGGATTTAACTTTTAGAGGGTGTCGTTGTTTAGTTTGATTTGGATGGGATACTCCCACAAAAACGCGAACCTCTTTTGTTCGGAAACCGTACTATTTTGGTGTTTCCCTACAAAAATACACTTTAAATAATCTAGTTAAACACTAACCTAATATATAAAACAATTAGACGGTTGGTTGGTCCTCCCAAATCCAAAGGAAAAAATAATTGTCCCATTTTTTCGTGTTTCCGTGTATTCTTGAGGCGAACAAATGGGACGAACGGAAACATTGAAGGTTATATCTTCTTTAAGACTTTTATTTAAGGGGGGGAGCTTTCTATTTAAGAGAGGGACTTCAAAAAAATTTTTTGATGCATTAGTAATTGATTCTTCCTTTACCCTGTGGTATTTTGACTAAAAATAACTTTGACTGAATCATCATGAATCAGCCAAATTTGTGCTTATTCTATAGCCTTTTAAAATTTTATAAAAAAATACAAAGGAGATTTGATGGAAAAGAAAAATAAATATTTATATAGGATTACTAAAAAATAATTGAAAAAAGCTTAGAAATCATGAAAAATATATAAAATAATTTTAAAAATTTTGTTGTTTCACAATAGAATTTGCTTTAATTCCAAAATCCTTCAATCTTTGGAGGACTGGCCTATAAACTGTTTTGGATGTTGGTCTCAACATTCCAGTTTCTTGTATTTCACCTTTAAATAAGACAAATTTTCTTTTCTCTTTAAAAAATTTAATTTTCTTTACCATTCAAAATCATATTGCTAACAATAGCAGCTGTATAACCCACAGTACTTGCCATAGCCGAATAGCCATTTTTGGGTTGTTCACCGTAGGCAACCAGATTTATACGGTGATATTCCTGAAGATTTCTGATTATAGGTTTTTGAGTCCATAGGGACCCTAGAGTCTTATACTCAAAATTCTGATAGTCTAGTAGAGTCAATTAATTAACTCAGGGCTGTTAGAGTCTCCGGAGTCTCTGAAAAAATCATGAAGACTCTAAAGTCCCTTTTTAATAATTTCCAATTTCAAACCAATGCTCCAGATGGAAGTTGGGCAACAATGTCATGATTTAAAATGACCAAATCTTTTTCGCCTAAAAAATATTTTTTTTATTTTTTAATACAATTTAAGCTCACCAGGAATGTAAGCAAGAGCTTTAGCTAAGTGAGGGACCTTAAATTTTTATTTAAAAATTTTTTTCCAATTTTAAAGTAACGAACAAGAGTGTCTAGAGGAGTCAAGTGACGTTCTGGCATTGCATCGGAAAACTAAATTTTAATTTTTAAGGATTTAAGCAGTCGTGTAAAATTAACTTTCCAAATTTTCTTAGAGGTTCTTGTGTGGGTTTTCACCGAAAAAAATTAACCCACCCCCCTGTAATTTTCGAGTCTACTTGGTCAGCCACGCATTCCCTTCTCATGGTCACCCATATATTCCCTGTTTTTTCAACATACAAGTCCAATTTGGTCTAATCCATTTAATTCTCGTATTTTCCCCTCTCCACCCAAACAATCCAAAGCAATATTTTTTAAAGAATCGGGGAAGATGTCAATTTGTTGATTTAATAGGGAAGCTGTTATTTGTTTCCACGTCAAGTCTGGACCTTCTGTTGGATCAAGAAAGTCTTTCTTTTCTGTTGATAAATAGCCAAGTTGTTTTAATGCTTTAACCGCTTCCACGAAACCCTGAAAAAATTTTAAGTAGGAAAGGAAATATAAAATCCGGGCCCCGACCGGACTCGAACCCATGACCCCCTCCATTACCCCTTGAATGGAATGATTCTTGGGATGGGAAGCCTTAGCAGGTAAGTAAAAATGAGAGAGCATTCTAAGCATGTCTTAGGGAATTCTCGTTCCTTCCTTGATGGAAGATAACTTCCCCCTCTGAATTAAATCTCCACCTTATAACGCAGAGTTCCTCTCAAAAGAGTTTTGCATTCTCCCTGTACCCCATAAATTTCTGCATATTTTGTAGAATCTCTATTTGCATATCCAATTAAATTAAAACCCTAAAATGAACAAAATAATTTTCTAAATTAATTAAAAGATTCTCTAACAGGCATAAAATCAATTTCATGAAGGTCCTCAAAAACTTCTCCATTACTTCCTAATTCAACAACATTTCCATTCATTAAATAACGTGCTGGGCTAGTTAATGCCTTTATAAATAATTTTTTAGAATTTTATAAATAAAATTCTTTTCTTTTTACCATTAAAACACCTTTTGGACTCCAAGAAAATTTATAACGCAAAGCGTTATCTGATGCTTCTGGAGCAGGGAGGCCACCAGCAAAACTCACAAAGGAAACGACCTTAAAAATTTTTTTTTCCTAAATTTAGATTGAGCAAAAACATTTTTAAATTAATTTTTATGCAGAAAGAAAAGAAAATAAAAATTTGGGCGCCGAGCGGACTCGAACCCGCGACCCCTATCCTCTAAAATTGGAAGCCTTAACCACTAGACCAGAATGCTCATTTTCCTTAGAATGTTCCATTCCTAAAAATTTCCAAAATCAACCCCTTCCCAACCTTTTCTAACCTCAAACCCCCTTTTAAAATATTCCCCTCACCTTCCCACCATAAGCATGTACTTGATCTATACACTGCATTGCTAACATATGGTCAATTCCTGGGTCTAAACCAGCCTCATTCATAACTGTTATACCTGCTGTTTTACAACTAGAAAATTTCTTAGAATTTTCAAAAAAATTCCAACTTACGCATCATTCATAGCTTGTAATTCAGGTGTAATATAACTACTTGTAACCATGTTTGTCTGATTTTTAATACACATACGGACAATTTGAGGGTGTAGGGTATATGGTAGTAGAGAAATACAAAGCTCGTTTTTTCTAGAAAATTTGAAAAAAATAAATAGGGATGTTAAAATACCAAAATAATTTTTATAATTAATTTTTACGCAAAAAGAAAGTGAAATAAAAATTCGGGCGCCAACCGGACTCGAACCCACGACCCCTTTACGTTAGAATCAAAAACCTTAACCACTAAGCCATCGAATTTTTAATTTTATTTTTCTTTAAAAACTTACGCCACAAGTTCATTAACACGTTCCGTCTCTTTATGTACATCCACAATAACCGTTTCTATATTATCTCCCAAAGAAGAATGTCTCTGAACATTTCTGGATGAATCAGCCACCGTTAGGGCAACATGGGGTAAACCGGCAAAATATTTTGCAAGAGGGTCAGATACCATTCCAGCACCAAGAAGCAAAACACGTCTAGTTGTAGGGGTCATTGCACGGGATTTGTGGGCTGATCGTCTTTTTAAAAAATTTTTTTAGTAAAGACCACATTATAAGATACACCCTGGGGGCTGAAAAGTCTAGCTTATAATGGGGTGTAACTTAAATAGAGAGTATTGCTTAGAAAGCTCCTTAACCCAATGGAGAAGCTCTTAGCAGCTCTCCACTGCTTAGCAGCTCCACCACTCCCCTCTATCAGTTCCTCCACTCCGCTACTCATCTCCATCAACTTATTACTAATTTTAGGGCCCTTAAAAATGAGGTCCGACTGGCAAGCAAAGTTTGGTAAATGAGAGTAAAATGAGGGGGGGGGGTAATCAATCATTTTACTTGTACTCTTATCATTTCTTTTGTACTCTTATCATTTCATCAACTAATTTATTCCCCCATTTTCTACCTCTGCTCATTTCTAAGCTCTTCAATATATTTATAATTTGGGGTCAATTCTCCATCTGTCGTAATTATTGCACGTTTAACTTCCTCAGAACATTGTAAGGAATTAAATGGCTGGTCTGTTGAACAATTCAACTTTAAAAATTTTTTTTCAAACAAATTTTTTATTCTTTTCTAACCAAATCCATTACATAAGGTAATAAAAGGGAGCCAAATTGTTCACTAGCTTCTACTGGAAGTTGGGCAGGCATATTATCTATAGAGCAAATCAAGCATCCCGAGGGGGCATCAAAACTAAAAATTTTTTAGACGTTTTGAATTTTCGACATTATGAAATGGTCTCCTCTCACCTATCAGTTGATTGATTCAAATCGGCATCATAAACAGTAAAAGGCTTATCGATAGTTGTACATTCAGTCATAAATTCGATAGAACCTCCAGGATCAGCAGAAATATCACAAATAGCCATTAATCTGTGTGGAAGGGAAGGGCATCCTGGCACCTCCAAACTTTTATTTACTCGTGGGGTTAATAGAATTTTGGCGTCTGGTATTGTAAGCAGTCTTGGTGTATTCACTCCCCAAAAGACGCAATTTAAGATTACTGTAGCGTAGGGGGCAATCTGAAATATTTAGAATTTGACCCTTTTGAAATATGTAAGGTTGACCATTTTTAAATAAAATGCACTTGTGACCCTTATGAAATAAAATACGCTTCTGACCCTTTTGAAACTTTGTAAATAAATTACACTACTAACCCTTTTGGTATAAAATAGGCTTCTGACCCTTTTGAAAAATAATACTCTAGTGACCATTTTGAAACAAATGCGTCACTGATTGAAAACACAGTATTCTAGTCTCTCTCTCATTTAATAAGCTTGCTTTAAAAACTCACTTCACTAGCAAACTTGGAAACATAAAGTTCTGGTTGCTTCTCAAATTCTTCCCGCTTATAAATTCCTCCTTCCTTCCTAATCATATGATCAGCACGAGAAACAACACAACCATAAACTTTGCTTAATTCTTTAAATTAATTTTTTAAGAGGAAAAATTTCTTTAAATTTACGTCCTTTCTTGGCTACTTGAGGTAAAGTACTGGCATCCACAAATTCGTGGGGAAAATGTCTAAAAAGTTCTTGGGCGCCTTTAGAAACATTTCCTGTTCCGGTAAATACTGGAAGGAAAAAGGGAATTAAATTTTAAAAATAAAAGAAAACCAAAAATTAAAGGCCCAATGCTTCTAGGCATTCGATTCAAGGCTATTTCATAGCCACAATCGCGAACGGCATTAATTGCCATGTGACTGGAATTTAGTTGAGAAAATTAATTTTAAAAATATTTTCAGACCTATCACTATAGTTGTGTGCTAATCTAAAAATTAAAAAAAAAATAATAAGACAAAAGAAAAAAATTCGGGCGCCGACCGGACTCGAACCCACGACCCCCCCTCCTCACCAAAATTTGTTTCTCTATTAAATTATAAAAAAATGTAGTATTAAAAATAAATATTGAATATAATATGAATAAAAATTCAATAAAAATTAATTTTCTACAAAAAAGATTAAGGAGAAAAAATTCGGGCGTCGAACGGACTCGAACCCACAACCCCCCAAATCTTACCCAACATTTAGTTTTTCTCAAAGAAAAACTTACGCAATGTGAATAAAAGGTGTATGATGCCCTAGAGCCAAAAGTCTAAGTCCCAATCCATGCAATATATCAATAAATCCCGTATATCCCGCCCATTTTCCAAAATATACAAGTCGTCTATCCTCAATATCTGTCATCTTCTCAAAATCAATTAATCTAATCTTTCTTGCCAAAATACTGTCCAACATTTCCATATTGTCCTGTTGCGCTTTAATTGTGTGGGAAAAGAACGCATAAGTTTTGTTTGCGATTAGGTCCTCGACTGGCACTTGTTTGACAGAAACAATTAATTGAGCTTGGCTAAGGTCTTCTTGAACCGTTGCGCTTAAAAAGCTTGTTTTTTAGTTAAAACAAATAAACTTACCCCGCCCCAATATAATCCTGTATTGGAAAAGCCCTTCTATTTGACGGCTGAATAATTACTCGAACTCCCTTCTTTGTCAAAACTTTTACATGATTTGGTGTTAATGGAACTCTTCTCTTTAATTAATTTTTTAATTAATTTAAAATTTTAAAAAACCTCCCAAGCATTAATCGTTTCCCTTCGAATCCCAACTGTTGGTACTCCCCTCCCCAAATAGGAAGAATAATTTTGTGGACGAGGGGTAGGAGGAGTAAAGGAATGAAAATTTCGAATAATTCGAAAAATAAATTTTGATTTTAGAGGAAGTTTAGAGGTGTAGAGGTACATTTTAAGTTTCGTTGAGCTTGGCTAAGGTCTTATTGAACAGATGCGTTTAAAAAGCTCGTATTTTTTTATTCTCTATTTTTAGATAAAAAAATTAAATTTTCTATTTTTTAAATCAAAATAAAAAAGAGATAAAATTAAAAGTGTGTGTCTGTATTTAAAAATGAAAAAAGGGTTCAATTAATTATTTTTAATTTTATTAAATTTCATTTGTATGATGCAATCTAAAAATGATGTAAATCTTTGGGGTCTAAAAATTTTTTTCTTAATTTTTTGTTCTTTATCAAAAAATACACTTTTGTGTATACTAATCAGTCATATTTTTCAAAAATAAATTTTTATCAAAAAATATTTAAAGAAAAAGAAGCACATGGCTGAATATTTTTACTTATTAAGAGACGAACAACGTGAGAAAAAATATTATTTTAATTGAACATGTGAAAAGATAAATTATTTTTTGTTAATTAAATAACGCATGGTAATGTATGGTGTGTCTTTTATTTATTAAAGAAATTAATTTGGTAAATTTGTGTCGTCAAGAAAACAGAAAAAATGATAAGACAAAGTATTATATTAACAACGTGATTAATTTTAGGAGAAGAAAAATAATTTTTGATGGACACAAAATTGGATTAAAAAATATTAAAAAATATTTTTTAACGTTAAAAATTTTTTAAAACTAATTTTAAACCAATTAAGTATTAATTTAATATTATTTCCCAACAAAAGGATTCGAACCTTGCCCGTTTTTAGGGGTAAACCAAAAATTTTACCACTACACCATAATTAACAATTATTCGTAGAAATGGAAGGTATGGGAAAAAATTCATAAAATTATCAAAAAATGACCTGTAAACGTAAAATTTTCCAAAAATATAAAAAATATTGCCATTTAAATATTCTAAAAATTTTAGAATTTTTGGGTATATAACAAAAAAGTTACTGGGAAAAAAGACGATTTTAAGGGGTTTTTTTAAATTTTTTATTCATAATTTTCGAAATATTCAACAAAAAATTCTTAAAATGGGAGGGAATATGGCTAACAACCTTAAAAATATTCAAGCAAAATTTCATGAAGCTAGGTACAGTTAGAGAAATATTATAGGCCTGCGACTTTAGTGAATCAACCAACACCAATTTTTAAAAGATAACTCAAAAAATCTTTCCAATTTCCCCAAAAATATTTATTAAAAAAAATAAAAACAAATTTAAAAAACAACCTTTTTTCATTAATCAACTTGTCTAACAGTAATATTTATTCGACAATTATTTGCATATTCCAAAACTTCCTTTTCTTTAACCATTTGGATAAATTCGTCTCCAAAAATTTTTGGTTGGTCTTCCAAAATTCTGGGAACTCCATGATAAACTAATCGTTGCTCTCCACTCATTATTAAAATATCTCCAGAACGCAAAATTATTGCATCGACAGGATCATTAAGAGAAGTACCTCCAGTAAGATAAATGGCTGGTTGGCCAAGAGATATTGAGACGAGTGGACGAGACAAATCACGTTCAGATCTGTTAATAAAATTAAAAGGAAATTTTTTAAGTTTAAAAATTTATTTAAAATTTATTTTAAACCAATTGAGTATTAATTAAAATTTATTTTCCGACAAAGGGACTCGAACCTTGCTCATTTTTTGGGGTGAACCAAAAATTTTCCTACTACACCACAATTAACAAATATTACAAAAATAGAAGGGAAAGAGAGGAGAGGTCAGAGATTTAATTTAAAATGAAAAAACCTGTCAACATGTGGCGAAAGATGAGACTTTTCCGGATAAAAATTGACAATAGCAGCATCAGGAAGGAAATCGCCCAAGCCTAGACCTAAAGGAAAAAATTCAGTATTTAATTAAAAAAAAATTTTCCAACTCACTACAAACAACCAAACGACTCAATTTAGCCATTTCATCAGGTAAAGATTGCCTCGCATTATTTAAATATTCTTTTGTATCCCAATTGTAATCATTCCCCATAGTTACCCATCGAAGTTTTTTTGAACAATTTTTGAAGACATTTGATCCCCTGTAAGGATTGTTGTTTTGAACAAATAAATTTGTAATGTTTGGAGGCTCTGGGTATTCTAACAAACATTTTTCTATCCAACGAAGTTGTTCTGTTAAAGTTAAAACGCCTCCAATAATAAATAGGCCAGGCCTAGAAAATTTCGAAAAATTTTTAAAAAATTTTAAGAAGGGACCTAATGTCCCATAAAAATTAAAATTTTTACCGATTCAAAAAAGTAGTAAGAGACCATTGTTGTATAGGCCTTTAAAAGGGAAATTTAATTTGATAAAATTTGTAAAAATGAAAATTTAGTGAAATTAGGGATGAAATGTCATCTTTTTGGATTTTTAGGGAAAGAGAACAAAAATTGATAGAAATAAAGACATAAGGGGATTCCAAATGACTTTTAATTAAAAAATAATTTAAAAATAAACCTTAAACCATTAATTCCTTTAAAAAGCCTCTCTACAGCATTTAAACATTTGTCAGGAACATAATTTAATTTGACTGTAAATTCTTTTGAAGATTTGTAAGGATCAAGAACGGCAGAAAGATCCAAGGGGCAATCTCGTCTTTTGTAAAATTTAAATTGTTTTTTGAATTCAGATTGCGAGGGCTCTTCGTTTTGGATAGAATAGACTTTAAAAAAATTTTTAAGACAAAATTGAAAAATTTAAATTTACTTGCCATTGAAAAAGAAAGAAAAATCCTTCAAAAATGGATTAAAGGTAAAAATACAAAAGTAGGTCGATATGAGCAAGTATAAGTAAAACTTCAAAAAATTTCAAAAAACAAAATTTTTATTTTAACAACAATTTTACTTTAACAACTTTTTAAAATAAATTTAATGGTCCTTTTTACATATACCACCCCAATTAACAAAAAAATAATTTCTTTTAATAATCAAATAAAATGAGTAGAGCTGGAATATATCAAGGAAGTTTATGAGGGTTAAGTGCGGGGGAGTTTATTGGGTAGTGGTGAGGGTAAAATTAGAAATGGGATGGTGGTATATTAAAAAGCACCTTTAACATTTAATTTACTTAAATTCCATGAGAAAATTTTTAAATTTATTTTTTAACCAATTCTCAACAATTTTAACTCCAAATATTACAATTTAGCAAAATGCTCGGTCACAGAAAGCAACGACTCCATTTCCTTCACACATTCTTCCCACAATCCACCATTTAATTCCTTAATGGCCAAAAACATTTCCTCATTAACAACACCCTCTAAAAGATTGATAATTTCTTTGACTTTGACAATGTGCGATGAGGCAGTGCTCATCTCCTAAAATAATATTATTAGACACGGATATAAACGGAAAAAACTGAGAAAGGGTTAATAATAAATGAAAAAGCTCATTTGTGCACTCTTATAACTAGGCGTAAACTTGTTTTAATGTTAAGAACATTTTTATATTTGATGCCAAAATTACAATAAAAATCCCCGACCCATTTAATTATTCCAAATTAGAGATCGGAACGGGATCGGGACCCGGTCCTTTTTCCCGGCGTTTTTGAAGACGCCGGGATGAAACCGGAAACGGGAATTCCCGGTCCGAGTCCCTCCCGGTCGACCTTCAGAACCCGTTTCCCGGTCCTTGTTTTTTCAAAATTCCGATCTCTATTCCAAATAAAATGTTCTTAACTAATAAAATCCAGTTTTGAGTTAAAAAAAATGAAAAAAACTAACCGAAAGAATATCTTTGTCTCTCTTAATTTTAAACCATCCATCGAGAACTTTTTTTAAACTAGTTGAAAACCCAGTATTCACATAAAAATACATTCCAGCCTTTTGCAAACCTTAATTAATGATAATTTAATTTATCTAAAGTTTAATACAAATAAAACACGAGGCAACTTGAGCACTAACATGAACAAGATTGTCAAGATCATTTCCAATTTTTGGAATGTTCTCATGTAAGGCGTCCATACGTTTGTCAGTCAAGGTGAAGAGATTTTTTAACTAAAATTGAAAAAAAATCGATAAGATTAAAACAAATTTTTTAAGCAAAACAAAAGCTCTAAGATTTCGGTAATAGTTAAGATTGTGTTTCCCCTTTTTTTCTTTTCGAATGTAGTGTAGTGTACCGAGGTAAAAGTTCGGGACATGACATATCTCATTCGATTCGTCTCCACGAGCTGAGTCGAACGGTACCACTCCCAATTTCAGGAAATAATTCTGGACCGAGTTATAGGTCCCGAAATATTGAAAAACCACAGAGGGAAGTAAGGTCGATTTTGGTATAATATAACTTGGTCCAGAATTATTTCCTGAAATTGGGAGTGGTACCGATCGACTCAGCTCGTCGAGATGAATCGAATGACGTGCCACGTCCCGAACTTTTACCTCGGTACACTACACTACAGCCGAAAAAAGGGGAAACACAAACTTAACTATTACCAAGATTTCTTATTTATAGAGCGCTAAACAATTTACAAGTAAAATTTAAAGTCTCACATGATCAAGAAGTTTTATAATACTAATCCATTGGCTTTGTGTTTTAAATAAAAAAATGTCAAAACTAAGAGAAACTCTTTGTTTTGACCATTTTAAGTTTAAGGGTAAAAATTTTACAATTTCTGGAAGTAATTCAGGGGGAAGCGATTTTCTTTCATTCTTTAAATTTATGGAATGGGGTAGTCTTTTAGGGGAAAATATGCACATCAAATAAATAAATGGAAGAAAAGTTAACAAAATGTTTTATGCCTGAAAAGTAAATTGACAAAGAATTTAGTGACAAAATATCTTTTTAAAGAAAAAATATTTTGGCGCAAAAAAAATAAAGTTTTTGGCATTCTGTATTTTGGACACTTGAGTCGGAGAACGAGGGAAATTTTCTTTGTTTTTGGATTTTTCCTTAAGTTTTCCATAAATTTCGAAATTGATTTTTGTTTTTAGATTGTTTAAAATTTATTGTCTTCATTTTACAACATTTCAATGGATGTCTTCGATGTTCTACAAGGCGTTATTGCTCAAAAACGGAAACAAATTGACCACATCGCTATTGAAACTTCGGTATATTTAAATTTAAGAGGAGGGTTTTGAACTTTAGGGCCCTATTTTTACTTCTTCCTTAGGGGGAATTGTTTGCCGGAGTATATAAAACACAAAAAATTTAGAGGGAAATGAAAATGGGGCCTATAGGGTTCAAAATAGTCATCTTAACATTGCTAGGTAGATTTAGGTTTTACTGGTCCGTGGAATAAATGAACAGGGTTTTTAGTTTTTAGTAGGTTTTTTAGTCCTTACAATTAGAATAAATGAGCAAAAAGAGTGCTTTTTCGATGTTTTTTAGGTCTTTTATTAGATAAACGAGTGTGCTGATTCCTTGTATGAATTCAAATTTATTTCGAATCCAAGACCCAAATTTGATCAGGTCAGGATGCTCGTTTTTTCTAGGGGCCGGCATTTTGAAAATTCCTACCTCTACCTTGAGAATCCTTGCTCTTTTTCAATTTTTTTTTATTTTTTAGAAAGGCTCAAAAATGATAAAACATTGTGATTTATTCAAAAAAGAAAAGGAAGCCTATTTAGAAAAACAGAAACAATTGGAAGATGAACAAAAACTTGCCATGACTAGCAAAAGCATTGAACTATCAATTGATGAAAAAATGTCTTCAAATACTTCGGATTTTATGCCTCGAAGTGAAGTAATAAAAAAATTGAGGATTAGAGGTTTGCCAATTCGTTTGTTTGCGGAATCTGATGAGGAGGCTTTGAAGAGGTTGAGGATAGAATTGGAGAAGCCTGACTTTAATGTTGGATTGAAAAATGATTTTCAAGCGGCTTTGCTACAAGTTGAAAATGAGGAGGTTATGGAAAAGATTGCTAAAGGAACGAATAATACAAATGAAGCGGAGAAGTTAAACATTGTAATTGAGGAAACGGAAGAGGATGCTACTTGGGAACAAATTCAGGTTTCTTTTAATTCTAAATTTATTCAAACACTAGGAAGGGGGATTGAGTGGTTTTGGGCTGATTTGTAGCTTAATGATTTTTGGATCGGATTTATGTTATAAGGCTTGGGTTTTATGAATTCCAAATTCAGCACCAAGCCCTGGACCCACGACCCTTTGAAGACTTGGACTAGAAAGTGAACTGAGAGCAGGCTGGGATTTCCTAGGATTTTTCTCGGATTTCTTTTCTTGGCTTTATAATTTTTAATCGTATTAAAAGGTGATTAAGTTGGATATTAAAAGTCTTCCAAATATTAGTCGTTTTTTATTTGTTTTTATTTTTATAAACAAACTTATTTTTAATAATTATTCTCTATGAATTTATTTTTTTCATATTAAAATCTCCACTAAAAATTTTTATTTTATCAGAAAGGAGCATCCTCACTTGGAGAAGGTGATGACAATAAAGATTGTGATTTAATTTTTGCATTTATTAATTATATTATGAAGCGTTGGGCAAAGGAATTGAATGCTCGACCAGAACAAATAAAAAGAAGTCCGGCTGGGAAAGTACAAGCTGGAATGCAAAAACAGACAGTTGAACATATGAATCCTCTTGTTAAATCGTTAGAGAAGCATTCTGTGAATTCTGATATTAGAGCACATTTAACTACTATAACTAGGTTTTTTGGCTTATTTTTGTGGAATTTTTTTACTAGGGAAGGTTGCGAGGTGTCCGACCTAAAAACGGTCGAGACCGGGCTCATTCGATAGAGAAAAAAAGGGCAAAAACGGCTCACAATCATAGAAAGGGCACATTCTCTATCGAATGAGCCCGGTCTCGAACGTTTTTAGGTCGGACACCTCGAAACCTTCCCTAGTTAACTCTTACTTTTACTTAACCCATCTAGTTTATTCACAATAGCCTATTTACTTTTTTGGGTAAACCCCAAGCCTGATTGTGAACCATAACATTTTTAACTAGTGGTAGGTCCGGTTATCCGAGAGCCGATGCGCTGCCTTTTTGCAACCCGAAATCCGAAACAAAGCCTGATCCTAAGTACAGGGCTCGATTTTTCCTAAACCAGATCATCCCTTATATTGTGTCCTGGAACGATAAGTCTCCAAAACCTTACACTTGAGGTTAGGGTTAAATCTTTACCTGCCAAGGTGACAAATTTAAAAATGCTCCCCCAGCAGTTAACCTTAAAATTTTTCAGATTTTGTGTTCTAGACAAAGACTATATTCAAGCCAACAATGCATATATGGAAATGGCTATTGGAAATGCTCCATGGCCTGTAGGTGTTACTCGTTCAGGTATTCACCAACGTCCAGGATCTTCAAAAGCTTATGCTTCTAATGTTGCACATGTAATGAATGATGAAACACAACGAAAGTATTTTTTTAATTTTTGAGAAATTTTTTTCTTTGGTATTTTTAAGTTATCTCTCCCCTTTACCTTTCTAATTTTATTTTTTTCCCTCTTAAACATTTCGAATGGTGTGAAATCTTTTGGTTTTTTAATCCTTTGATTTTGACAACTCAAAAAAATTTTAGAATAAATTTATTTTTCCGTTCCTTACAGGCCCGTAACCAGGATTTTTTTCGGGGGGGGGGGGGGGGGCCAAGGGGGGAAAATTTTTTCTGCGCCAAATTTTTGGCGCCGAAGGCGCCAAAAATTTTTATTTTCAGCGCCGCAGGCGAAAATTTTGAGAATTTTTGAAGGCCGTAGGCCAAAAAATTCACTTTTTCGGCGCCGCAGGCGCCAAAAATTTGCCCCAGCCCTTCCCCAAATTTTTTCCTTTTTCTCATTTCGGGGGGGGGGGGGAATTCCCCCCCCCCCCCCCCCACCCCCCTGGTTACGGGCCTGGTTCCTTACAATTTGTAAATTTTCTGGGGAGAAAATTAGAAGGTAAGGGTCCGGGAAGGTAAATGAGAGGTGGTGAGATAATGAGAAAAAAATTTTTAATAAAAAAGTAATAAATTTTTTTATTAAAGATATATTCATGGACTTAAACGTGTATTATCTAAATGTCAAGATTTCTTCCCTACGGATCCGAGTAAATGTGTTGGATATGTAAAGAAGCATGGATAAATTAAAAATTATGTATATTTTTTGATTAAATTAATAAATATTTTTACAAAAAATTTTTTTTTTAATTTTTCTGTATTAATACTATACAAATATATTTATTATTTTTCTTTCGTTTTTTTGACAGACATAATAAAAACGCCTGATAAATCTAAATTTCCCTTGTCCTTATCTATTAGTCGGACCTAATTATAAGCCGATCTTCCAAAACCCGATTTTTTTTCGAATTTCATTTCCAAGGAAAGCTTGACTCCAAACTCGACCCGACTTTTATTTGTCAGCCCAGCCTATTTCTGGTCGTAACTAAAATTTATTTGACGTGATAAGGGGATAGACAGCTAACGGGAAAATTTTAGTTTCTGGCTTATCAAGATTTTACTATAACTTTTTTTAGAAATTTTATTTAAAAAATTAATGGGAGAAGATACTTGGACTGTTGAACGTTTTCAATCAGAATTATTAAATGCCGAAAAGACTGGGCAATTTACTTGTAAAGATTTGGAGCCTTTATGGGAAAAAGCAAAATTAGCAATTAAAAATGGGGAGGAAACATGTTCTTTATATACAACATATATTTATTTGACTTTTAGACTTTTAAAGAAACAAGGTTTTTAATTTTTAAATTTTTAGGGGGCTTTTAAGAGGTTTCGTTTGCATTTTTTAGGAAATTTTATGTGTTAATTTATAGGGTAAAATTTGGCAGATATGACTGGTGTACCATGGGTTGTAAGGAGGATTCATCTTTTGGGACTTTTCTTTCTGATGAGATGGGGAGGGCTACTTAATTTTATCATTTGTCGCCTCATATGGCAACTGTGAGCATTTGAGCTTCTACGGGCGAAAATTAAACTGTTGACATCAACCCTATTTTTTGTGTAAAATCATTTTTACTTTTTTTAGGTTCCTCTGATTTCTCAGATATCGAAGAATTATTTGAAGACGGAATTCTTATTGTTATTGAATATTTTGATCAATATTCCGAATCTTTTGTACAATTTCAGAAGAATTTTGCTTATTTTTTATACGCTAAAATGGGGAAGCTTGAAAGGGTTTATTTTATTTTTATCTTTCATTAAAGGATTTTTCGACTACTTTTCTGGTTACTTGTCATAAAATTAATTAGTAATACTTTCAATAATGTTTTGTATGTTTACTGATTAATTTTTTTCTAATTATAAATATTTTCAAATCGGTATCCTATTGGTTCAAACTAGAGGTCGGCGCGGGACAGGATCCCGCGCCGATTTTGCGGGATCTCGCGTCCGTAATCCCGCACTTTTTGTGATTTGCGTGATTTATCCGCAAAATCCTGTCCCGCGCATGCGGGATCCCGCAAACACGATTTTGCCGACCTCTAGTTCAAACTGCGAGATTTAGCGCAAGTTTTTGTCCGCAAATATTTTTTTTATTTTTTTTTGTTTTATTAGGCATCCATTAATTTTACTTAAAAGTGAGAATATATCAGTAACATAAAAAAATAATTTTATAAATCCAATACTGAATATTCTAAGCTCTCTAAATATCCAAACTTTCGTTGAAAACCCCATCGTTTCAATTTTAAAATCGTGCATTTTTCATATTTTTACAGGCCAGAGAAATTTGGACTGAACTATTAAAAGGTGAAAACGGCCCTTTTGCTTGGTTGGAAGCCATTTCTTTAGAACGAAAATATGGAGATGTCGAATATGCTCGAAAACTTTTTTATAAAGCCTTGGATAACGTCAACTTCCATCCTCATGTAATTTATTCAGCATTTATACAATTTGAAAGGGAAGAAGGGAATCGGTCAGAATTGGATTTGGCTTTAGAAAGAGTTAATTTAATTGCTTCTAATCTTGTTAAAAATGAAAAGGAACAAGAAAAACATTTGAGGAAACGAAAAAATTTTGATGGAAAAAGGCAGGGAAAGAATGAGGGAGGAAGAAAAGGTGGTGGAGGGGATAAGGGATTGAAGAAACAAAAAATTGAGGAGAAAAATGGAAATAATTTGGAGGAGAAAAGGTTTGGAATTTCTAATTTTAAAATTTTTTAAACCTCCATGACCTAGAAATTTTTTTTTATTCCTAAAATTTAGCTGAAACTAAAATAAATTTTTTGTCCGCAAAACAATGCTTTTGTCCGCAAATCTAATATTTTTTTTATTTTTTTAATTAAAAAATTTTTTCTGACTAGATTTTTATATGTCACTAAAATTTTTTCTTTCCCCAAAATTTGCATAAAAACAAAAATTAAATTTAAATTAAGTATCATAGCGTTTTTGGAAGAAGAAGTCCGCAAGTTTTTGTCCGCAAAAAAATTTTTTTCTTTATTTTTAAAATTCGTTTTTAGAATTAAAAAGATTTTATAGCTTTTAACAATTTTTAAAAAATATTTTTTAAAATTAGAAGACCACAACAAAAGAATAAACAAAAGAATGAAGTTACAAGAGGTGAAGAAATGGATATTGACACTCTTGAAGAGGAACAGGTTGAAAAAGAAGGAGGAAAGGTAGTCACTTTTGAAACATCAAGCATTCCAATAGGTCCTATAATTCCTGGAATAAATTATCAACAACAAAAGATGGAGAAAAAAGAAGAAGAAAAAAATAATGGGAAGGAGGATATCGAAATGGAACAACAACAGACTAAAATAATTGAAAGAGGAGCAAAAGAAAAAAAATTTGGGAAAGAAAAACAACAACAAAAACAACAAAAATTCTCTTCAAAAGAACAACAAAATTCTTCTCCATTTCCTTATTCTACTGGATTAGAAAAAAATAAATTGTTTGTAAAACATTTACATTTTGGTATTAAAGAAGATGAATTAATGGTTAGTTTAATTTTAATTAATTTTGTAAGAAATTTTTTAAATCCGTTTAAAAAGAGGTTTGGTTAAATTTGCGTTTTTTCTATAGGAAATTTTTGCTTTAAAAAATTTTTTATAAATTGGAAGCTCATGTTTCCTTTTCTTTTTTGGTATCCCTGAGTTTTTTATTCACTAGCTATCAGGGTTGTCCGCAATTGGAAAAAAATTTTTCCGCAGCTGCAATCCGCAATTTTAATTTTAAAATCCGCAAATGCAATCCGCAAGTCGAAAAAACACGCAACTTTCTGCAAACGCATTCTCCAATTGCGGACAGCCCTGCTAGCGATATTTAGCTAAGTCCCTATTATTCGGCACCTCCTTACTTAGATCATGAAACATTCTATCCATTAATCTTTCTCCTATCAACGGACTTTTTTCATTTTCTTCTCAAATTTTATCTTAATTTTAAATTTTTTTAGAAATTCTTTTCACAATTTGGCAAAGTTTTGGATGTTCGAATAATTACAAAATGGAATGGACGTTCAAAGGGTTGTGCATATATTGACTTTGAAACTGATTCAGAAGCATCTGCAGCGATATTAAAGGCTAATGGGGAGAAAATTAGAGGTTTTTTTTTCTTTTTATATTTTCCTTTATACTCTCAAAAATCCGCAAATTTTGTCCGCAAGTTATTAACTTTTTTATTTTATCATAGAGGGAGGGATTGTTTTTGCTATAATAAGTCTTTAAAAATAATTCTATTTTTGTTGTCCTATCTAAAAAATTTTTTGATAAAATAATATATAACTTGCGGACAAAATTTGCGGATTTTTGGGAGGCATGAGGAAATCTTGAAAGTTAAAAAAATTTTTTTCAAAGGAAAAGAAATTGCTGTTTATTTGAGTAATCCACCAGAGAAGAAAAAAGAACAACTACAACCTACAGATAACTTACCATCATCTTCATCAACAACCCCAACAACTTCTTCAAATAATCAACAACAACAAGAGAAGCAACAAAAAATTAAAAATTCTTTAAATTTTATTCCAAGAGTAACAGCACAAAGAATTGGTAAAGCAAGTCGTTTAATGTTACCTACAAGTATTTCAAAAAATAAAAATGTTGAGGGAAAAGGGGAAGAAGAAAAATCAACAACAGAAGCAGTTAATTCACCAATGGGGGAAATTGTACAATCAACAGAAGAAATATCTATGGAACAAAAATGAAGAAAGTAAGAAATGGAAGGAAGTTTTTTAAATTTATAAATGGAAAAATCTTTTGACTTTATCAGGTGACAAGTAAATATTTTTTTAATATTTAATTATTAGTTTTTCGCAAAAAAATAAATTTTAGAGTCAATCGAGAGGGACCTCTCTCTTTTTTCTTATACCTTTGGGTTCTGTTTTATTTTTTTTTCTTCCTGGATTTTTTAAGACTTTTGGGTCGGTGATTTTTAGTTTCCCTTAGCTTACAATTAGGATTCTGAATTAAAAAAATTTTTTAGTAAAAAACCGTTTTTGCGGATGTCCGCAAATTTTGTCCGCAAAAAATTTTTAATGAAGAAAATTTTTTTTAACTGATCACCCAGAATATTTTTTAGATTGTTGACTTTAAAAAAAATATTTTTTATTCTATATTCAATATATTTTTAAAATTTTTTTGAAAAAAATTTTCCCTTCAAAATATCCTTTTTTACATCCTCCGATGAGGGTTATATTTACATTCTTGGACTATACAATTGTAATATTCTTTATGTTTATATTTTGTTTTGCATCCTTTTTCGCATTCTGTTGGGTTTTTTGGATCACGTTTAAATCGGTGAAGCCTGAAAAATAATTTCTTTATTGATTTTTAAAATTTGCAGATTGTCCGCAATTTTTTTTTGCGGATTGTCCGCAAATTTTTTTTGCGGATTTTATTTAAAAATTGGTTTAAACGAAATCTCTTTTATTTAAAGGATCCAAGTCTTAATTTAATTAATAAAAATAAAAAAATAAATTACTCTGTGTTAGCTCCAATATTAGTAACAATTCCTAATAGCAGCACAACTAGGAAGATTACCAACGATAAAAATTTCATTTAAATATTTTTAAGTGAAAAATAAAAATTCCTTTTAAAAAATGCTTTATTAAAAAAATGAGTAAATTATTTTAATGGGTGTCTATTATATAGAGGGGTTTTTAAAAATTCAAAAAAAATTTTTCCTTTCAATTTAATGATATCCACATTCTTTTTTGGCACATTCAATATATTCAAAACTTTTGTATCGTGCATGGCAAGATTTTTCACAAGGTCCTAGATTAGCTGGGTCAGCTAGGCTTTAAAAAATAGAATATTTTAAGGGGTCTTGAAATTATAGGAAAATTTTTAGTAAAAAATTTTCAATAAGGGGAGAATCAAACATATTCCAAAAGATCACCACTACGCTAATAAATTTCTTTAGTGGTGATCTTCTGGTCAACCTTTAATTTTTTAAATTAAAAAAAATTTTTTTTTTACAAGAAGAGACTTACCTTAAAGTGAGTAAAATTGAAAAAATTGTGAGTATTAAAATAAATATAATTAAATTACTTTTTTGATTCACGCCCATAATTTTTAAGTAAATTTTTAAAATTTTATTTTGTTTGTGAGTATTTAATGTTATTTTAACTTTACTTAAAAATGGTGTTGAATTTTTAAAACAAAAACTTGTTTTTATTATTTTTATTATTTTTATTAAATTTTTTAAACTAATTTTTAAAATTAAAAAAAATTAAAATTTTAATAAGACAAAAAAAGACGAAAAATAAACCACTCCCAAAAGATCACCACTATGGGACTAAAATAATTTAGTGGTGATCTTTTGGGTTAGCCATTATTTTTGTTAAATTATGGGTATCCGCACACTTGTTTCATACATTTTGTAAATTCTTTTCCTTTATAACGCTGATTACAAGTCTTTTCACATGAACCAGGGCCAAGCAGCACAAGATGATTATCGCGTTTTGAAAGATTTATTGTTGAGTGAGGAGGGCTAAAAAATTAAAAAATTTTTTTTGAAAAATAAATCTAAAAAATTACCTTGGAAGCGAACCTGTTGTAGTTACTAAAAATATTAAATTGAAAAAGAAAATGAAAACAAAAATAATTTTACTAAATAAATTCATTTTAAATATGTTTATGTGTATTTTTGTGGGGTATTTTTTAATATTTTTTTTGGTTTAAATAGTACACCTACCTAATTTTTAAAACTTGTTTTTTCTCTAAATTTATTTTTGTGTAAAAAAATTTTTTTAAAAAATATTTAAAAAATAATATAATAATTTTTTTCTTGCTTTTCCAAATGTTTTATTTTTGAATAAATTTGAATAAATTTAAATTGCTTTTTATACATTTTGAAGGATTTTTGCCTTCCTGGCAAGTTCCAATTTTACCTTTTTGTTTTTACCCTTTTGTCAATTTTTGTCCTTAGTGGCAATTTGTCTGTTTATATTTTGTTAATTCAGTTACTTATGTCTGTCTTTTTTATTTCTCTCCCCATTTTTCTCTTTAATTATTCTCTTTCTCTATTTATCGTTTATTTTAGAGTCTTCCTTTGAAGTGTCATTTCAAAATATCTAAAAACAAAATGTCATTAAGAGCAAAATTTTGTAAAATGTAGTTGGGTTAATTTTTGTTTGGCTTTTTTTAGGTAATATTCAATTTCGTTCCCCCCTTCTTTTTTTCCATCCTCAAAGTATTAAAAAATGGTCAGTCTGACTTAAGTTATAGAACTCGTCGAGCTGAGTCGAATGACACCGAAAACGACGTGATCGGACATGGTTTGACAAAGTTATGAATTTAAGTGTAGACCTAACGGAGTCGACGACTTATGTCATAACTTTGTCAAACCATGTCCAATCACGTCGTTTTTGGTGTCATTCGACTCAGCTCGACGAGCTCTTTCGAATGAGCTATCATTTTATAAATTTTCGTTTTTATAATTTTTCGCCCCTATGGTTGTTCAATTTTCAGGGGTCTGTATTTCGGTCAAATTAAGTTGGATTTTTTTGATTTTTGTGTCATTCGACTTAGCTCGACGAGTTCTATAACTTAAGTCAGACTGACCATTTTTTAATACTTTGAGGATGGAAAAAAGGAGGGGGGAACGAAATTGAATATTACCCTTTTTTACTTAGATTTTTGTCAATTTTTCTCGTTATTTTTTGTAATTTTTTTCAGTTTTAGATTTTAATTCTCTTTTTAATGGACCCACAAATGGATTCTGAAATGGATGTCTCTTCAACACATGACAAATCTTCTGACCAATCTCACGATAAATCTGAACAATCTTACCAAATGGATGTTGATAGCAAAGAAGACGTTAAAAAGGAACCAGATCCGGGTCAACTAAACAAATTACTGGATGATATCGAATCTGAAGTTCACGAACAAATATGTTCTGATCAGGTTTTTTTGAGTTTTTAAATGAATTGTTGACTAGTTTTTTTCGTTTAGTTACCCAGTAAACAAAGATTATCAAAATCTGCCAAGGATGGGGATCACAGACATCGAATGACAGAAAAGGAGGAAGATGAACAATTACTTCAACAAAGTGCACTGACTAGTGGAAGTACTTTTGTTTTTGAAAATACCCCTCCATATATTAAAAATGGAGAGATGAGAGATTATCAAATTCGTGGGTTGAATTGGTATATTTTTTAAATTATTTTTTTGTTTGGATGCCTTCCCTTATTTCTTTTTATTCACCCTAACTTTTTGTTGTCCTTGGTATTGTTTTACCTGATTAACTACATTTTATTTTTCTCTTTGATCTTGAAAAAATTCTGCCAAATTTTGGGTCTTTGGAGGCCATATCTTGGCCAGACAAAAAACGGGCACATTCTATATCATGAGGCCGGTCTCGACCATTTTTAGTTCGGACATCTCGCAACTTTTCCTTGTTAGTGTGGAAGGTATAGTCTAGTGTTGTTGTGTTCCTGCCTCATCTTTTTTACGTTGAGGTTCGAGTCCTCTAGGCAATACCTTTCACTAATCAGTCATGTTTTTTAATTCTCATTTCCTTTTCAACGTCTGTATAACTTTTCAACTTTTCAAATTAATTTTATTTTTTTCTAATATTTTAGGCTTATTCAATTACAACATAACGGAATCAATGGCATTTTGGCAGACGAAATGGTTCTTTTAATTTTTCTTCTTTTTCAAACCTTTTTCTAGGGTCTTGGAAAAACTCTTCAAACAATTTCAGTCCTCGGATTTATCAAACATTACAAACACCAAAACGGCCCTTTCCTCATTATTGTCCCAAAATCAACTTTACAAAATTGGGAAAATGAATTTAAACGGTGGTGTCCTTCAATCTCTACAGTTACTTTAATTGGAGATCAAGAAGCCAGACAAAAAATTATTCAAGAAACTATTCAACCACACAATTTTGAAGCTTTAATAACTTCTTATGAAATGGTTTTGAAAACTTTAAGTGTTCTAAAAAAGTTTATGTGGCGATATTTAATTATTGATGAGGCACATAGAATTAAGAATGAGAAGAGTAAATTGTCTGAAATGGTAAGGATTAAATTTTAAAAATTTTTGGGGAGGGGATAGAAGGGAGTTGGTTCGTTACGAGACTTTTTTTTTGTCGTCCCTTTCCGGCTTTACTTTTCGAAAAAATTTCTCGAAGGTTTTCATTAGCTGAGGGGGTTGGACTCTAGATCCTTCTTCCTCCCTTTCCTGGATCCGTTTTCCGAAAAATTTCTCAAAGCCTCCCCTTTAGTTTGATAGGAGCGAGTTGGAATCTAGAAGGTATCCTCTTTCTAAAAGTTTCCCGAAAGCTCTTTTTATTATCACCTTTAAAGGCCTATACTGATTTTTTTAATTTTCAGGTTCGCCTTCTCAAATCAAAAAATCGTTTACTCATAACTGGAACCCCATTACAAAACAATTTACACGAACTTTGGGCTCTTTTAAATTTTCTTTTGCCTGAAAAATTTGGAAATTCTGATGATTTTGATGCAATGTTTGCAGAAGATAACGTTTTGGCAGAAAATTCAGATTTGGTTAAAAGACTTCACAGAGTGAGTTTTTTGCTTAAAATTTTTTTGAAAATTTATTTTTAAAGATTTTGCAACCTTTTCTTCTTCGTCGTTTAAAATCTGATGTCGAAAAAAGTTTGTTGCCCAAAAAAGAATTGAAGGTTTATGTTGGAATGTCAAAATTACAAAGAGAGTGGTATACAAAAATTTTAATGAAGGACATTGATATTTTAAATTCTTCTGGAAAAGTGGAAAAGGCTCGTTTAATGAATATTTTGATGCATTTGAGAAAATGGTTTTTTTCAAAAAAGATTTTTTAATTGTGTTTTTAAAGTACAAATCATCCTTATCTTTTTGATGGAGCAGAGCCGGGCCCACCTTTTACTACAGACAAACATTTGGTTGATAATTGTGGAAAAATGGTTCTTATCGACAAATTACTTATTAAATTGAAGGAACAAGGTTTCGTTTAGGATTTTTATGTGGAAGTAGAAAATGTTCTTTCAGTTTTTTCCTACATTTTTAAGAAAGATTTTTTAGAAAAAAAATTTTTTTTCAAATCCCATGAACATTAATAAGATTTTATGAAGAAAATATCTCCTTTCTAGTTTTTCTGAAATTTTTTTCTAGAGAATTTTTCTGGTAGACTTACGTCAGGAACATTTGTAAGGCTTTACACAATCATTACCAAAATTTTTGGGTATCCAGAACCGAACAGAAACAAATTTTCTGAATTTGGAATTCTGCAGAAGAAATGTCAGAAAAATCCTCGGGGGTTCGGTCTGTTCTTAACTGTCAACCCTAATCACTAATGCTTTTTATTTTTGATTAATGCTCTTTTTATAGGTTCACGTGTCCTAATTTTTTCTTCAATGACGCGTATGTTGGATATATTGGAAGATTTTTGTTGGTGGTAAGTCTTTGGAAAAAATTTTTTCTTAAAAAATTTTTTAAAGGCGCGGTTATCAATATTGCCGTCTAGATGGAAATACTCCCCACGAAGATCGCCAACAATCAATCGATGCTTTTAATGCCCCAAAAAGTGAAAAATTTATTTTTATGTTAACAACTCGTGCTGGTGGACTTGGAATTAATTTGGCAACTGCTGATGTTGTTATTATTTATGATTCTGATTGGAATCCGCAAGTTGATTTACAAGCAATGGATAGAGCACACAGAATTGGACAAACTAAACAAGTTTATGTATTCCGATTTGTTACTGAAAAGTTGGTTTATTTAATTTTATTTTTTAATTTAAACAGTTTTTCTGATCCTTAGGGGTATGAATTTATGAAAAAAAATTTCAAAAATTTTTTTAAATTAAACTTAAGCTTGAGATTTGAAAGTAAAAATCATTCAAGCTAACAATAACAATTAGCGAGATTTTCTTCCTGGGTGTTTGGGGCAAGAACCACTAATCTCCCTTTGATATTAGGATTTTGTTCGTTTAGAATTTTTCGAATTATCGAGCTTGATAGTAGCCTCATGTCATTGTCTTTAGAATTTTTTGTCATTGTTTTTCTTTACTTTTATCCTTTTTTAATATTTTCTTTTCAATTTCCAGTAGCGTTGAAGAACGAATTATTGAAAAAGCTGAAATGAAATTGCGTTTAGACAATATTGTAATCCAGCAGGTTTATTTTTTTCTTTAAAAAATTCCAACAAAAATTCTTTTCCCTTTTAAAGGGCCGTTTAGTCGAAAGTCAAAAAGCTTTGGGGAAAGAAGATATGTTATCAATGATTAGACATGGAGCAAATACAATATTTGCTGGAAAGGATTCAACAATAACCGATGAAGATATTGATGTAATTTTGTCTAAAGCTGAAGAAAAAACAAAAGAATTAAATGAAAGATTGGAAAAATTGGGAGAATCTTCTCTAAGAAATTTTACTTTGGATACTGAAGGAGGAGGTGGACAACAAGGAAAAAGTTTATATGAATTTGAAGGAGAAGATTATAAAGCTAAACAATCCAGACCTGTGGGGGATTATTGGATTGAACCACCCAAAAGAGATAGAAAACCAAATAGTTATAAAGTGGATTTGTATTACAAGTTTGTTTGAAAAATTTTTAAATTTTTTTAAATAATTTTTTTGAGGGTAGGGAGAGACTTGCGGATAGACATTTACATGTACGGCCCACACCTTAACAAAAAATTTTTTTCTGTTATTGTTTGGGGGAGTAACGACTTCTTGGGGGAGTAACGGGTGAACTAACGACTTGTGTACTTACTTTAGTTGTGCTCCCTCTCAAATGTTTTCTAATTGTGAGGACCGATAGACATTTGCTGTCCATGATTTTAAACTAAATGTTATTCAAAATCCATATTTAAAAATATTTTTTGTTGATAGTTTTCGGTCCCTTTGACTGTCCGCAAGTATTGTGTTTTCCCTTTTTTTAAGTTTAACTTTTAATTTTTATTTTTTTTAAAGAGAGCAATTGAAAGGACCTCAAAAAGGCGAAACAAAAGCAAAAGCACCAATTCCTAAAAATTTTCCAAATATTTTTGATTTTCAATTTTATCCGAGACGTCTATTTGATATTCTTGAGAAAGAATTAAATTACTTTAGAAAAAGCATTGGTACGGAGGTTTTTTAATTAAATTTTACTTGGCCGTTTCCTCGGGTCGGGTCGAAAAAGGCCGGGTATCGGGTACCCTACCCATCCCTGCCTGGACTCCGAATGTTAATTTGTCTTGGTTTTTCTGGATTTCAAGTCGAGTAATCGATCCATCTTAATACTATAAATAGCCAAGACTTTGAAAATCTCAATTTATAGTTTCGGGTTGAAAATTAACTGACGGGTTTTCGATTAGTTCTTATCAGGGATCTAGCCGTCCCGATTCCAGAAAATCGAGAATTCCCGACGTTTTTTGGTTGGGAATTTAATTTTTATGTCGCTTAGATCCCTGGTGCTTTTTGTCACAAACCCAGTTTTTTTCTCCCTTTTTTCCTCCAAAAACATCTCCTAAATTCTAGTTTGAAAAAAATTATTTTATAATTTTTTATAGGTTGGAAACCTTTACCACCAGAAGATTTAACAGGAAAAGAAGCAGAAAAGGCCCAAAAAGAAGAACAAACAAAAATAGATAATGCTGTTGAATTAACAGAAAAAGAGGAAACAGAAAAAGAAAAATTGTTAAATCAAAATGAATTTGCTGATTGATCTAAAAGGGAATTTAGACAATTTATTAATGCTAGTGAAAAATATGGAAGGCATGAATTGGAAAGTATTGCTAGAGAAGTTGAAACGAAAACTTATGAAGAGGTTTTTTTTTATTTTAATTATTCGGCTCTATCGCAAATGAGGTGCGTAATCATATTTTTTCCTCCTTCTTTTCACAAGTTGAAAAGGGGCAGTTTTTCCTTAGTTTTTCCTTAGTATTTAATTTGTGTTAATTTTGCCGTAAGGAAAAATAATGAAAGAGGATTAATTTTTTTACATTTTCTTAATTTATTACTGATTTATTCAGTTTATTAATTTTTGTTTTAGTTCAAATAATTTTTAGTTTTATTAATTTTATAAAAAATGGCTCCTAAAAAAATTACCAAAATTGCTGAATATAATGATTTATCACCTGATTTTGACTATATAACCCTTCATTGGATCCTATCATTGGATACTTTGGGTGTATTAAAATTTCTTGCTTTCCATGGTTTAATTAAAAATGAAATGAATTGTGAAACATGTCTAGATTGTATGGGATTGAATAAGAAAAAGGATGATTTTGTTTGGTATTGTATTTTTAAACTGTTATAGGAGGGCCAGAAAACTGTTTTTAAATATATAATTTATTTTCATGTAAAAAAATTAATCCTCTTTCATTATTTTTCCTTACGGCAAAATTAACACAAATTAAATACTAAGGAAAAACTAAGGAAAAACTGCCCCTTTTCAACTTGTGAAAAGAAGGAGGAAAAAATATGATTACGCACCTCATTTGCGATAGGGCCAATTATTCTATAAGAATAGGGGGAGGAATTAAATTTATTCAATCAAAAATTCTTAATAATGTTTAAGTAATATTTGTGGCCTAGTGGTTAATGAGTTTGGCTTACTAAAAAATAGGGAGGGGTTTGAGGCCTTTTGAAGTTGTTTTTTTTAAATGATGCAGGTAAATAATAAAAATATTTAAGTAAAAAATTAATAACTTTTGTGACGTTTGTTTTGGCCTAGTGGTTAGTGAGTTTGGTTTAAATAAAGAATAGCTGTGGGTTCGAATCTTCTCGCTTCTTCTATTTTTAAATGATGACTTAAAGTAATTAAATAAGATTTTTTTATTTTTTATATGGTTTGTATTCGATTCCTTTATTTTTTGAGATTGAGATTTTTTGATGAAAATAGTTTAAAATGAATTTAAAAAATAATTAGTGTATAAATAAAAAAATTTTTTACATTCTTTTAGGTTGTAAAATATTCAAAAGTTTTTTGGAAGCGAATTAATGAATTGGCTGATGGAGAAAAATATCGCAATCAAATAGAAAAGGGTGAACAACGAATACAGAAGCGTCAAGCTATTAAACAAGCTTTGGAAGCTAAAATAATTAAATACAAGGCACCACAACATCAATTAAGTAAGCGGTCTCATTAGTTAACCTGTGGTCTAATGGATAGGGTGTTATGTTTTGGGGCACAGCTTTTATTTAAAGGGCTGGGTTCGATTCCTCTTGTGAGCGAATTTATTTTTAACGTTTAAATAATTTTTTTAACGTTAAAGTAAAATTTGTTTAAGCTTCTAAACTAAAAAATAATTTTTTAGGAATAAATTATGGTGGTTCAAAATGTAAAAACTACACAGAAGAGGAGGATAGGTTTTCATTTTTTAAATTAAAATTCTACTTAAATTTTTTTAGATTCCTTCTCTTTCATTTGTACGAACTCGGATTTGATAACGAAAATGTTTATGATGAATTGAGACAAAAAATACGTTGTGCTCCACAATTTCGATTTGATTGGTTTATTCGTTCAAGGACAACAATGGTTTTTCTTTTTAATTTTTTTGAAGAATTTCTTTTAAATTTAAAGGAAATTCAACGTCGCTGCAATATTTTAATTTCTTTAATTGAAAAAGAAATGGGCGATATGGGAATAAATGAATTTACACAACCAGCAACATCAACAGCTTCCCCTGCTGTTAGTAAAAAGGGAGGGAAGAAACAAGAAGAAAAAACGCCTGCAACTAAAAGAAAAGAACATCCAACACCTGGACCTTCAAAAAGCAAGAAAGCAAAATGAATGTGTTGTTGTTTTCGGTTTACTTTTTTATTTTTGATAAATATCGGTTTTTTAATTTTGTGGCAATTTGTAGCTTTTTTTTTAAATTAAAAATCAATATATTGATTGTATCGATTGATTTTTAAATTAAAGACATTATGCTAAAAATGACAATTTTTGAAAAATTTTTGTTCTGTATACGGGCCCTTCAGTTAAAATCTTTCTAATTATAATTTTCCCCCTTAAGAATTACTCAAAAGCGAGCGCAAACGATAAACGCCAAAATCATTATTTAAATAACAAAAAATTTCAACAATTAACATTAAGAAAAGAAAAACTTAAAAATATCAAAAAAGAAAATAAATTAAAACCTCCCTATTCATTCCATTTCTTTTAATTCTTCATCCCCTCCATTTGTTTCAGATGAAGCTTTTCTGTAGTGAAGTCGCGATTTTGTCTTTTAAAAAAATTAAATTAAAAAGAAATTTCCCTTAAAAAATTACCGATGTCAACGCTTTTCTAACCAAATCTTTTTTAATTTTATCAAAATTTTTGGCATCTTCAGGTTGTAACATTGACATTATACGTGTATCAAATGTTGAAATATTTTCTGGTAAACATGTTGGGACCTTAAAAAATTTTAAAAAAATTAAAAAAAATTTGAGGTGACATTTCATCCCCAATACATGGACATTTTATCCCAAATAAAGTCGAATATCTGTTAATGGACCTTCAGTAATACTTGAAACATAAAATCTATTTTTCCTAGCAACAATTTTTTAAAGGTTTGGTGACCCCAAAAAGTCCGCAGAATTTTGTCCGCAAGAAAAAAAGTCCGCAAGTTGTTTTGCGGACGCCAAAAAATCTTTTTTTTCTCTTTGTTATTTCTCTAAACCCTCTAAATTCCTCAACTATTAAAAAATTAAAAAAAACCTGTTTAATAACTTCAAGTAATGAAGGATATTTTGGACGTAAATAAGAATAAATATCATAAATTAAAACTAATAATGGGCCTGTTGCTTTAAAAATAAAATTTTTTAAATTTAAATTCCCAAAAAAACCTAATTCATCATTTGAAAACATTTGTAAACTTTTGATACTTTGAACAAGTAATTCTATTGATGTATGTTCATTAAATGTTGAAAAATACTTTAAAGAGTAAATGACAAATTTTATTATTATTAACTGAATGAATAATGGGGAAGGGTTTAAGGCCATCTCCAGTCTAACAAGGCAGGGATGGGTCGGTGGTGTTAAGAAAAAAAAGTCAGGTCAGTCCCGAAATGAAAAAAGTCCGTTGTTTTTAGGTTAACCCAACCCATCCCTCAAGGGCGTAGCCAGAGGGGGGAGGGCTTCTGGGGCTATAGCCCTCCTGAAATCGATCTCCTGGCTACGCCCTTGCCAACTTTGATAAGAAAAAAAAAGTTTCGAACTGAGTTCGGGAATCCTATTCAATATCTATTTTTTACTCATTCCTTTTTTGAAGTCAAAATGAGAATAATAAAACTTTTTTTTTGGAACCCCTCCCCCCTCAAAAAATTTAATTAAAAACAACAACAAACTTCATGTACAATAACCGTAACTGCCGGCATACATTTTACAACAGCTTGGGAATCTGGACAGGTAATTAATCTTGCTAATAAACCAATTATAGCTAAACGAACATTCTTTTTTTTAAATAAAAAATAAATTTTAGAAAAAAAATTTTTCAAAAAAACCTCATTTTCCATTAATTTTCTAGATATTAAAGTTATAGGTAGAGGAATATCCCTTCTAGCACTTTTAAGTGAAAATGTTTCGCCAAGAATAAAATGAACAATAAAATAGGAACATTCTCTAAAAATAATAAATTTTAGAAACAAAAAAATTTTTTGTCCGCAAAAATTTGTCCGCAAAAATTTTTTTTGTTCGCAAAAATTCTTGACCAAATAAAATAAAACTTTAAACAAAAAACCTTGTTAATAAACTCATTGTACTTTCAGCAATTAATTCTTCTTCTGTAGGTTCATATTCATCAGTTGTTTGTGTTTGTTTAATTAATAACCATTGTTCCACCAATCTTTTTTGTAAATGAAAGGAAAGACGGGTAACCAATGGAATTATTGTATTCGAATATTGTTCAGGACAAGAAGTTATTATTCTGGACCTTTTAAATAAATAAAAAATTAAAAAATAAAAAAAATTTTTGCGGACAAAAAAAAGTCCGCAATACTTGTCCGCAAAAAATTTTTTGTCCGCAATTATCAAAACCACCCAAAACATTAAAAAATCAAAAAATACCCCCCAAAAATTAGATAAAATTAAAAAAAAACCATGCTCTCCGTAACCAAAACCTCAAACGAAAATTTGGTACATTATCTATTGCATATAATGTTCCAGTAATTAATTCAGTAGAATTATTTATTGAGTAAATATTTAAAGGAAATTTGTAGAAGAATAAACCAAGAATGCTTTGAATTAAATCTGAGATCTGTAAAAAAATTTTTAATATTAGAAATATTTAAATAATCAAAGAAATTAAATTTAAACATTTCTTGTAATTAAATAAATAAAAAACACGCAGGAGGGGTCGAACCTTATACCCTATTAAACGCAAAATCAAAGTCACTACCGACTAAACCAAAGAGTCAGCAGATCATTTATCAAAAAATTTAATTTTATAAATTTTTCCTTATCAAATAGCAAATAAAAAACCATAAGAGGAATCGAACCTTCGACATCAATACTTAAAAATCCAAAACACTATCCACTACACCAAAAACCGACATTAACAACTTCAGTTTAAAATTTAATATAATTTAATTAAATCTTAAAATAAAAAAACCTCCACAATAAATTTCCTCATAAACATGGCAATTTCTTGATTTCCATATCCATTAGAGAATTGTCCAACTTCAAATTCTTCAAACTTTTTAGAATCAGCTCCATTACTATCTTGTTCTAAGGTTATTGAGGCTTAAAAAATAATAAAAAATTTGACAGAAAAATGTAAAAAATATAAGTGGGACAAAATGTCACCACAAAAATTTTTATTCTTTTGAGTGTGGAGAACCAAAAAATTTTTTTTCATCAAAAAAAAACAAAATTCATTCAAGAAGAGACCACAGAAAATCCAAAAAAAATTTTTTTGAAAAAGTGTGGGTTGAAATGTCACCATAAAAAATTCGCTTAAAAATATCAGAGGACAAAAAAATTTTTTCATTAAAAATTCGGGAAGATTGCCCTATTACCCATTAAAAAAAAATCAAAAAAATTTAAAAACCACATACAAACAAGTGTTTGCCTTTCAGACGGCACCATTTCCAAAATACTCAAACCATAAATTGGATGAACTTTAGAAGAATATTCGGGCATATAAATTGAAGTTAAACATCTTTTTTTTAAAAATAAATTTAAAAAAATTTTTAAATTTAAAAAAAACCTGCAAAATTGAAATATTTTAGGCAAAACAGTAAAAAATAAATTAAAAATATTAGCTGATGATGATTCATTATTTGGCACTTCTACTTGATTTAGTACTCCCTCCAATGCTGTTAAACTTGCTTTTAACTTAAAATTGAGTGTAATTAAAGAAAAATTAGACAAAATTCAAAAAAAATTAAAATGGGATCAAATGTCACCTTGGGAAAAAATCTTTTTTCTTGGCCAGAACTTTTCGATTTCTAACCGATTTAAATAACTAGTTATATCACTCGACAGCACTGGATGAGGGGATTATTTTAACTAAAAGGATCGTGCTAATCAAATCATCCTAAAAAAGTAGAGCCTAATAGAGTTCAAAAAAACACGATTGCGCGCACTACTCTTTGTGTTTTGATCTGATCAAAATAATCCTTTTAGAGATAAATCCTCAAACTTAGAGCTTTCGATTGGTAAAAAATTATTTAAGTCGGTTAAAAATTAAGAAAGTTACGGCTAAAAGGAGTTTTACCCGATAAATAAAAAATGAGAAAAATGTCACCATGAAAAAAATATTTTTGAACGAAATTAAATTAACCAGAAATTGGAGACATCCCCACAATTGACCCACCCAACCCAAAAAAAATTAAAAAAAAACAAACATTAAGTCTACTCAAGTAATATGGACATGATTGACTAGCTATAGCCTTCAAATCAGGTGCAAAACTCAATCCAGTATTATTCAAAAAATTTTCCATTGAAGCTGAGAAGGGTTCTGTTTCAATATAATTAATATCATATGAAATAGCATTTCTTAAAAATGACGTTTTTTCTTCTACAGTTGAAGCTAAATTGCTTAATGACGCCAAAACATGAACTAAATTGGATCTTTGCATCATTGAAACATTATTAGATACTTGACCAACTAAATCAAATACATTACGTGCATATGGCTGTTAAAAATAAAAAAAAATTTTTTTTGGACCATAATCAGGATTTTTTCGGAGGGAGGGCCAACAGGAACTGTAAGCCAAAAAATTTACTTTTTTGCCTCATCCCCTCCCCAAATATTTTCCTTTCCCTATTTCAGAGGGAGGGGAAATCCTCCCTTACCTATAGTAATTACAGGCCTGATGGTGAAGACTCAGTGGGATCCTAAAGGATTTAATTAATTTCTCAGCACTTTAAAACACACTATAAGGACAATTGTGGAATTTGATTTTTTTAATAAAAATATGTGCTCCATCGTGTGGTCTAAAAAAATTTGATTCGAACATGTTTTTTTATCATGATCTTGAAATCTCGAAATTATAAATTATATAGAGGTTTAAAGTGTTACAAATTTTTTTGAGACTCTTCGAGTTGTCTAACAAAAAGCCCTTTTTTAATCTTAAAACGAGATAGAAGACAAAAAATTGAAAAAAATTTTTTTGGAAACTCAAATCAGTGAGTTATCCCCCTATACAAAGAGAAATAAGTAGGGACAGCCAAAATATGCACGGAAAATCGCCAAATATGCGCATATATATGCACCGAAAAAGCCCAAAATATGCACCAAAATATGCAAAATTTGCCAAAATATGCACTGAAATATGCACCAAAAAATAGTTAAAATATGCTTTAAAAATCAATATTTTAAGTTAAAAACACGAAATTAGCCTTTAAAACTGCAATTTAAGATAATTCCTAAAAGATTTTATGGAATTAAGATTTCTGCATAAAAATTTATTGAAAGAAAATTTTTCCGAAAAATTTTTCGAAAAAATTTTTTCATAAAATTTTTATAAAAAAATTTTTTGACCAAAAAAATTCAAAAATTTTGAAAATTTTCGCCGATTTTTACTAAAATTTACCAAAAAATGCCGAAATATGGACCAAAATATGCAAAATTTGCCAAAATATGCACAAATATGCAAATATGCACGAAATGGTCGAAATATGCAAATATATGCATTAAGAACCGGGTCCTAAAGTGCTCGGACCTATGTAAAAACACCATTTTTGGGCTTCCCACTTCAAGGCATATCCGCATACAAAACATGCATTTGCATGTTTTGGCTGTCCCTAGAAATAAGAAATAAAAAAAACTTTCAAACCAAACCTTAACTTGTTCAGGAAAAACAGAAACAATTTTTAACAACAATGCAATACAATGTCTTTTAGTTGCAGTAATTTCAACATTTAAATTATTTTCATTATTAATTAACAAAATTAATTTTAACAGATCCAATACATTTAAAATTCTTTCCCCAAAATTTTCAAAAATTTGGAAGAATGATGACAATGTTGATAAAAGTCCATTCATAAAATTTGGAAGAGTTGTTGGTGCTGTTGTCCCCGAGGAATTATTTAAAATATTTAAACAACAATTGAAAATAACATCAAATAATTGCAAATATTTTTTTCGAACTTCCAATGTTGTTAACAATTCATTTTGATATGAACCTGATATTACTGCAGTTAAAAAACGTTTCATTAATTCCCATTCATCTGAAGTTACTGGAAAAAAAGAAAAAAATATTTTTAAAAAGACACAAAAAAACAAAAGCGTATCCAAGGAATCGGAGGTTTTTTGAAAGGGGGGGGGCTAACATTGACCCCTAAATATGTCTTTGCAATTACGCGCATATCCAAAGGGGCTAATATAATACGCCCTTGTAATTAATTGAAAAATATGTACCTATTCTCTATAAATCTTAATAGGAACGCATATACAAAAGGTCTCCTATTGTTAGAAGGAGATTTTCATCTAATACCCATGTCCAATCATAACAAAAAAATTTAGTAGTACCTAAAAAATATCCATATAGTCCTAAATGTAGCTCAAAGTAAAATGGACTTGACGTGATTAATGTTCCCAGGGTTAAAATTAAAAAAAATTTTTTAAAGAAAAACCTTCTTGAGGCTGTACAATACAACGATTCATTACCCAATCATTTACCACATCAAATAATTTATCAAAATGATTTGGCATTGTTTCTCGAATTATTCGAAGGCAGTATTCACGTATCCCTAGGAAAAAATTTTTTGAATGTAAGCCAAAATAAATTATTCTATTCGACAACCTTAACCATCCAAAATTTAGTACTAACATAAACAAACTTCAACAATATCTACAATGCTTTAAGGATGTTACAGATTGAAAAGTCGGGGGTTGGGCATTAGATAAAAATGCTGAGGGTTCGTGTAATCCGCGACATCCCTGCTATGCTACATAAATGCTTCTTTGTCTTACGACAAGAATATAAAAGTCAAAAAAGGAAGAAAAAGAAAAAATTGTGCTTGACTTTTGTTCCCTTCCTTTCTCCCCTTATTACCTATTAAAAAATAAAATCTACAACAAACTTAAATATTCTCTCTGCAAATCCTCTTTATTTTCATAATCCATTCGAGAATATTGAAATGTTAAATCTTCTTGTCCAATTGTTGGAGAACATGTCTTTAATTAAAATTTAAAAAATTTCTTTAAAAATAAAAAAAAACCTTGCTCATTGCCCTAGGCAACACTTTCAACAATTGAGGAATATATTTTAAAAAGTCTTCGTTGGTTGAGATTTTTTCGTTGGAACAAAATGTTGCAATAACTTGAGCAGTTTCAGCACGAATATATTTTAATAGATGAATTAATCAGTTATTCACGTTTTTAAATACCTCCAGAACAAGATCCTTTCCAATTATAAGACCTTTTCTAGCCCTATGGGAGCGCGCCATAATACCAAAACGCCGAAATACCAAACCCCCAAAAGTCGTTGGAATATCAAACTGTGGAGATGACGCCGAAATAACAAATAAATACATAAATTGGTTATTATCGGGGAACAATCTTCCAAAGGTTGATGGAACCCTTGCCGGAATAGGTACATACGGACTAAGGAACATGCTGACCCAATTCCCGAAATCGGTAATTTTGCTTTTTTACGTCAGGATCCCTGATACGTTGTTTGTTATTCTTTCAGTTTGGTATCTCGACGTATTACGGCATGATACCTACACTCTATTTCAGCAAAACATAATAAAAAAGGACAAGTCCAAAGGGTATTCAAAAACAAAAAATAAATCAAAAACAAACTATTGAAGGATGAACAAAAAATGCAGACAAAGCAGAAATATAAAGTGAAAAATTAGGTGGAGGTTTCATTACATAAGTCCAAACTTCTGATAAATGAATACCCAATGCACATAAGAGATCTAGTAGAGCCTTTAAAAATAAATTTAAAAAATTTTTTTGCGGACAAAAATTTGCGGACAAAATAAATCTGCAAATACAATGAACAAAAATATTAAATTGTTCTTGGTACCATTCGATAGAGGACCCCTGACTTACTTAGCAAAGTGACATTCCTTTTGTTAAAAAATGGTTTTGGGCAGCATTATGGTCACTCAAACTTTCAAGTTTGACAAGGGAAGGCTGCGATGTGTCCGACCTAAAAACGGTCGAGACCGGGCTCATTCGATAAAAAATGTGCCATTTCTAACAAGGATTTTGAACCGTTTTTGCCCGTTTTTTTGCTTTGGCCAAGATATGGCCTTCCAAAGTCCAAAAATAAAAAAATCCCTTCTATTTTTTAAACAAAAAAATAAAAAAAAAACAAACAAACCTTTAAATATTTATAATGTTCACAACTTGTAGAACTATCTGCTGCTGCTAAAAGAAATTTCTTTAGTCCACAAAACTTTAAAAATTTAAGAAAAAAACCTAAATTAGCTGCCGTCAAAATTCGTTGCATTGGAGCATCTCTAAATAAACTAACAACAATTGGTGTTTCAATAGATTTTGCACATTTTCTAGAAGCTATTTTATAAAGACATTTAGCTGCTTCTTCGTATAAATTCATTTCAGCAGTTTGTCTAAAATTGGGAAAAAAACCTTTTGAAAATTTTAAAGAATTGAAAAATTCTTCTAAAGCAATTTAAGTATCGAAAAATATTGCTAAATATTAAAGGGAAACATTTGGGATCAAATGTCATTAAGAAAAAAATTTTTTTGTAAAGGACAAGCTAACTTATAGGTAATTAGGAAATAAACAAAAAAAGAAACATCTAGGAGATCAAATGTCATCTTCCACAAAACTGGGGGAGCGATGGGAGGAGGGGAAGTCAAGCCCAAACAAAAACCGGTGAGGGCTACCTGTTAGTAACAGCTAGCCAGAAATATTTTTAATATTCCCACAAAGACCGAGAGAGGAACTCAAAAATCAGAGAAACATCTAGGGGATCAAATGTCATCTTCCACAAAACTGGGGGACCGATGGGAGGGGAGTCAAACCGAGACAAAAACCGATGAGGGTAACCAGCTAGCCAACAATAATTTTATAATATTCCCCCAAAAACCGAGAAGCTCCCAAATCAATCAATCAATAAAAAATACCTACAAATAAGCACATAAAACATCCACAATAGCATCAACATGTTCTTCCAAAGTTCGAGTAACTACCCATTCAACAATTTCAGACAAAGCTTTAGTTGCTGCCAAACTAACAAAAACTGAAGTTTCTTCTGTTTTGAGGGCATAAACGATTGCGGCCAAAACTGGGGCGACTTTTTGTTTGTCTGTCAAGTCTTGACAGATATAGCCTAGAGCTTCCAATGAGGATTCTTTTAATAAGGGATTGTCGCTTTTAGTTGTTACATTAGCATTTAGACGGTCAATAAGCTCTGGCCATTGCTTTAAATAAAATTTTTTAGATAAAAATTAAAACAAATTTTGTGTATCTAGTTTGCGGACAAAGTTTTGCGGATTTTAGGCTTTTTTTAAATTACCAGAAATTGATGGGATTTCAGAAAATGGGAAAAATTATAAAAAATGTCAAGCAACTCCATCAATTTAGGTTGATCAAGTAATCGAAAATTGAACAAATGCAACAAGACAAATGATGGGATCAAATGTCACTTCCCCAAATTTTCATTTTAAGATTTCGTAATAACATCGAAAATTTTTTTTAGTAAAATACAGATATAAATCGAAATCCTACTTAAAAAATCAATCTGACACATCCCCAAAATTTTGCCAGGGAAAGTTACAAAAAAGTGGACACCTTCAATACTTACAAGCTCATGAAACTCAGCTTTATAAACTCAAAAAAAAAATAAAAATAAAATACCCTTATCGGAAATTCAATACAAGAAATAGCAGCAACACATTGGGCAGCAGTTGAAGGCCTAACTTCAGTTCCCAGCGTTTTTAAAACACATTCTTTCACATATTGGCGTACTTCTAAAGGTACAGATAACCATCTAAAAATTAAAATAATACAAAAATCTTTCCAAAAATCCCCTCAAACCTCAATTTATTTTTATCAAAAAAGGATTGTTCTCTAGAAGCTAACACATTTTTTAATTGAAGTCCAGCAGCACGTCGAATATAATGAGGGGAATCAACATTTGCGAGGATTGTGGCAAGTTGCTTGACATACTCAGGCTGTCAAAAAAGAATAAATTTTTTGAGTTTTTCAAAGAAAACAGGTCGGACCAAGTCGGAAAATTCTTTGAGTAAATTAGGATGCCAAGCTCCCCATCCCACGGACAAAAAACTTTATTGTAAAGACTCATCCTTACAAAGGAACAAGACTTTGATTGACCACCTTAACCCGACCCAAGGCCATTTTGCAGGGAAATCGGATACCAAAAGATGAATTCGTAATAACAGTAAACGATCTTCCCTCATCAGACCAATCCTAAATGTTAAATCCTTACTGAACCCAAATAACCCATAAAAATTTAAACTAACAAAATTTCCAGTCATTGCCTGCTGCAAAAGAGTAAGAGCATACTGTTGATCTTTCGAATCTAAAATTTAAGAAAATAAATAAAAAATTCAATAAACACAAAACCTGAAGAAAAAGTTTTCTCCAAAACCTGTGAAAGCTCCATAATTCTTTTTAAAAAATTTTTAGAAAAAATATTTAAAAAAAAAGAATAAATAAAATTGAAATTTCAAACATTTAAAAAATACAAACAAATTATTTTCATTTTAATAAATTTTATAACGAATTATTACAACAAACAAAAAAATCACTCGATACGTGTAGAAACCAGGAATGTCACGGGGTATCCGCAAAATACTACCAGAACCTTGTTCTCTTACCGTGACATCCTTGGTAGGAACCCCCCAAAAATGGAAAAAATTATAAGGAAAAATAGAAAGGTAAGGAATAATTTAATAAAAAGAAGGAAAAAAGTAAGACCCTGACAGTTCATAAAGACAAAAAAATAAAAAATCCTTCTTTTTCACCCAAAAATACCCTCAACAAAAAATTAACCATAAAAATAGAAATCTTCACAAAATTCAAAAAAAGTCTGATTCTAAATTAAAATTTTGATATGTATTTAATTTTAAAAATTCTTCTCTTTCATTAGCCTTTCCAATACCGATAGAAGCAATACATAAAAATTATAAAAAGAACACATAAAATCAGAAAAAGCAGCCAATCCTCTTCTAACCTTTTTTCTATCATTCGCAAAGTTGTGTTTGAAAGACCAAACTAAAATTGAAAAATAAAAATAAGTCTGAAAATAAATTTAAAATAATTTTAAAAAAAAGTTTGGAAAGAGTTAACATTTAAATAAACCCATTAAAAACAAATTAAAAATGCCCTCAGCCTAAAGGATTCGAACCCATAACCTATTTGATCTTAAAACCTAAACTCATCCCACTTATCCACCGACAACAATAACCTTAACACTAAATAATTTTAAAAAATTTTTGAGGTCTTTTAGATTAAAATAGACAAAACAAAAAAGAAACTAAAAAAGTTTTACATCAGCAGGACTCGAACCCTCGACCCCTTAAACACAAAACTCAGGCCTATCCCACTTGTCCACCAATAACCTCAACAAACATTTCTAATTCAACGAATATCTAATTAAATAAATACCAATTGTCCAACGTCCAAAATTTTCCTCTTAACTCCTTTGAGTTCGTGATGCTGTTCTTTCAAATTCTGTAAAGTATATTCTCCTTGTGCTAAAAGTTCGTCTAATGCATTGTTTGAATGTCTCAATCTATCGTTGAAATGAAGTTCTTCCCCTTCCAAATCCAACTTTGTATCGTTTTGTTTGCCAAATCTTGAAGACATTTTTGGGAATATTTGACTAAATTTGATAAAAATACAACTAGAATCTCTAAAAATAAAAAAAAACAAAGAAAAACACCTCAAAATAACAATAAAAAAATTACCCTCCAACTACCCAAAATTTATCTTTTGGTCAAACGAAAAGTTACCACTTTGACAAAATTAATTAATTTAAAAAAGTTGTTTCAGTGCCCACTTTTGAGTGTCGCCTTACTACCAAAGCCAGTTCAGCACCAAATTATAATTGTTTTGCTACTGTGCTAAGGCGGATAAATATTATTTTAAATTCGTCTCTAAATCTTTTACTTAAATAAAATTATTATTCTTCCAAAAAATACTTATTTTTTAAACAAAATTTTCCCCTTTATTTGCTGTGCCCTTTATTTGCTGTGCCCTTTATTTGCTGTGCCGGAAGCACAATTCCCTTTAATTAATTAATTTATTTTTAATTTTGTTATCCAATTTTCTCCTAATTTTCGTTCATTATTCTCCCTTCAGGCTCAGACACACTCCAACTAAGGCATCTGCCTAAAGGAAATTTAACTCTACAGTTATATGGACAAATGTTTGCGCACAACGTGGAGGGTTGTGGAGAAGTCCAACAAGTAACTAAACTTGAGGGTTGATTTAAAATTTTTTCTTGTATTCTTCACCTCTCTAGTCAATTTACCATCTATCCTTTTCTCGTTCAAACCTTCCCAGTTGATTTTATTCCAATATTTTTTTATCAATTTTTAGCCCTTCAGGCCTCTCAAAAATTTTTTTAAAATTTTTTAAAATTTTTAAAATTTTTTATTGCGAGAAGGCGTAGGTTGAATATCAACAAATAGACAGCCCCCAATATTCTTCTAATTTTTAATAAAAATTAAAATTATTTTTTGGTCATCTGACAGTATTAACAGGAGAGGAGGGATTAAAAAGCTTTTGACATAATCAACTTTATAGCCTTTTTATTTATTTTAAATTTTATTTAGATTAAAACAAGCTTGTCATAAGACCTTCTAAGAAGCGAAAAAAATTTTAAAAAAATTAAAAAAAAATTTTCAGGCCGTAGATAAATATTTTTTTTTCATTTTTTCTGTTTAATAGAGTCTTGTGCCAAATAAATTTTTTTCTTCTCTTCTCTTTTTTTCAAAAATTTTTTAAAAAATTCATTCCATTAATTCCTTCACTTTAATATAATTGAAAGATTTTTCTCCCTTTTCCGGATTGGGATGGGCGGAAGTTGGATATTTTACACACACAAAGTATTTGGGGACTCAGTCGCCTAGTAACACGCGTAAAAGACGAGGGATTATTAAAATTGTGAAAATTAATTTATTTAGAAGCCGATAGCTTTTGAATTTATTTTGAAGACAAAATTGAAGTTAAAGAAGCCTTTAGTTAAATTAAAAAAGAATAAAATTTTTTATTAAGAAATTTTTTTGTTTAAAATACTTCAAATATTTTATTTCCTGGTTATTAAGTCTCTAAATAAATGACTCACAAATTTATTAATTTTAGTTGTTATTTTCAGCATTTTTTAAATAATTATATAAAAATTAGCTATCTAAAAAATGAACTAAAAAATTAATTTAAAAAATTAAAAAAAAATAATCAAGTCAGAAAAATTAATTTTTTAGACAAGTTTAGAAGACATTATAGACAGTTTTCGACCCTTAACTTTTCTTATAATCAACCAAATTTACTAATCATATTTTTAAATTATACAGAATTTAATTCTCTATCGATTGATACCTAAATCATTTAAATTGCTCGAATCAAAAATTAGTTATAGTTTTTTGACTGAACCTAAGTACGCGTATACAAGTCCCTAAAAATTAGAAAAAAATCAAAAAAAAATTCAAAAAATTAAAGGAAAAATTTTGAAAAATCAAATAAATAATTTAGGCATACTACAATAATAAAAATATATTTCTCGTGAATAACCCAACAGAAATAATTAAATAATTATGTAAAATCGCCGTTAGAATTGCTCACAATGACACACATTTATTTCCCTCTCTCTTCTATTCACTGATTGGTTATAAGGCTAGCTTAAGAATAGGCCACGCCTACTTTCACTCATTCCTCTACACGCAGTCTTGTCTTTTACAGACTGAATTTTTCACTGTCTTTTCATGAAAAAATTTTTTACTTTTTAAATTTCCTTCTTAAATAATCAAAATTTTAAATCAGAAATTCTTTAATTTTTAAAATAAAAAAGGCAATTAAATAATCCCCCCGTTTGATCGCCTAAGCGGATTATTATTAACAAAAGTACTTAAAAAATTATTTTTATCCTCTTAACGCTTCTCTAAAATCCTTTTGTTTTCTTTAATAATCCGATTAATAAAAGGGAGGAAGGAACATTTCTCAGAAACTTTAAATAATCAAAACACCTTTTCTTGTTAAATTAAGACTCTAATGTTTCCGGAAACATTAATTAAACATTTTCTTAAATTTTCGGAAACATAATAAAACATTCTTTAGTTGTTTATTGTTGTTCCAAACATTTCCGGAAAAACATCATATAAACATTTTCAAATTTTTCCGGAAAACATGTAAAACATCTATTCCGAACTTTTTAGTAAAACATTATAACTGAATAACTATTTGTTTATTTCTTTCCGGAAAAACATCAGCCAAACATTTGCTTAATTTTCCGGAAACGAAACAACGTTGATGTGTTTTGTTTATTCATGTTCTTCCGGAAAAATATCATATAAACATTTATTTTTCGACAAACAAAACATCTATGTTTTTGGCGTTGTTGTTCCGAACATATCAGTAAAACATTAATAAAACAATTATTTCTTTATTTCTTTCCGGAAAAACATCAATTAAACATTTTCTTAAATTTCCGGAAAACATAATATTCTTGATGTTTTATTTATTCATGTTTTTTCGGAAAAACATCATATAAACATTTATTGTTCGCCAAACAAAACATCTATGTATGTTTTTGGCGTTGATGTCCCGAACTTATCAGTAAAACATTTTAATTATTTATTTCTTTCCGGAAAAACATCAATTAAACATTTATGTATTGATCTACAATTTACTAATTTAACACATTATTTTTGTTCCCCCTACCTTTCCTACTATCTCTCCCAAAATTTGTCTTTTTTTCTCGAAGTGTTTTATCAATTCATTTTTCAATATTTGTATAATTTATTCTTGTTATTTTACTCCCGTTGTACATAATCCTCTTTTTTTTTAATAATGCTCGCAACGCGTTGCCGATCGCTGCTTGGAAAACACCGATATATCGCGACATTGAAAAAAGAAAAGAATTTTGAAGAAGTAAATATATAGATTAGGTGTGAATCGCAAAGTTTTTTGATGAGAGAAATAATAGATTGTGGTAGTAAAATAATGATAATCCGGCAATAACGATGAGCTGTTGTTGTTTTTGCTAGTGTTATTTTGAGTTTTGGCTAAATGGGCCGTGTGAGAGAAAATGAATAAATAATCATAGAAAAGACAAGAAAAATATTTAAAGGGCAAAACAAATTTATATAGAAATTTTAAGGAACGATTGGGAATTTTTGAGAAAGTTGGTAACGAGTAGGGGTTATAAATATTTATTACAAGGTGTCTGTTTTTTCCGGAAAACATTGTTCAAATAATATTTATTTACGGAAAAACATCATATAAACATTTTCTTAAGTTTTTCCGGAAAACAACAAAACAATTTTTTCGAAGACAACAAACACATGTTTTTGATGTTTGTGTTTAAGTTTTTCCGGAAAACATTTAATTGGAAAACACAAAACATCATGTAAACATTCCCCCAGGTTTTCCGGAAAACATTTTAATTGGAAAAACACAAAACATCATATAAACATTCCCCCAAATTTTTCCGGAAAACACAACAAATAAATCTTTAGATGTTTTTGTTGTTTGTGTTTTCGAATTTTTCCGGAAAACACTTTAATCAAACATTGTTTTATTACACTAAAACATCATATAAACATTTTCTCAGTGTTTTCCGGAAACAATCACATGTTTTTGTGTTTTAATAATTTTCTAAATGTTTTTGGATGTTTTTGGATGTTTTGCATGATTTTTTGATGGAAAAACAAGAATATCGGGGGAGGGGGGGGGGGCAATTTAAGAATAAAAACATTTTAAATAAATATAGTAATTCAAATATTTTCTGATCTGGCATTTATAAAACTAAATCCTTATTAAAAACGTAAATGAGAAATTTGCCTTTCTCTTTAACTGCTTTTTGATCAACCAAAAATTCAAAATTGTAAAAGAGAAAGGGAAAAGAATGGAGAAAAAATACAAATAAAAATGACTCTAGTTTAACCAAAAAAATTTGAATAGGCACACATTTTGATTAGTCTAAAAAAGAAATTGTGGAGTGTATGGCATTTGAGTAAATGAAAAAATTTTTTGGGCGCACTAGCAGTTTATATTTCGGCGGAACTGGACAAAACAAGGATGAAAAATTGTAATGGCAAAGGAAAAAGATTGGGGAGAAAAATAAAAAATTGATAGGCATAACGAAAAACACACACAACTTGTGTATTTTTCTCCCTTTTTGCCAAGGGAAACTTTCGAACGATCAAATAAAACTCCTCCTACTAAAGGGTGTTTTAAATAGAGAGTTTTAGTTCGAAACAGTTTTCATTCTTTCCAGACGGAAACATTGATTATTCAGTTATTTTTATATTTGATGTTTTCCGGAAAAATATAGACAATAGAAAATTAAGTTTTTAGATGTTTTCCCGAGATAAAATATTTAAAGTTTTCCGGAAAATAATGGTGAATTAAAGTCTTAGATGTTTTTCCGGAACGGATGGAAAATTAAATGTTTTCCGGAAAAACGATGAAAAATAAATGTGTCTTTCCGGAAGGATTAAAAATTAAAAGTTTTTCCGGAAAAATATTTGAAAGAGATTTAGATGCTTTTCCGGACAGATGAAAAACAATGTTTAGAGTTTTCCGGAAAGAGTTTGACTTTGTATTTTTGCTAAACATTTTTATAATTCTTAAAAATTTTAAATTATTTTTAGGTATATTCCTTAATTTTATTAAATAATTTTTTCTTCTGACTTAAATCCTCTGACTTACACTCCTCTGACTTAAATTTTCTGACTTAATTTTCTGACTTAAAATGCTTGGTTGGTTAAAAATATAAATTTCAAATTAGAGCTTCTTAAATTACTTTAAAACAATTTTAAGAGTTTTTGGAATTTTTTCTCAAACCTAAAAACATTTAAAATGTTTTCCGGAAAATTAAAACATTTAAATAAGCTTTCCGGAAATTTATCTACTATAATTCTTGGTGTAATAAAAGTGTAATGTTTTTATTTTAAGCCGCCGATGATTTGACTTTCAGTGGTGTTTCAACTCAGCAACAACAACAATCTGCTTTTGCTGCAGCAGCTGCTTATTTCAATGCTTCTAATGTTGTTGATGTTTCTGGAGGATGTAAAAAATAAAAAAAGCTTTCCAACCTAAATTTGCTCAATTTTTAAGCTATCCAACCTAGAAAGAATAGGCGTGAAAGGACTACTTTTACTCGTGCTCAACTTGATGTTTTGGAAGACCAATTTAGCCAATCTCCATATCCTGATGTTTATTTGAGAGAACAAATAGCTTCTAGGATTCAACTACAAGAATCTAGAATTCAGGTCCGGTTGCTAAAAAAATTTCTTTAAATTTTTTGTTTTCGACTCTTAGCTGACCTTAAGGAATTTGAGAATATTAAAAATAAATAAATAAAATAATAAATTTCCTTTGAAATCAAATACTTTTAGCGAACGGATATCCTAGGAAAGAATTAGAAAAGTTTAGAAGGGAAGAAAAATTAAAATTGGTTTATATTTATATTTATTATTTTGGGGTAATTCAGTAAAATATTAGAAATCTTAAATATATTTGTTTTTATGGAACCAAAAATAATGATTAGATGTTTGGAAGTAATTTATTTAGTTGTTTTTCCGGAAAAATAGTTGGATGTTTTAATGTTGTCCATTTTATTCCGGAAAACCTTTTACATTTAGAAATGTTTTCGGAAAAATGGAAAATAATTTAACGTGTTTTCCGGAAATGATAATAATGTTTATTGTTAGATGTTTGGAAATAAAATAAATCATATGTTTTTTCCGGAGAAATAATTAGATGTTTTATTGATGTTTTATATTCCGGAAAAATACAAAATAATGTAACATGTTTTCCGGAAAAGACAATAATGTTTATTGTTAGATGTTTGGAAATAAATAGATATTTTTCCGGAAAAACAATTAGATGTTTTGTTGAAATTTATTATATTCCGGAAACATATATATGTATTTAGAAATAGAAAAAATACTAACATTAGATGTTTCCCGGATAATACTCTTAAAATTAATCTTTTATAACTTTCAGGTTTGGTTCAAGAATCGTAGGGCTAAGGCAAGTTTATTTTACTTTCCCAAAATATAAACTTTAAATAATCATTTAAGCAACGTCAGCAAGACAAACAAACAAAGCCACACAAACCCCAAACTGTTGCCGCAATGAAGACTGCTCGTATTGCAGCAGCACAACAGGCAGCAGCTTCCCAAAATGGAAATTTAAATGGACATTCAATTTCTCTAAAAAATGGGGGTGAACGCAAAAGGGCTAGTAATAGAAGTTTGAATTATGTTGGTAAATTCGAGCCTCATGAAGATGGTATTGGTTTGACTAATAATTTTGTTGGAATGGGGAATGAAAGTAGAAGTGAGCCTGAATCTGGAGGGTAAATAAATTTATTTTTAAATATTTTATTAAAAAATATTTTCAAAGAACACCACTTCAATCAACTAACCAGCAACAACAACAAATCAAACTAGAATTATTTAACAATTCTAATAATTCTAATTCGATTTTAAATGCTTCCAAATTTTTTGGAGTAGTTCCTCAACATTCACCACCACCTTATAATCATCAATTCAATTTATTTGGAAATCCTTTCTTTCAAGTAAGTTTAAAAAAAACTAATTTTAAATGTTTTCCGATTAGTCTAATTTAATTCTTTTAAAAAAATCTAAACATTGTTTTGCCTTTTCTGTCATTGAAACATTTTATTTTCCGGAAAAACATGTAAAACTTTCTGAAAAACATCTAAACTTTATTAGGTTTCCGGAAAACATCTAAACTTTATTTATTGCTAACACAAAAACAATTTATACTTTCCGGAAACAATATTAGGATAATAGATTAATGCTGTTTCCGGAAAAACATCTAAACTTTATTATGTTTCCGGAAAATACTAACAATAAACAATTTATATTTTCTGTAAATAATATATGTATAATTGATAAATACTCCTTCCGGAAAAACATATAAACTTCGTTTTCTTTTCCGGAACCCATTTAAAACATTTTCTATTTTCCGGAAAACAAAACATAAACATGTTTTTAATACTTTTCCGGAAAAACATTTTTCACTTTTAAGCGACATTATGGACAAATAAATAATAATGACAACCCAACACAACAAGTTGAGATAAAGAATGAGAATGTTTTGGGGTTTGGAAACACATCAGCAATCCCAACATCCTTCTCTCCACAACCAACAATTAAAAATAAACAACAAAATTCATCAGAAATAACTGAAGAAATAACTAAAATATTAAATGAACAAAAAAATAATACAACAACAACGAATTTACCTCTTCCACAAATTTTTAATTCTTCTTTAGAATCTACTACTAATTTACAAAATTGTTGGCAAATGGATGCGTTGACAAATGGAATGGGTAAATAATTTTTTAGGAAATTTTAAAAGGAATATTAACAAAAATATTTTTAAAATTTTTAAATTTTAAACAACATTAAAATAATTTCCGGATAAATTAAAATTCCGGATTAGAAATATATATTTCCGGAAAATAATAAAATACAAAATACGATTTTTTCCGAAAAATACAAGATAAAAATAGTTCCGGAAAAACTAAAATATGTGTAAAAATGTTTCCGGAAAATACACATTAAAATCCGGAAAATAAACTAAATCCACCCTAACTAAGTGGTCAACATCTTAGAAGTTAACTCCCTGTTGGTCAACTGACTTTGGAGGTCACTCCAAATATTTGAGCAGATAAATTATATTCAAGATCAACTGTCTTCTGTCAGTTGCTCCCCCTTAATCCTATCACATCCATCTTTAATCCGCCCAAATCTATCGATATCCCTCCTAATTACCACAAAGCATTTATCATCAGCCCAAAGTTTGGAGTTGACCTCCTGGGTTAAAACCTCAAAAAATCTTAAACCTCCTCCTTACAAATACAAAAACTCCTATTCAAACACACTTTAAAAATATACCCACAGGTTATATGCCATCATACCCGACAACTAATTTGGCAGCATCTTCCTCCACTGTGTCAGACTTTGCCTTTCCCGCAACAATGACATATCCAGCTTGTTTAAATATGGAACAACAAACTCCAAAATTAACAGCTTCATCACTGTATTCATATGATACTTCTTGTGTTGCTGCGCTCTATGGGGCACCGTTTATAAATGATTCTTATTCTATTAATCAAGGCGGTAATCAACAACAACAATATTTTAATTAATTATAGAATTTAATAGAAATGTTTTTTTTAATATTTTAATTTTTTTTCACATGTTACTAGAATACAGACTTTGTTGTCAATTCCAATCTGATTTCCTCTAAATTTTTCGTTAATCCACCGATATCCATCATAGTCTCATAAAATTTATTAATATCCACCGATATCCCTGTCTCTCAATAACTCTAAAAAATTGTGGGTTTTTGGATTTTGATCCTGAAAAGCCGCTCCTGATACCAAATACAGTATTTACTCGATTAATTCCACTGGGGAATTATTTTTTGGGTACTTTATGGATATGTCAACCCCTCCTATTTTGAGTCTCAGAGTTTTCCTTAAACGTAGAAAATGGTCAGAGACTATTTCTGAGGATTTGGGGCACCATATCCGTATCCATTCCCTTCCATCCGATTTTGGAAAAATATAACCGTTGGTACCTCGATATTATATTACCCATATACAAGTCTGTTGTTTATAAATTCTTTTCTGAGCTTTTTTTACAATTTCTATAAAGATTGTAAAATACTAATAATGTACTCATATTTTAGAAATTTTATAAAATTCATATAGTTAATTAAATGTTTTTTAATTTTTTTTTGTAGTAAAAATTTGAAATTTATCGAATGGGAAAGAAAATTCAATTTTTTACAGGGTAAATGGAGCAAAAATTAAGTTTTTTTTCAGCTCAGTGGATTAGTGACCACTAACCCCCTAAACTGAGTTTTGCAATTCTAAGGCATTCCTTTCGGATAGTGCCAAGTTTTTTATATATCATTTAGCTACGAAAAATACTTTTATGCCAAATAAATGCTAAATATGTAGTGAATAAAAATATTCGGGAAAAAGGTTTCATAGAACCCTTTTTCAACATTTCAGCAATAAATTCGAAAAAAGGCATTGACTAAACTACGAATTTTGTAATCTTTTTAAACAAGTGCTTTCATGCATCTCTCATTATCTCTGATTCTTACTGATTATCTTAATAGAAATATAAATTAATTATAATTTTTATATAGGTATGTACAGGGATGCCTCGTATCGAGAAAAATGTCGGTTCGGATTTCGTGTCGGGTTTTTAAAATTCCTCGAGTCGGGTTTCCGGTCGAAAAAAGACAAGGTTTCAGGTAATCCGAGACATCCGTAAATTTAACAAATTTAATTACCCTCTTCTCTATCAGCCCCGTCAATAAAATGGTACAAGCGTGGGCGTTGATGGAAAGTTAAAGATTAATATTTCATCATGAGATCTGTGAGGATTAAGAGGGATAATGGAGGTTTTAAGTAAAATCCCCTGATATAGTGAAAGAGTTAGGCCGCTTTACTTAAAAGGTTGGGCGGTACAGGCATAAGGTTCCGGCATGGGGGGTGGGCTTCCTACTCCACATTAATTCGAGCAAATCCTACCGGAACATAATATTGTTTCAGGGATTCCTTTTTTACCGCCTGAGTCGAAAATTTTGAGAATTTTGGAAGACCAAGTCAACAGAATTCTTCCTTTTTCAGCGCCGCAGGCGAAAATTTTGAAAATTTTGGAGGATCCTTAAGCCAAAAATCTTCCTTTTTCAGCGCCGCAGGCGAAAATTTTGAATATTTTGGAAGGCCAAGAAGCCAAAAATCTTCCTTTTTTGCGCCGCAGGCGAAAATTTTTTAAATTTATGATGGCCGATAAGTCAGAATTCCTACTTTTTGGCGCCAAAAATTCAAATTTTTTCAAAAATTCGAAAATCGGAAATCGAAAATATCTCAAAATTTCGAAAATCGGAAATCGAAAATCGAAAGGAAAAAAACCTCGAAAATCGAAAAACGAAAATCGAAAATCGAAATTTCGAAACAGCTCTGGTTGCCCGGTATGGTCTACACATTTATAAAAATTAATTTTAGATAAAATTAATTTAGACTGCAAAGTTAGCAAAGCAAAGTTTGCAAAAGTTTAGCCACCGGGCAGGTTTCTAACTGCGACCTCCTTGCGACCTCCTGACCGCTTATATGTAGGATCTCTACCACTGAGATTAGATCGTTAACCCCCGCCTAAGCGTCTTAACTGCTCTAGGTAAATCATCCTTCCATAAGTAACCTTTTATTATAAACTTGTGAGCAACTATGAACCTAAGCTTGGGCATTTCTATAATTCATGCCCTAACAATTCTGTGTTAGTATGTTCGTTTTTATATATTATATGAAAACTTGCCTCCTTCCAGAGGATTTAAACTATTTTTAATCTCTCGGAGTCGTATTATAATTGCTAATTGAATATGTTCATTTCCCTGCTTCATAGCAGGATGCAAATGATTGTATTGCCGTTTAACTTCATCAAGTTGGGCACGTAAAATATGGTCCTCTCGAATTAAATTAATCTCTTCAGGGGATAGATTACCTTGAAATTAAATTAATGAATGCTTGAAAGTGATTTGAAATTAAGAAAGTCTATTACCTGCAACTTGAATTGGGTTTCCAAGCATGTAAATTATAGGGTTTCCTTGCCCATCAAGAGAATACTGCAGCTTCTCTGGAGGATTTAACTAAATTTAAATTGTTATATTTGGCGTCTTATCCAAGTTAAGAAAATTTACATCATTCCTCTGCCCAGAGGATTGTCCATGTTCCATTCCAAACGAAAATTTGAGTTGAATTATAAAGAAAATCAAGGTGATTTTTTTCATTTTAAAAACTTAAAGAAGTAAAAGGTGAAATATACAAGGCCTATCTCTTGAATATGGACAGCCTTTTAAATTTTTCGGTAACGATCTTGGGGTTAGTACCTAAAGATGTATTCACGTCTAAAACATCAAGAGTATTTCAGGCAATTTACTCTATATTGTATTATAAAAGTGAATTTATTCCCTGTCCGGAGAAGGAAAATCTCGGCTTTTTGATAAGATCAACTAGAAAACATAATCGTTGCAACTACGTGTCTAAGCCAAAAAAGCCCTCTCTCTCCCAATAAAACCCCTAATAGCTTCAAGTCTATGTTCTTATGTATCATAGAAACATTCGAAAACTCTAAACGGCATTTAACTTCAACACAATTAAATTATTACAATTTATGTATTTAAAAGCTTTAAAATTAAAAATTATGAGGAAGAGAGTGAATGGAGGAGAGGAGGTGGGAGGGAGGGAGGGAGGGAGAGGTGGGAGGGAGGGAGGGAGGGAGAGGAGGGGAGAAGACGCATGGAGGGGGATGGGGAGGGAGGGAGGGAGAGGAGGGGAGAAGACGCATGGAGGTGGGAGGGAGGGAGGGAGGGAAGGAAGGGAGGGAGGGAGAGGAGGGGAGAAGACGCATGGAGGTGGGAGGGAGGGAAGGAAGGGAGGGAGGGAGGGAGAGGAGGGGAGAAGATGCGGGGGGGGGGAAGGTTATTGTAAAGGGTAAGAAAATCCAATATGTATCTTGGGCATATGAATTTTATTGACGTAAATCCAATAATTTTAAATGCAGGAAGGAAATTTTAAAATAGAAAGGCAGACATTTAGAGGAAAATTTCCCAATAGCAATCCGTAACCGTTACTATCCGTCGTTTTCCGGCTTGTTTGGAGTCACAGGGATGAAACTCATTATTCAAGTTTTCTTGTTTTAGAGAGATATATAGGGATTATTTTACTCGACTAACGTTTATACTGGCTTCTATTCTAGCCTATCACCAGAACAGTAGACTTGGTGGATAGTTGGAAATCTTCGGATATCCTGCCTTTTTTGGATCCGGATCCACCAACCCTACTACACAACAATACCCGTATCCATCCCTTTTCGTCAGATTTTGAGCAAAACATATATGTTGGTACCCTCATTATCCGTACCTATATGTAAGTCTGTTGTCTATAAATTCTTTTTTGAGCTATTTTTTACAATTTTTACACAGATTGTAAAATACTAATTGTAAATGTTTTTAATTTTTTTGTAGTAAAATTTTGAATTATAAAAAAATATAGAATAGGTACATAATAAAAAAAGACTAAAATTTTTTTTCTAAAATTTGCGGACAAAACAAAATTTAAAAATAGCTAGATTCTTCATTTAGCGATTTAATTATGTCCTCTTTGTTGTTGTCTCCACATTTCCTGTTGTTGTTGCTGTTGATGTCTCATACTGCCAGCCAAAGCCTGATAAAAACATTATTTTATTAAATTAAAAATTAAATTAAAAAATAGATTTTTTAATCCACCAACCGCTGACATCGCACTAACCGCTCCAGCCGCTGCGATGGAAGGTACAACACTTACAACACTTATCCTTCTTTTATTTCTAATTATTTGTTGTTGTCTTCGCATTTCTTGTTGTTGTTGTTGGTGTTGTCTTAGACTGTTAGTCAAAATAGCCTGGGATTAAAAAATTATTTTAGGTATTAAATCAGCCACCTACCGCTGACATTGCAGCTGTCATTGAAGGTACAACACTTCTCTTATTTCGAATTATTTGGTGATTTCTGTGTTTATGGTGTCTTTTATTCCTTTTTTCTTTATTTTCTTCAACTTCCCTCATTTTTTCTTCTTTCTTAGGCTCTTCAGCTTTTTTATCAGCCTTCTTATCCTCCAATTCTTCTACTTTAGCCAATACTTGTATAGCTCCTTTATTCCTGTCTTCTTCATTTTTGGATTTTTTACGTTTAGCTGATTCAGAAATTGCACAGAATAAAAGTAAAACAACAAAGAAAATTAAAATATTAAAAGTTTTCATTAAATCGTTGCTTAACACTAGAGTAAATTTAAAATAGGTATGTGGATGTAAAATTACAAACTCGAACAAATAAGCGTAAAATTACAAATTGTAAAACCTAAAACTTGAAATAGGAATAAAAATTACAAATTGTAAAAATAAAACTTAAAACTAGAAAAAGTTTTACAATTTGTAAAACTTAATAAAACTTAAGCTGATGTTAATTACAAATTGTAAAAATAAAACTTAAAACTAGAAAAAGTTTTACAATTTGTAAAACTTGAACTTAAAACTTGAAAAACTTAAGCGAAGGTCATTTACAAATTGTAAAACAAACAAATGTAAAAAAGACTACAAATTGTAAAAATAAAACTTAAAACTTGAAAAAGAAATTACAAATTGTAAAACTTAAATATAAATTAGCTTCTTATAAATAAATTATCATGTGTGTTAGGCAATGACAAATGTTTAGGTAATTTTCTAAAAATTGAAAACTGATAAGAAAAAATTTATTTTGGAGATTATTTTATTTTTAAGATACGGAGTATGTTAATATATACATATTTTCTGTTATTTTTAAAAATAATGTTGAAAGCCAATATTTAAATAAATAATTTAATAAAAGTGTGCTTGTTAAAAAAAAGAAAATGAGAAGCTAAATAAATGAGTGAGGGAAAAAATAAAATTAAGTAAGTGAAAAATAGTTCTCACGCACATTAGGGAAAATAGAAAGCTTTTTCTTGTTAAGAGAATTTTTTATTTTTGATATTTTGGAAAAACTAGACAAAAAGCTGTCACTAAATGAAAATAAAAAGTGGAAAAGTGTTCTTCGTTATGAGCTGCCAAGGGAACTGGAACGGCATATATATCCAATTAGTCTTCCTAGCTGGCATAAAAATGAAAGGAGGAAGTAAAAAAACTAGCTAAAAAGAAAAATCAATGTTTCGAAATTTTTGTTTTGAAAATATTTTCCGAAAAAATATTTTCTGGAAGGAGGAAGTATTTTAGGGAGAAAAATATATATTTTTTGTAAAAATATAAATTTAAAGAAATATTAAAAAAATTTTTGTGAGGAAGAAAAATAAATTTTAAGGAGAAAAATAAAAATTATTGTTAAATTTATTCAAATAAAAAATACAAATATTTAATATTTAAAAATTATTTTTTAAATTTTAATATTTATAACACCGGGTATATAATTAATTAATTAAAAATTAATTAAAAATTATCTCTCCATAATTTCAACTTCTAATTCATTTTGCCAAAACAAAATTATTATTATTAGAATTATTCCCATTAATTCCAACAACCACATTATTTTCATTATTTGAACAATAATCCACTTTATTTCCAAATTTTGAATAGAAGGTAACATTACATTTCTGTTTACGTCCAGTCCTTTGATCAAAAGCTTGGCAATGAGTAAAAGGGGGAATATACAAATGGAGAGTAATTGCTGGGTCTGAATGTGAAGGGTTTTCCATTCTGTGCAGGCCAATTTTGTCTTAAAAAGATTAAAATTCTGATTTTTTTAAAATTAATATCAGAATTTGTAATTGTAATTTTATTTCTGATATTTATTTTTCAAGTTTTAATACAAATTGTAAAATAGAAATAAAATTAGAAATAAAACTTGAATTTATTTTAAGTTTCACCTGAAAAATCAGAATTACAAATTGTAATAAATTCAAGTTTTATTTTTTACAATTTGTAATTCTGATTTTATTCCCCTTTTACAATTTGTAATTCTGGTTTTAATTCTGATTTTATTCTTCAAGTTTTATTTCTGATTTTATTTTTCAAGTTTTATTTCTGATTTTATTTTTCTGTTACAATTTGTAATTCTGATTTTTATTCCTTTTTACAATTTGTAATTCTGATTATATTTCTGATTTTATTCTTCAAGTTTTATTTCTGATTTTATTTTTCTATTACAATTTGTAATTCTGATTTTTATTCCTTTTTACAATTTGTAATTCTGATTATATTTCTGATTTTATTCTTCAAGTTTTATTTCTGATTTTATTTTTCTATTACAATTTGTAATTCTGATTTTTACAATTATTAAATTCTGATATATTTTTAGTGTACAATTCTTTTTTCTGATTTTCAGAATTACAATATTTACTCTGCAATTTAATTCTGATTTGTTAAAAATTCCAACCGCTTATATAAGAAACTCCATTCAATTTGTAAAGTTGATTTCCGTTTTCAATTAAAGGGCGGCCACTTCCTTCAGAATTCTGATTTTCATCATTTTTATTATCTTCTGTAGGCCATTCAAAACGTGTTTCTAATAAATTTCCTTGCAAAACTTTAACAAAACAATGCGCGTCTGTGTGGTCGTGAATACTTTTTGGGGAAGAAAAAACAATTTTATAAGATTTTATTTTTTATTCACCTCGATCCCATACCCGGGCCCCAACACAAAACCATTAAATTGTATTTTCCATTGCCTGCGTCTACCAGATTGCGTGTATACCTTTAAATAAAATTTTCAAAATAAATTCTTTTCAATGGAAATTTTTTTTTTAAAAAATTTTCAATTTCTATTTTTTCAGAAATTTTCTTCAGAAATTTTTTTTCGAAAAATTTTTCAAAAAAATTTTTTTCTAAAACAAACTTGTGTGGATCAAAAAGCGCAAATTTATTCCAATCCTTAGTGTTACTTTTATATTCCTCCAAAACTCGTCTCACTTCTTCAGTGTTAATTAAATCCTCATTAAATATATTGCGAATATCGCTAATAAGTTTATTCATTTTTTAATAATTTTTTCAAAATTAATTTTATTTTTTATATTTTTTAACTATAAATATTTTATTAAATTAATTGGAATTTTAATAATCATGCCTTTTGCTCATTCTTTATTCTATCCCTTATCAATCACGAGGGAATGACTTTTTTAACAATTTTATAAAATTAAAAAAATTATTTTAATAATCATTCTCCTTTTTTGTAATTAAATAGAGAGGGTAATAGAAAACTTTGTTTGAAAGAATTAAAATTAATTAAAAAATAATTTAAAATTATTTAAAATCAGAATTACAAATTGTAAAAACTTTAATCAGAATTATAACAAGTTTATTAATAAATAATTAAATCAGAATTTAAAAATCAGAAAATAAACCTTTTATATTTTAAAATCAGAATTACAAATTGTAAAAAATCAGAACAGAATTATATATCTATGTAATTGTAAAAACTTGAATCAGAATTATTATTTTATCTATAAGCTACAAAATCAGAATTACAAATTGTAAAATTTTAGAATTATTATAATTGCAAAAAATCAGAATTTAAGAAAATCAGAATTACAAATTGTAAAATTTTTAATAATCAGAATTATTATAATTTACAAAATCAGAATTATTTACTTGTAAAAAATCAGAATTTTAAGAAAATCAGAATTAATTATTATTTTACAATTGTATTTATGTCAGAAACAAATTCTGATTTTAATTAGAAATGTTATTTAAGTGTGATACATATTTATTAATTTTATTCATGCATAAGTCTAAGAAAGAAATTTAAATGATTCATCAATTTATACTATATTTAAATAATTTACCAACACCCTAAAATAATATTTAATTAGTAAATAAAAGTAATAAATTAACAAAAAAATGTGGACGGCCAGAGTCTTCGCAGTTAATCACGCGCAATCACCATCAAACTTCTCGTTGATTATGTCAATAAAACGTGAGGAAATTTTTTTAGCATTTCAAGAAATTTACTAAACAAAAACCTTATAAAGCATATCAAAGTCCACTATTATTTCCAATGATTTCTTATGTGACAAACAATTTTATCCCTCCTACTTTACAACTATTTAATCCTTTTGTTTTCTTTTACAAGTAGTTCAGTTGTTAGCTTTATGATTAATTATTGTTTTATTATGTTTTAGCTAACTTATATTATTGTTTCGCATTTTCCTAGTTCGTAAATAAAAGCTTTTAATACTTCGGTGTTTTCGGTGTTGGGAAGAAACCAAGGGACTTGATCAACCCCGAGGGTCTTCTAGGAACGTCCCGATCACAACCTCCCCGTTACGTTATCCCTTAACATCTGGAAAGGGTTTAGCCGCTTCGGCGCACAATTAATTATAGGAATAACAGTAGGTAAACCATCCCCACAAGGAACACATTTTACTGGTAGCACCGGACAAGATCGTCACCGGGGGAGTAACGGGGTAAGAATACAGGAAAACTAGGTAAATCCCGGGACTAATAATAATTAAAAAAAAAAAAATAAACCGGTATAAAAATAAATTAAGGGCAGTGCACCTAAGTCCCAAACCTTCGGGTTAAAAATACATAAATATAAAATAAGGCTAAAATGTTAATTTTTAGTAGATTAAAAATCTTCGAGTTAAAAATATATAAATATATAAATATAAAATAATTTTAAAACATTAATTTTTGGTTAATTAACCACCACCTTCGGGTAAATATCAAAAACAAAAATAAATTTAAAAATACCATATATATACTTTAACCTTCAAAAAATCCCGTCGAGAAAACTCAAAAAGACACCGATAAAAAAAATCGAGATTATAAAAAAAATATATCCTCCTTTTTTTTTACTTTCCCATATATTACAGCAACGGAAATTATTCATTTAAAAATAAAAGGAAATATTAATAATATTTTTTTTCCAACTAGATAAGATCGCAATAAGTCTTTTCTTCACCTTTTAGTCTCTCTTGTCGTTCACACATAAATTATTTTTATTTTTTTTTACAAAAAAAATGTTGAGATGGAAAACTAAAGGATAACATTTCATTTTATTTTTATTTTAAACATTTAAATTATTCATATTTAATTTAAATTTTACATTAGAAATATATTTCTTTGTTTACATTTAAAACATATATTTTATTTAAGTATTTGAACGTTATTAGTCCAAAAGTTTCGTTTAGACAAAATTTCTTTCTATCGTATTTTCTCGATTAATTCCCCTGACAGAGATAGGTTTTATGTTTTTGCTTATTTTTCTTACTTTTCTTGAATCGGTCACAACTTCCTTATCTTAATTACTCAAATAATTGTCCTGTGTGGTTATTTTTTCTATACTCTTGACGATAAGAGTAATTATTCGAGCATATATATAATATTATTTTTTAACTAAAAAGTTCAATTTATTCAGATTTTTGGATTTCATTTATTGGATTAGATTAGTTGGATTAAATTTATTTGGATTTGGCAAACGTGAGTCAACAGAAATTTTTTTTTAATTAAGTTTAAACAAAAAAAAAACATATTTGAATATTTTTAGTTAAAGAAAAATTTTTTTTTTATAAATTTAACTCAGAGAAATTTCAGGAACTACAACCTTCGGGACTTCAACTTCTACCTTTTTTTTGTGTGTGTGAACTTGGGATTTTTGTGGCCTTTTCTTTACTTTGTTGAAGGAGGTGAGTAAAATAAAGAAAATATAATAAAATTGAATTATTTTTTTTTAAAAATAAATTTTTCGACATCTTCTCTAAATTCTACTTATTTTTTTACTTTTTGAAATCTCTCTCTTTAGTCACCATCTATTTTAATTTTTAAGTATGTAAAACAGAAAACTTCAATTTAGCCGTATTTCCGAAATTACAGTATATCCATTTACAGTATTTCCGATAATAAAACCCCACCCTAATATAGAGCCACATTTTAAAAAAAAAAGCCTATAATTTAATTACTAATTGATATTTTCTAATATTATGCTGTTTGTTTTTCATTTATTTTAAGCTTAATAAATCAAATAGGAACGGAAAAATTATTCTAAAGATTGTAATCCTACTTCTAGGGAAAGCTTTTTCGAATTTTCGATTTAAAAAAATTACACCTTCCAAAAATACTAAACTGACTTAGAATTTATTTGTAATTTTTGGTGTGTAATCGGTAAAATGGCTCTTACGGGGTCCTTTAATAGTGATTTTTTTTTTCAGAAATCGAGTTGGTGGAAACTCGCGAGATTAATAATTTGAATCCCGTAAATCTTTGTAAGTATTTCCTTTCAGTCCAAATGGAGGAATACATAGGGAGTAGAACTAATTGAGTGTATGCGTATTAACAGGGATAATTAAAGGACCAACTGGAAATCTTGTTTCGCCTTGGCACGATATTCCTTTGTATGCTGATCCTGTAGCGAAAATAACAACTTTAAGCCGATATCAATATACTTTATTATATTCAGACCCCATTTTCCCAGAGGGGACAATTATTGGATTATTTTTAATGGAATGCCAATGGAGGACTTTTTGAGATCAGCTTACATTCCTTCATATTCACTGATATTTTCTCAATCTCTCTGGTTTTCTCGATATCACGCTCCCATTTTCGATATCCCTCAAAATCCTCTTTGTCCTTTCTTAATCTCATTAAGCTATTAGAAAAAAAAACCAAGGCATAATATACAGAGAGGACTGAAACTTGGTCCTTTACCAGGAGTATTTTTATTATAAGTTTAATTATTTCTAAAATTTAATTGTCTTTATTATAAAATTTTAATTTTTGAAGAAATGATTAGCCTACCAAGGTCAAAATTTTATCAGATAATTTGAAATATAGGTTGAAAAATAGAGCCCAATGGGGTTCTATTTTCGGAAATACGGTAAATCTAAAAAAAAAAATCTTTGATATGTTAGAATTTAATAATTAAAAATATAACAATAAATCTTGGCCAGTCAATTTCTTCTCCTCTAGGTAATTTTTTTTCGTATTACTCACACTCAGTTTATCAAATAAAAGAACGATCATATAAATATTTTAAAGGCGAATTACCGAAAAAAACTGTATTAATGTCCCTCCCTGAATTAATTACCCCACCTCCTTATTAAAACCCCATGTAAAGGGAGATCAAATCAATAATTGCCCTCCCTCAAATAATTACCCCCTATTTTTTTGCATACACTAATTAAAAGAAATTGTTTAAAAAAATCGTTATAAATTTTAAGTAGAATATAGGTAAAAAAAATAATAGGGAGATTAAAATGATTTGGGGAATTATCGAGAGATTTATGTAAGTCAAGTGGGAAAATAATTCGTCTCAAAAAAATATCTTTTTAACAATTTCTGACTCTTCCCATAATTTGCAATTTACTGGTTATGACTAGGTGACACTAGGTGACTTTATACATTTCAAAACGAAATTATTGTTGGTATGGCACCACCTTTAGGTACATTATATAAAGGTTTAATATGAGAATGTAGAGTATATTCCTTAAATAGGAAACAGATACTTGTACTCCTCTATTATTTACCCCCTCCAGTGAGGGATCGAAACAATAATCACCCAGGGTAATTAATAGTTTTTACGGTAATATCTTTTTGATTTATAAACGACTATATATATTTTTTTAAGTTTGTTCTAAAAACTTTATTTCTCGCTTCCTACTATTAATTCGTTATTTTTATATCTTATTTAACGTTCAGAGTGATAGCTCTCTATCGATTAGTAATCGCCTTAACAAATATTGTTTTAACAAAAATAACTAAAGTTAAAAAAAAATCTAATAATATCATCGTTTCATTTATTAAAGAGGTGTTCTTCGACTGTCAACTGTCTCCTGTCTTGCTGTGTTTTGTTTGATTGTGTGTTCAATAACACTTTGTGCTCTCTCTGTTCAACTTCGGTGATATATTGTATCTTTGTGCTTCTATTGGTGAAAAGTAGGTAGATTTAAACTCATTTAAAAAAAATATAAAAATTAAAATAAAAAAAAAATATATTTAAATTAGATTGAATTAATTAAAATTAAAGGGGGATTAAAAGTAGTGCCGTATCTGAACTAAAATAACCGAAGTCAGTAAAAGTAGTTAAAGTATGACTGAAACTTTTGAGGATTGGGATATCTCAGTCTGTGATAAAAAATTATTAGAATCTAAAATATTCTCTAATCCTGCGAAAATAGGAGATTTGGATAAAGTACATAAAGAGGTTTTGGGGTTAGAGGAGGCAGTCAGTAGAACCTTTAGGGTTGTAAATAGGAATATTAGTCAGCTCAATGAAGCTGACGCTGGCATCCAAAAGGATACCAACGCCGGGTTTGCTCTAGTTGCTGGTAGAGTAGATAAACTAGACTTAAAACTAGGCAAATTAGAGGAAAAATACGAAAAATTTGTAATTGATTTAGAGTCCCGTGACAATCTTGAATACGATGAAATAAGAAGCAGCGGTGCGTCAAGACTGCTTACGTTAAACAAAAGACAAGAAATAATTCCTCCGATACCTCCACACAAAATTCCTCAGTCTTCGGGTACAAGTTGCATAGAAAATCAGAACTCCTTAGGGAATAAAAGTAATCTAGTACAAAATAATTCAATTGAGCTTATCAATAATAGGGATCAGCGTGCCAATGAATTTGAACTTAATATAATAGGGGAAGCGAGTTCCTCTGGCCCACAGTTGGGGGTGTTTAATGGAGAAACAGCTTTTGCGTTTGATGAGTGGATGATAAAATTCACTGATTATATTGATGTATTTGGTATGACCTGGACCGAACCTGAAAAAATAAACAGATTAAAATTGTACTTAGGTACGCAAGCACGCAGTATTTTTGAAAGCTTAACGGTAAATGAACGCCCAACGTTAGCCACTACCTTAAAGAATATAAGGAAGAAGTTAGATAGTCCTCATTTTAGAGAGCTAGCTTATAAAAGGCTTGCAGCTTGCTATCAAAGAGAATCTGAATCAGTAAATGACTTTATTAAGAGATTAGTTCCACTTGTCAATTCCACATCGTGCCAAGTTCCACCTGAGGTTAAAGAGGAAACATTGTGTAGATGTTTTATGGAGAAAGTCAGACCGGAGTACCAACGTTCTCTTCAACTTGTGGGTCCTTTGATAGGACGTAAGGACTTTGATAAGCTTACTGCCTATGTCCAGGAGCTTGAAGTAGCTTCTGAGAAGGAAGGTAGGACTTTCAATGATGGTATTCACGCCATTACAGAGCAACCAAACCAAATGCCTAGGGGTAGATTTGATACATGGAAACCCAGAAGACCATACCACTTACAGACCTTTAGGGGACCCTCAACCAATAGACTTTCAACTTCTAGTAATGCACAAGAATTAGGAGAAAGAGGTAATAAGTATAGGGGTCAGCAACGTCCACAGTACGACAGAAGATGGAATTCACGCCCTTACTGTCATTACTGTAATAGGACCGGTCACGAGCAATATCAATGCAGAGTTCGCAAGGCAAATGAAATGAAAAATGAGAGTTATAAGTATAGAAATAACAGAGGTACTAACAATAGGAATGAACAAGACCTTAGGGAAATTGTTGAAAATCTAGCAATACAAGTCCATGAAATGAAAATGAAAACTAATTATGCACTAGCGAATCAAGGAAATATGAAATCACTCCAACCTGTAAGCCCGCCGGCGCAATTTGAAAAAGCTACAGCTAAAAGTGAAACCAAGGAAAAGGTAGAACCTAAGAAAATTTCTAGTTGGGAAAGTAGTTTCAGAGTAAGAGTACCCTCAATTGCTAGCACATCTTTGATGTTTATGATAATGTGTTGTAGTGCGTTAGCAATCAATCCCGTGCTCATTCCAAAAGGTCCGATGATATGCCAGACACATAGGCAAGCAATGCTTTGGCAAGTCCCTGAAATTCCGAGCTGTCCTCCGATAAATTTAACAGCTAGACACACGCCAAAATTAGAAAAACGAAGGATATTTCTTCCTAATAGTATCGAATTTTCTACAAAAGCTTGGGCTTGCAGAAAAATTAAAAAGAGTGCTAGGAAGTATACAACAATTACTGGGGTACCTATGGAAGAAAAATTAATTCCGGAAGCTATGGATGTGACTTTAGAAGAATGTAATCAAATGATTAAACATCATAGCTGTACCTTAGGGATACTTAAAGAAAATTCTAAATTCTGGCAAACCGAAAACAAAATAGATTTGACCCCAAGGTCATGGATAATAGGTTCATTCTCTTGGGAAAATATTTCTAGTGAAAATTGTTTTCTGTTTGAAAGTGTAATTGAGTCGCACTTTGGTGCATCCGAAATTATTACGCCTTTAGGCTTAGCTCATGAATGTCCTTATAGTAAAGGGAATTGTATTCTGGAGGATAAAACAGTTTTAGTTTGGGAAGTAAATAATGTTAGGAGGTGTAACTTCATGCCTATAGGGGATAAGAATGGAAGATGTATGGGGTCTGTATGGCTATCAGATGATGCTCGCCTGGGACTTACTTTTGAAAATGAAACTCGTGTGACGGATTGTGGTGTGAACATAACTGTATCTGACCAAGGTTTAGGTTCCATTATACTTTCTGAAACTGAAATTGTCCGTAAAAAGAGAAGTAGTAGGATATACAGAAAATATTTTTCAGACGGGTTTCCTACTTCCTCTCAAATTGCTTCACAATTAACGTATTTAGACCAGTCTTTAACTAAGGCAATAAATTTTGCTTTTGTACAATCTCTCTCATCATTTTGTGAATATACTGAACTTGTTAAACATTGGACAGAATCCTCTTACATGACAAACCCAACTGAGTTAGCGCGATCGATTTTCTCGAATCCTTACTTAGTGGCTAAAAGGTCTGCGAGGTCACTCATGAAAGTTTGGCCTTGTGTGCCTTTAGAAAGGCATGATTATGAATTTCGTCCGACTAAATTAGATCGATGCTTTGAATTTTTACCTATAATGCTAAAAACTGAAAGTAAGGAACATCTAGCTTTCCTCGAGCCCTCGACAATGATTGTCTCTGCCTCTGCTAAAATAGGTCCGTGTGAAGAATTCAGGAAATTAGTAATTCAAGTTAATGATCAAATTTTAGAAGTTGATCAAATTGAAGGAAAAATAACCTCGGTTAAACCAAATGAAATAAATGTTGAGAAATTAAAATTAAATTGGACTGGTTTAATTCCTAAAATCGAGTCCCATGCATTTCATCAATTAGTTCTTTTAAATATGACTGATGTCAAAGAACATTCTTTTGTTTCAAATATGGTTAGGATTAGCGAAATGACTTACCAAATTAATGAAAAAGATTCAGTAGTACTAACTTCGGTTTCTGATGAATGGAAAGAGGTAGAAAATCAAATAGTTAAAGGAGCAATAGGTGACTACAAGAGTATCTGGTCCACGATACTTAACGTAATTATAGGAATTCTGGCTATTGATTTCACAATAAGGTTATGTTTAATTCTATTTGAAATGTATGCTGGGAATGGCCGACTAGGGAAGTTAATATTTGGTTCTAAGGTTAAGGAAGTCCCAAAAAGAGTACTTGATATACGTGACATTCGAAGAGTACCAGAGCAAAGTATTGAAATTGATGAAATTTATGAGGAACCAGTCAATAGACCTCGTCCATTGTCGATCTCATGGCCACCTACTGTCAGGAGAATAGGAGGTTCACCTTTAGCTGAGTCGGGTACTTTGCCTAGATCCAACAATAGAATAAATAGAAATTTCATAGGAGCTTTGGGATCTAATTCTAATAATGTTATTGTTGGTGTAACTCTAGAAGGAGTCCCACTTAAATGTTTGGTTGATACTGGTGCAATTACTTCGGTGGCAAATATAGCGCTAGCGGAGTGGTTAGGAACGAAAATTTTCAAAACTGAAACATACTTACAGAGTGCCTCAGAGCATTCTATGTGTGCCAGGCAAGCAACTTCGGTTAATTTAAAAATTGCAAATATTTGTGCGGAAATAACCATTCATTTATTCAATGACAAATTTCACTGGGACAACCATGACTATCATTTTATACTGGGTTGTGATGCGATGGTCCTTCTACCACCGATCTTAATTGATTTTAAAAATAAAAATCTGCGTATTGAAGGATGTCTTTTGGAAATAGATAATAGATTAAATAGGCCGCTAAGAAATTTCAAAATTTATGCTTTAGAGACTAGTGAAATAGGACCAAACGAACAGAGTGTAATGAAAGCTAGGGCTGATTTTTCCGAACTTCTTAGGCATGATATTTATGTTCATGCTATAGAAAATAGGTTGGCTGATCAAGGCTTAAGTCTAGTGCCATTGGTAACGAAGCCTAGGGAATCTATAAGAATTATTTTGTCCAATCCCACGGGGATAGTAAAAAGAATTTATAAAGACACCTGCATAGCTATAGCAAGTGAAGTACTAAAAACAGATTCAGAAAATATTCTGTCAGAAATAAAACTAAATGAAAATTCAGAAGAAATGAACTCCTTAGGGAAAACCGGAATAATTATTGATCCAACTTATAAAATTGATTTTAAAAAAACCTCGGTAGTAGGAGAGGATCTTAAAAAATTAAAAGACCTTTGTAATGAATTTGAAGATGTATTCAGCAAAAGTCAGTATGATATAGGAAGCTGCACGGCTGGCGAACATGACATTATTACTACGTCTGAAGAGCCTATAGCGTCCAGGCCTCACAGAGTTCCGTTTAAATACCGTGATGAATTACAAAAACACATTGACCAGCTTCTGGCGTCGGGGGTTATGATTGAGTCAGACACGCCATGGGTTTCGAATATTGTGTTGGTACAGAAAAAGGATGGAGGGCTTCGGCCATGTATAGATTTTAGAAAGTTAAATGAAGTAACGGTACCAGATCATTTCCCGTTACCCAGACTTGAAACAATTCTAGAAAAGGTAGGAAACTGTAGATACTACACGTCTCTGGACTTAGCTAGTGGTTACCTGCAAATTAAATTAAGTGAACGAGCTTCTAGGAAGTGTGGGGTGATTACCGAGGACAAAATATATCAAATGGTTAACTTGCCATTTGGTCTTAAAAATGCTACAAGTGCATTTGCTAGGATAATGGCACATGTATTGACAAGTTTAGAAAATGTTATAGCTTATGTAGATGATATTTTAATATTTACCAAATCTGAAAATTTTGACGAACATATTAATTCTCTCAGAAGTGTTTTTGATAGATTTAGGCGCTTTAATTTAAAGTTAAGTCCCAAAAAATGTACATTTGCATCTGATCATATGGAATTCTTAGGGTTTATAGTTAATAAATCTGGTTATAGTCCAAGTTTAAGAAAAACTGAAACAATTTTGAATTTAAAAAATCCAACTTCGGTTAAAGAAGTAAGACATGTAATTGGTATGGCTAATTTTTTTAGGAAGCATGTACCAAATTTTTCCACAATAGTGGAACCGTTAACGAGATTAACTAGAAAAGAAAAACCTTTTGTTTGGGGCGAAGAGCAGCAAGAAGCGTTTGACGAAGTAAAGAAAATTTTATCTGAAAAACCCGTACTTATTTTTCCCGATTACACCAAACCTTTCCACATCTTCTGCGATGCTTCGCAAGTTGGACAAGGGGGAGCACTAATGCAATGGGATGAAGATAAAAGAGTTTATAGTGTTATAAGTTACTGTAGTAGAACTTTGTCTAATGCGGAACGAAAGTGGCCGCCTGTACAAGTAGAACTAGGTGCAATTATTTACTCGCTTCGGCAGTTTAAACCTTTTATTTTTATGTCTAGCGTTGAACTGCATACTGATCACAAGCCGTTAGCGTACTTACTAAGAAAATCAGAAACGCACCAACATCTTGCGAGATGGTTAGTTGAGTTGCAAAATTATAACATTAAGATTGTTCACATAAGCGGTAAACAGAACACGCTAGCTGATGCGCTTTCCAGGTTTTCTCATGAAGATTTGTCGCCTGAAGAGGTGGAGAAAATTAAAGAACTTGAAGATATTGCGGAATTCCCTGTTTGCTTGGCAATTGAACAGAGACCACGTGTTGTGCATGAAAACTTCGGTTTAACTCTCTCACTTAGGTCAATGGAAGGTGAAATACTCCAAGTAGATATAAGAGATGAACAGAAAGAGGATCCTGAAGCATCTATGTTAATTGAATTTCTTAAAACTGGGAAATTCCCTGAGGAACTTCCTGAAAGTGAAAAAGATGACTTGGCACATTTAGCGAAAGATCTGTGTTTGGAATCGGATGTTCTTTATTTACATCACAAAGATAATAAACCAAGAATTTATATTCCGGTCTCACTCAGAGCATTAATTTTTGATTCCTTTCATACGACCAAATTAGGAGGGGGTCACATGGACTTTAGAAAAACTCTGAATAAATGCAAAAAATATTTTTGGCCAAGGATGCATTCTGACATCGTTGTTTGGCATAAACAATGCATTACTTGTCAACTTAGACATTCACCGAACCCAGCTTATAGGGCTGAAATGTGTACCCCACCAGTGAACACACTCTTTGCTAAAGTTGGTTTAGATCTGGCAGGTCCATTTCCAAGAACTGAATCAGGCAATAGACACATTTTGAATATTGTCTGTTGGTTTACTAAATTTGTAATCTCGGTTCCAATTCCTGATGCGAAAGCTTCAACTATAGCTTCGGCGTTCCTCAAAAATTGCTATTTAAAGTTTGGAGGTTGTACCGAGCTTATCACTGATAACGCTACGGCTTTCACCTCTGATTTCTTTAAAAGTCTATGTGCTATGTTATATATAAATAAAACATACGCCATCCCACACTGGAGTCAAGGAAATGCTGTGACTGAACGATCATTTCGCACGTTCCATAACATTTTAGCTAAGTATATTTCCAGAGATCAACCAGATTTTGATGATCATTTAGAATTTGCTAATTTCTGTTATAACACTTCGGTGCATCAATCGACTAATGAGACCCCGTTCTTTCTTATGTTTGGCCGAGATCCCATTTTCTGTGTGGATTTAATTTTAGATCCTAAAGTTAGGGAACCAATAGCGCTAAATGATGAACAGGAAGTCAAACAAAAATTAATTGTATCTTTAAGAAGTGCTTGGAAATGCGCAGCTGAGGCTAATGCTGAGGCTCAATTAAGAGCTAAAGCTTACTATGATAGGCTACTTAGAAATCCCACGATCACTGTAGGCGACAGAGTTCTTCTTAGAAATTATACGGGGAAAGTTAACACATCGAAGAAATTCCATCTGCCTTGGAAAGGAGTATTTAGGGTCATACACATAGACGGAGTTCATGTAACAATAACGAGCTGCAACTCTCCTCAAGCTAATCCTCGAGTAGTCCACATAAATCAGCTTAAAAAATGTGTGGAACCATTACCAACTGAACCGACATGCACCACCGTTGTCTTGGAACCAGAAGAAGAGGAAGCCCTCAATGAAGCCAATGCGGAGGAACTGCTTGATGTTCCCGGCTATTCTCATCAGAGTGAAGAAACAGTTGTAGATTCCCCACAGGTTCCCAACCAAGATGAAGAATCGAGTCATCAAGACAAAGGAGGATATAATTTAAGGAGAAATCCCAAGAAGAAAGTCCACTTCTATTGAGCTTCGGCGATTTCAATTTTTTTTAAAAAAAAGTGCTTTTGGCTATAAGTTAAATAACTTGAACTGACTTCGGTTGTACCTACTAAAATTAATTCAAAAAAAAAAATTTTTTTTTAAGAAAAATTTAACTTAAAAAATAATAAAATACATTTTTTTCCTCTCTCTTGTCGTTTTTACTCGTTTCTTTTAGGAATGAAAACAATACGTTCTAATGATGGACAAGAGATACTTCCTTTTTTTACAAAGAGATTTGTGTTTAGCAATCACTTCGATTGTGTGTTTGTTGTTGATGGAGTTACATTCCATTCATCAGAAGGCTACTATATGTATTATAAGGCTCTGATGTCAAACAACTATGAAATAGCAGAACAAATTCTTAATCTCAAATCGGCAGCGATGGTCAAAAAATTAGGATCGAATTTACCCGGACATAATACTAAAAAGTGGCGCAGAATTTGTATTTTAATAATGACTATAGCAAATTGGTACAAATATAATCAAAATGCGGAGTTAAAAAGAATTCTGTTGTCAACACGTGGTATACTCTTAGTGGAAGCCTGTAGAAGTGATCAGTATTGGGCTTGCGGGCTGGAAATAGATTCTAAAGACATAATTGACAATAAAAAGTGGAGGGGTTTGAATGTACTTGGTAGAATCCTCATGACTATTAGAGATAGAATCTTACGTGAGTAAGAATAAAATAAAAATTAATTAAAATACATAAAAAAATATATATATATATATATAAAATAATTAAAATCTTTTTCTAATAATTTTTTTTAGATATGAATGCGGAACGTCTGAATATTGCAAGTTTGGAAGAATTTCCTCCACTTGGATCTTCTACTAAAAAGGTAATCTGGTCAAATCCGTCGTTGCCTTCTTCAAGTTCTCAGAGTGAAAAGTCTGCGCCAATGGTAGATACTTTAACGGAAAATACAAAGAGAATGTCGATAGAACATGTTGAAGTAGATGAAAGTGTTAAATCTTCGGGTAAATCCCTTCGGGGAAACAAAAATAATTTTGAGAAAAAAGTAGTCGAGTATATCGTAGTTCAGGTCGGGGAAAACGACGTAATTGGAGCTAGATTGAATCAAAAATCGAATGTAAATTGGCCATGTTTCGTCTCAGTTGCTAATAAAATTGCTGAAAATAGTGAAGGGTTCAGTAATAAACTGCAATTGGGAGATAGAGTTTTTATTTCTGATTTCCAATGGAGAGTTGGCTACGAAACTTTGGCTCGAAATGAGTTTGAAGTCAGTCAGAACAGAAAAAATTGGAATGTTGGTCGAATTAATCCTCAGGCAATAATTAAAGAGATTGAATTCATTCATCATGCGAACAGAAGAGACTTTCCTGGTGTTGTAATAAGTCTGAAGCGGGGTGGGAAATATAACAGCTTGTTGTGTTGTTTAGTCATTTCGGCGGGTTTACAAGTCTGTTCTAAATGCTATAGGAGACAGTTGGTAGATTTGGACTTGGATGAACTAGAAATTGGACAGCTGGTGACGGTTTCTGTTGCTGAAATTCCTGAACAATGTTTAGTTGACGAGGCTTACCTTCTTCCGCCACAATCAGAGTTCAAAACAGGTTCTGAGGAAATGATAAGAGATGATCTAGGTGTTCTCGGAACAGTACGTTCTCACTCACCGTGGCATTACAAGCGTGAGGGTAAAAATGTCTTCTATCCGTTAGTTCCGCAAATGTCTATTGATGAAGTCGAACTTTGTGAAAGCATAATCAGTGCCGCGATTGCATATTCGTTCGAAGATGAAAGGAAGAAAATTATCGAAAATCGATTCGAAGGTGCGGCATTATATTGGGACAAACAATTCTACTTGAAGTTTTCTGAAATTGACTCTATGAAAGTTAAAAATTTGAAAAGTGTTTGGGCAGTTGATGATCAAGTAGAACTCAAGTCCAGTATGCAACACCCTCATTTTGGTCTTGGAGTAGTCAAGAAAATTGAAACGGAAAATGTCAGGTCCTTCGGGAATCTCAAATTTAATTTTAGTATAGTGATAAGAGTTCTGAATGTTCAAGAACGTAGAAATCGTGATACAGAGGAAGAATTTTTGAATGCGCAAGATGGTGGTTTGCTTGTTGTACATCCAATCATTATAAAGGGTAGTGAAAGTCGTAGAACTTGTTTTTCAGCGAATATGCCGTCTCGTTTATCGGAATTAGACACTAAGCAGGGTCAATTAATGAAAGCTCTATTGGCACGTGAAGTTGAAATAGTAGATTTGGAAGATGTCTCTGAGCCACTAAATCCTCACCCTTTAATGAGATTATTAAATGAAAGGCAGAAAGAAACGGTTAACAGTTTGCTCTCTGGGGGGTGCAAGCTGGTTTACCAGCAAGCACCTCCCGGAGTGGGAAAAACCTTCTGTGCAGCCGTTGTTACAGCTATTCTTCTCCATAGTCTCACCAATGCTAAAATTGCTATTATTACATCTGCTAATTTGCCTTTAGCCAAACTCGCAAAGGAACTTGAGAATGTATTATCTCCGGAAGAAATGGAAGAGTCGAAGGCAATAACATTTTTCTCTGGTTTTGCCAAGGATCGTTACAAAGAAATGATAAATGAGCTGAGACGTCACATGCTTATTACCAAACTTAAATTAGAAGAAATTAATGAAAAATTGGATAATAATGCAAAACAGGATGTGAAAGAATACTGCGAAAACTTTGAAACGCGCCCTCGTTTGACAAGTGAAGTGAAAATGGGCTCGATGCTTTCTGAACTTGTAAATCTGAAAATAGTCTTTTCAACAGCAGCAATGGCCGAAAATATGGTCTACTCTTCTTTGCTTGACACAACAGTCCTCATTGTAGATGAAGCAACCCAGACGAGCTTCGCTGAAATAACAAATCTTGTTGCCAGACTACCGAATTTGGAAAAGATTCTCATAACTGGCGATAAATTCCAAATTGGGACTCATTTGCAAGATTTACCTAAATCGCTTCACGATGGGTTCGGTCTTGACTCGATTGTTCCACAGTTACTCATCTCACCGTCAGTCCACCAAACTCGTCTTTCTGTCTGTTACCGCATGCATCCTTTACTAGTGTTGTGTGTGTCGTATGCTGCTTATGAAATTCATAATGAACCATTAGAGCCTGGACGTTCTGCAGATGAAAGAGCGTTGTTGACGAATTCTCGGTTTCCACTGCCTATACAAAGTTGTCCAATAGTCCTATTCAATGTCGTTGGTTCGTGTCGGCAAGATGTAGTTTCTCATAGTCTCACAAATGATTTGCAAACGACTTCGGTTGTCACACTCATCTCGTCTTTGTATGAATACATTTCGCCTGAAGTAAATGTTGTGGTGATTTGTCTTTATCTTTTTCAAAAAGAATGCTTACAAATCGAATTTGAAAAACTTGGATATAATGTACTCACTGTGTCGGTAGATGGTTATCAATCCATGGAAGCGGATCTTATTGTACTCGTGACTACTCGCTCTCATAGTAACGATAGTAACTCAACGGACTCTTCAGAATTTTTCTCTGATGAAAATCGTAGTACGGTAGCGCTGAGTCGAAGCAAACATGGTCTCTTTCTAGTAGGAGATATTGAGCTGCTTAAAACTGGAAGAGTTTGGTCTAGGTTTATTGAAAAAGCTACAGAATTCACGTCAGTGGTAGGAACTAATTATTTAAATATTTTACAATCAGGTCGAGTCAAAAGAGACAGATTTGGTCAAATTCTCTTTGTGGAGGGTCAAAACGTATGTCAAAATGTTGAAAATTTTAATTTTCAGGATCAATCCAATGACTCGTGGAGAAATTATGGTCAAGGAACAAGCAGTGGTAACAGGTACCAAGAAGAATGGTTTGTAAATAAAAATAAAAATTTTGAAAATACTAATACTAACAATTTAAATTTAAGGAAACGTCCGTTCGCGAGCAACAATTGGAAAATGTTCACTGGAAAAACTTTTGTCCGTTCTGAAGCAAAAAGCTGTTACAACTGTGGTCAATATGGGCATATTTCAAAAGACTGCAATTCATGGCGTGGTGGTAGAGGAAAGCCATTTTAATTCTATTTAAAAAAAAATTTTTTTTCTAAACACAAATTTTTTTTATTTAAAGCCCATGGCTCCCTCAACTAATGTTGCAAATCAATGGAACAAATGGCTGGAATTTATTTTTTTTTTTGTTCTGTTTTATTTTTTTAATCACAATTTGTCCTCTCCCATTAAATTTTTATGAATAATTCTCTTGATCTAATTATTATCTCAAAATAAGTAATTTAAATAATGCATTTTTTTTTAAGAAATTTATTTGAAATATGAGCCTAACTAAAATTTTTTTTTAGCCAGTAAAACTATTTTTCTCTCTTTATTTCCTTAATTAAAAAAAATGTGTGTCTTAAACTCATTATTTTTGCCTTTAAACAAATTTGTTTTATACTTAAATCAATTTTTTTACTTTAACATTAATTTGATTGTTTCAAAAATAGAATATTTTTTTTTCAAATTGTTTTACAAAAACATTTTTTCTTCTTCCTCACAAAAAAAAAAACACAATTTTTTTTTGTAATTATTCTATTACTAAATGATTTTTGTATTATCCACTCAATAAGAAATGTATTAACTTAGGTTATTTCACTATTAAAATTTTTTAAGAAAAATAAGTCTTTTTAAAATTAACTCATACAATTACAAATTTTGTAAATTCACAAAATCAATATTGTCAATATTTAATTTCAATTGTTGAATTTATTAATTTTTCTTTAAATTTCACTTAAATTACAAATACTTTACATACAAATTTCAATTATACATTCCATTATTTTTAAATATTCCAAAATTAATTCACATAATAGCCATACAATTTTTTTCAAAACAATATTTTTCTTCCAATCTAGATATGCTTTAAATCCCAATTTTGTCAAAAAGATATAGTCAAAAAGAAAACATTTATTTTTATGATTTTTAAAGAAACACTGGTAATAAAAATATTAAATAATAAAAAGGGGAATGCCATAAATAATATTCACAAGGATGGATAAAACTCATCTTCGGAGTGCTGTCGTATGACGCACATTTAGCTCTATAGATAAAATATTGCTCATTCAGGAGCACATCAACAAACTAAGATAGATTATGTGCATTCCCTCAAACAGTATCTATAGATAATAACCAGTGTTTCTTAAAGTCTAATAATTTTTTTGTTAAGATCAGGGACGATCTTGTTGGATAAGGGAGGTATAAAGCATATCAAAGTCCACTATTATTTCCAATGATTTCTTATGTGACAAACAATTTTATCCCTCCTACTTTACAACTATTTAATCCTTTTGTTTTCTTTTACAAGTAGTTCAGTTGTTAGCTTTATGATTAATTATTGTTTTATTATGTTTTAGCTAACTTATATTATTGTTTCGCATTTTCCTAGTTCGTAAATAAAAGCTTTTAATACTTCGGTGTTTTCGGTGTTGGGAAGAAACCAAGGGACTTGATCAACCCCGAGGGTCTTCTAGGAACGTCCCGATCACAACCTCCCCGTTACGTTATCCCTTAACATCTGGAAAGGGTTTAGCCGCTTCGGCGCACAATTAATTATAGGAATAACAGTAGGTAAACCATCCCCACAAGGAACACATTTTACTACCTTTATAATATTTATTTTAAAAAATAGAAGGGAGAAAATAATTAATTAATTAACATATTTATTCTAATAGACGCCCAAATGAATCAAGTACTCATCAATTAAGGGGCGTTAATTAGAATAAATTAAAAAAAATTTTTTTAATAAAAATAAAATAATAAAATAGCTTAGTTTATACAATAAACAAAAAATATTCAAAAAAATTATTTTTTTTTCTTCATACTCCACCCCAATAAATTAATTAATTAGTTGTTGTTGTTGGAAAATTTAATTTTTTATTATTTTTTGAATTCCAACGGCCAACCAAACTTTTTCTCGTTTGTGTAGAAGATATTTTAGGTATAGGGAAATATTGTTCTGTACACAATTTTTTTGCGTCTAATATTTCTGTTTCAGTAAGGGTGTAGAGAAGAGCTTTGCTGTTGCTTTGGTCACGCCTCTTTCTGAGAGATTCTGAAATTTTTAATAAAAATATTCTGATGTTAAGTGAAATAATATTAATTGTAATCAGAATTTACAATTTGTAATTCTGATTTTTTATTATTTACAATTCTGGTTTTAATATTGTAAAATAATTGTTATTCTGGTATTTTTAAAATGTAATTCTGACATTAATTCTGATTTTTAAAATTGTAAATAATTACAATCAGAATTTTACAAAGTATTCCTTGCAAAATTCTGATTGTAATTATTTATTTACAATTTGTAATTCTGATTTTTATTATTATTTACAATTCTGATTTTAATATTGTTATTCTGGTATTTTAAAAGTGTAATTCTGAAATTAATTCTGATTTTTAATAATTACAATTCCTTGTAAAATTCTGATTGTAATTATTTACAATTTGTAATTCTGATTTTTTGTTATTCTGGTTTTTTTAAGTGTAATTAATTCTGATTTTTTAATATTAATTCTGATTAATTAATTTTAATATTAATTCTGATTTTTTTAATTTCGATATTAATTCTGATTTTTAATAATTACAATTCCTTGTAAAATTCTGATTGTAATTATTTACAATTTGTAATTCTGATTTTTTGTTATTCTGGTTTTTTTAAGTGTAATTAATTCTGATTTTTTAATATTAATTCTGATTAATTAATTTTAATATTAATTCTGATTTTTTTAATTTCGATATTAATTCTGATTTTTTAATAATTACAATTCTGATTTATATATGTATTAACAATTATTGTAAAATTCTGATTATAATTATTTTTTTACAATTTGTAATTCTGATTTTTCCTTTTTTTATAATTAAAACAATAACACACCTTCTTTACTTAAAATTATCCCTTTTTGTCCATCATTTCTAACAATTCTTAATTCATTCCCTGGAGACACTCCAGCATTTTCTGCAACGGAAAATTCGCAAAATAGTTTTTGTTCAAATCGGGAACGGCGAAAAATATTGCAACTAAAAATCTTTCCAAAAGGGTGAATTAAAGCTTGTGCCATGCAGAGACTGTCTAGAGCTTAAATTAAATTAATTAAAAATTAAAAACAAAAATATTTTCAACCTTTTCCAATAATTTTAAATTGTTCAACAGAAGGCTTAGATGTTTTATTAAAATGATGAGGTCTGCTTAGAACGACATAAATACCAGCCAGAACAACTACAAGGAGTGCAAGGCAACATATGGAACCTCGAAGGATATCTCCCTTTCGACTTCCTATAAAATTTAAGAAAATCAGAATTTTCAGAAAAATCAGAATTTCATGAAATCAGAATTTTCAGAAAATCAGAATTTCATGAAATCAGAATTTTCTTAAAATCAGAATATTAAAAAAATCAGAATTTTCAGAAAAATCAGAATTTTCTTAAAATCAGAATTAGAAAAATCAGAATTTTATTTTTTATATTTTTCTTATTCTTTTTAAGTAAACTAAAGGATAAATTATACAAACAATAATAATAAATCTTTTAAAAAAACTAACAATAAATTTTAAATAAAGATATCCTTAACAGTTGGATTAAAGAAATTAAATAATTAAATAATCAATTTAATTTAATTGAAATCCTCTTTTTAATTAATTAAAAAGTCACGTTGTTTTTATTATCCAAAATATTAATGCTCTAAATATCAACTTGTTATTAAATCAAAACAGCAGTTTTGTTTAGAAAATTGTTTTGATTTATTTGCGTCATTAAATTATTATTGTTTAGTATAGTTATATCATGCTTACCTAATTATGGTTTTGTTTTTAAATTCTGAACTTTAAATTCTGATTTTTAATTCTGATTTTAAATCAGTTTTGTATTTGATTTTTAAATTCTGATTTATTTTTAAAAATTTAATTCTAATTTAATTTTTATCAGAATTTAGTTCTGATTTCTTAATGCGGTATTAATTCTGATTTATAGTTTTGATTCTAATTTTTTAATTAAAATTACAATTTGTAATTCTGATTTATTAATTGAATATTTAATTACTATTTTTCCTTCTCCTCTCCTCCGCCTCTTCATCAACAATATTTGCCAACCTCTGAGTTAATTTATCGCTAATTTTAGGTGTTGTAGTTGGTTGTTGTAATGCCATTCTTTCTACATGTTCCCTCATTTTCCCCAAATCTCTTTTTAATTTTCCAATTTCGGCTTCTTGTTCTCTAATTAATTCTGACTGGACTTGTACTCTTTGGGATATTTCCATTCCCCCACAATTCTCTCCAATTAAACTTGTGTTTGTTGACCCCCCAAAAGGTGAGCGACATTCTACTACTGCTTGCTCGTAACTGGGAGGTGGTAGAGGGGCATCTACAAAATGGACATGCATTTTTTTGATGAAAAAATTTTTTGAGGGAGATAATTAATTGAGAATATTATTTAATTGATAAACTGAAATTTAAAATTTTTTAAAAATAAAAATAATAAATATGGAAATTAATTAAGAAATTAAATATTAGACAGAAAAATTAAAACATAGAAAATCAGAAGTAAAATTATATGTAAGGATGATTAACCTAGCTTAGGTTGGGGTTAAGCGATCAAAAAAGGAAAGGAGAAATCATTATTAGTCGATGCCCCGGTAGCTCTTATCCCCCTCAGAGCTCCCATAAGCGGTGAGCGAAAGCGCCTAGCAATAACACTGCAAGGAGGTCGCAGATTCGAACCTTGCTCGGTGGCTAAACTTTTGCTAAACTCTTTCTATTACAATTGAAATTCCAAACAGAATTACAACATTTTATAAATTAGGTTTAAATTAACAATAAAATAAAAATTAAATTGTTTGAATGTCTAAAAGCAATAAAATTAACAATAAAACTAAAAAGACAGATTCTTTGATCAGCCGACACTTGAAGAAAGTAATAATAAAAATTTTAGTAGGGCAATTTGGTCATTTGGAAAAATCTTGAGAAAGAAATATTAAATTTATTTATTTTTAAAAATAGCCACAAAGTGTAATTAAAGATCCAAAAATAGCTCTTCCCGGAAATGATTTTTCAAAGTTTCCGGAAATTGTCTAAAATTCAGAACTTTTCCCCTGTCAGTTGTCTACTCTATTAAATTTACTTATTTTATTGTTCCTCTAGTAAGTTTAGCTTGCAAAAAAATAATTTTCTTGCAAAACTTTTGCAAAAATAAAATAAAAAATGAAGCAACGGCGACAATGAACACTAAAAATGAGGAGAAAAATAAAGAAATGAAATCCTTCTAACTGATCCTTTCCTCTCAATTTTCTTTTCCTCCAGTTTTATTTTTGGCCAAGTTTGGTGGCCAATCAACTCCTCCCTTTTTTTATTTTACTCAAGGAATCAATTGAGAAAAAATAAACACCTAAAATATCGACTATTGAAGGATCAAAACTTGGAATTGTAAAACTTAAAAATGAGAGCTTAAAAGACTAACCAAGTTGAATTTTTAATTAAGTTTTACAATTTAATAATTGTAATTATCAAGTTTTTATTTTACAAATTGTAATTATTTATAAAAAAGTTTTACAATTTGTAATTAATTAAAGTTTGCAACTTAGAAAATACAATTACAAATCCAAGTTGAATTATTAAAAAGTTTTACAATTTTACAATTGTAATTATCAAGTTTTATTATCTTCTTATTGAGTACTTTGTAATTACAAACAAGTTTATAATAAAAAAAGTTTTAAATTATATAATAGTAATAAATTATAAACAAGTTTTACAATTTGTAATTTTAATTGAATATTTGACAATTACAATTACAAATCCAAGTTTTAAAAAGCAAACAACGTTTTGTAATTTTAGTTAATTAATTGTAATAATCAGACAAGTTTGTAATTTCGCCTTTAAGTGCAAACTTAAACGTATAGTTGATCACTTGGGTGTCGCATCTATTTATCTGTTAAATCCTTTAATATCCCTCATAAAAAAGTAAATAAAAATATAAAATGATTGGGGGCTCTAGTTAAAGAGAAGTTAGTTTCTCTCAATCTCATTTATAAAGTCGTCATCACCACCCTCTCTTTGACAAATGGTTAAATATCCAAAAACAATCCCCCCTCTCAAATCCAAGCTTTTCCTTCCCAAACCTTCCCAATGTTCTCCCTAAAAATAAATATATTTATTTATTTATCCTCCCTCACACAACAATAATAAAAGCGCCTAATGACGTCAATTCTCTTTTTTAATAGTTTTAAACTGCAAAAGTTTTATTGCAAAAAGGAAAAATTTTTACAAAAAAAATTTTTTTAACAAGCTAAACTACTAAACAATCAAAATGACTGACAGATATTGGAGTGAGGGAGAAGAAGAAAATTTTGGAAATATATTTAAAAATAATAATTTTTAATAAATTGAAATTTAAAAATAATTTAAAAAAAAATAATTATATTATAGGGAAATATGTAGAATCTTTAATTTTTATTTTTTTAAATCAAGTTTGTGCTGGCGGTTTTTACCGGTAGGATAAGATTGGTGAATAGAATTATTATTTTTTAATTATTAATTGAATTTACTAAGGTTCCCCGTTCATGCCTGAAGAGGATTTCCAGGACAAGGTTGGTGAAAACTTTTTCGTAAAACTGTCAGGGATTGGAGGAGGGGTGGGGACAAGAATATATGTTCGTGGATCGAGGTCAGGAAATGACCGCCTGAAAATCATCTTCGGGATTGAACGGGGAACCTTAGTAAATTCAATTACTAATTAAATTAAAAATAATAATTCCTCTATTCCTTTTATTAAATTTAATTCCTCGTAATTTAATATCTAAACTTCCTCTCTTTTAAATTTCAAATCCTTGTACATATATCCATTTATTGATGTACTCATACCAAAAAATATTTTTATTCATTTAATAAATGGATAATAAAATTAATATTAATAGAGAATTTAATGCTGCTATTCGAATACAGGCAAGTACTTACAATTTTTTTAAAATTATAATTGTAATTAAAGTTTTACAATTCCAAGTTTTAAATTTAAAGTTTACAATTCTATGTTTTCAAGTTTTAAGTTTATTTAATTATACATATAAATAAGTTTTACAATTCTAAGTTTTGCAAAATTACAAAGAATAAGTTTTACAATTAAGTTTTTAATCTAAGTTTCAATTTTAGGTTTTACAATTCCAAGTTTATTTAATTATAATTTAAAGTTTAATTTTACAATTAAGTTTTAATTAAGGTTTTACAGTTAAGTTTTAAGTTTTTACAATTAAGTTTCACAATTCTATGTTTTTAAGTTCTAAGTTTCTTTAATTTTATAAATAAGTTTTACAATTCTAAGTTCTACAAAGAATAAGTTTTACAGTTCCCCAAGTTTTAAAGTTTTAAGTTTTACAATTCTATGTTTTTAAGTTCTAAGTTTCTTTAATTTTATAAATAAGTTTTACAATTCTAAGTTTTACAAAGAATAAGTTTTACAGTTCCCCAAGTTTTAAAGTTTTAAGTTTACAATTTTATGTTTACAACTTCCAAGTTTATTTAAATTTACAATTCCAAGTTTCACAATTCCAAGTTTATTATTCCAATTTTTAACCCTTCATTTTTCTCAATTTCAGAATTTTATGCGCAAAGCAGTCGAATTAAGACGAGCACAGAAACAACGAGATAAAGCTGCAAGAAAAATTCAAGTTTATTTTTCCTTTTACAAATTCAAGTTTTAAATTAATTTAAAGGCCATAGTTAGAGGCTTTCTGGCTAGGCAACATTTAAAGAAATGTTTACATGCTGCTGTAGTTATACAGGCACATTTTAGAGGATTTTTGGTCAGAAAACAATTTAGTGAGGCTAAATGAAGATTGGATAAATTAACTGAATAAATGAGGAAATAATTTTTATTTTTTAAAATAAAATTTAAAATAAAGATTTAAGAGGGAGAATATTTAAAATTAGCTAAAATTTTGTCTAAAAAATTAAAAAAAAAAATAAAAATTTAGAAAAGGTCCAATATTAGTGTACAATAAATTGTAATTTTGTTTTTGACTTTGTATAATTTTTGACTGGATATTTAATTTTATTTTTTATTTTTATTTTTTATTTATCCTTCGCCTTGCTTTGATTTAAATCCAAAATCCTTCCAATTCAATTGACTCTCCCCTTGCAAATTCCCCAGACCCCCCCCCCCCCCCCCGCAATTGATCCTTCCCCTTGCAGAGGAGATCCTTCTCTCCTTCTCCTTCCTCTTACAGTGGACTCTCCCTTTAAATTTTCTCCCAAACCCTCCACTTTAAATTTCAGGCAATTCAATTTTTTTACTAAAAATTTAAAATTATTTTTTCTTGCCAGCTTTAGAATTTTAAAAAATTTTTAAAAATAAAAAAAAATAATTTTCCTTCTCCATAGCTGACTTTCCTTTTTTTAAACAAAAAAATATGTATATTTTTTTTTCTGTGTGAATTTTAATAATAAATTTAAATTTATTCCAACTTGTTTTTAAAAAAATATTTTTTGGACATACATATATTTTTTACCTTATATTTTTTCACAATTCCCCATCTTTCTTTGTTTGTTTATTCTCTTTTTTCTGAAAAAATAAAATAAAAAGCATCCTGTCAGGTGGGGGAATTTTTTTTAAAAAAGGATGCTTTTTGCCATGACCAAAAATTGGAAGAAGCTCTAAAGCTAGCTAGTATTATGCCATGGGAAATTTTGTTAGTCTTTATATCGATCTGGCCTTTCTAAATTAAGTGAGGTCAACTGTGAAATTGAAATTTTATTGTCTTTAGTCACGAAATTAAATTTAATATATTGGCATTCTCATTATAGTCTCAACTCTCTTTATAGTGGACAGAATGATTAGGAGTTAATAATAGAGAGAGTTTCATATATTTTAGGAGTTCTTTTAGTGGAAATTCTAATTGAGACTATCTTAGAGATTTTTAGAAGTTTCGATTCTGGTCTTGATTCTGGATAACCCTGATTTATGTCGGCACCTAGTATAGGTCTGGTCTCTAATGGAGAGTTTACCTTAAGGGAGAAGAAAGGGAGAATTCCTATAGGGGAGGGGTTACAGTAGGAGGGTGTTCATTTCAAAGAGAATCCCCTTAAGGAGAGGTTATTTTAGTGGGAGTATTTCAGAGGGAGTTACTGGAAGGGAGTCCACTATAAGTGGCAATTCACTGTACGGGAAGGGAGTTGCTTAATAAATAAAATTAATTAAATCACTCCGTTTATTCCCCCAACGGATATAAAATCCAAAATCTTTATAGCAACTTTTCCCTTAACTTTCCCGTATTTTACTTTCTTTTTCCAAATTTCCATTTTAAAAGAATCTATTTTTAGCCCTCCAAAATCTCTCACACCAAACGTCAAAAGACGCAAGAAAAAAAAATTTCCCCCAATTTTGTAAATTATATTCTTTGCTCTAAAAATTTTTTTTCTCGTGTTTTAAAATATTCAAAAGACTAACTACTTAAAATTATTTTTGTATTTGTTTGGGAAAACATAAAAAAAGACTTGAAAAAATTTTAAAAAAAGCCGGAAGAGGAAGGAAGGTAAAATGAGTTTAGCTAACACAATCTCAATTTCAAAAAAATTTTTTAAACATAAAGTCGATTTAAAGTGTCTTTTTTTCTTATCTTGTGATACACCTTTAAGTGTGTTCCCTTCACTTTACCTCGATTAAAAAAAATTTTTTTTTGAATTTTAAAATTAAAATTCAAGTCTCAAAAGAGTAGGTGGTTGTTAACTTAATTACGTAAGTATGTCAATTCTAAAAATAATTTTCAAAAATTTTTTTCTGAATTTTCAAGTTAAAATTCAAGATTAAAAAATGGTTTCTATAAAATCTTCAACTTGGGCTATTTTATTAATTCAATTAGTTATTTCTTGCATAGCAATAATATCTTCTGTTGCTTTGGTTGTGGCACAGGCCCAGTCATTAGATTTAAATGGATTAGCTATGGGGCCAACTTTACATTCTATTTTTGTTTGCTTTTTGAGTTTTTCGCTTCTTGGAAGGTAAATCTTGCTTTTGCTTTGAAAATTCTTTAAAAAATTTTTTTAATGAAAATCGCTTTTATTGTATCCTTAGAGTCATTCCTTACCTCATAAAATTGTTTAAGGCGGTCCTAAAATCGTAAAATTTTGCGAGGATATTCCCAAGAGTGTTAGCTAACATCCCTATAAATTTCATAATTTTAGCTTATTTTTAAACCAATTTATAAACATTTGAATTAATGCAACTTGGCCCTTGACATTATTTTCAGTTAAAGAGATATGTAATTCTAATTTTTGGCACTTGGTAAAAAAATTTTTCTGGAGGTTCTAAGGGTGGAGATTACGAATCTCATATTCGTATGAATATGAAAGCTAATTAGAATTAAATATAGGACGACAGATTAACCCAGAAAAATTTTTTTTTAATTTTTTAATTAAAAAAAATATTAAAGGATTTTTTCATAAAATTACAAAAAAAATCTCAAAAAAAAATTAATTATTCCAGTTCTGTACTAGCAATGTTTGGAATGCTCTCAAAAAAGCCTCTACTTTTACTTCCAATAATTTTAATTTCAATAATTATATTTATTTTTCATTCCCTATTAATTATTCAATGGATAACCTCATGGATTTTATTAAAAGAAAAAATTTATGATATAGATTTATTTATTATTATCATTGGATTTTTATTAGTTGAATTTATTTTTATTTTAGTAAGAAAAGAAAAAATTTTTTTTAATTAATTTTAAAATTAATTTTAAGGCAATTTATTTACAAATACGTTGCTACAGAATTCTTCAATAAAAATATTCTGGTTTCAAGTTTATTTAAAAACAAAGTTTATTTATTTACAATTGAGCAAAATAGACGAGTAAGTTTGTTTGCAAGTTTTTACAATTACAAATGTAAGATTGTAATCTTAAATATTCTGATTTAAAAAAATTCTGAAAATAAATTCTGATTAAATTCTGATTTAATATTCTGATTAAAAACTTCTTCTAATATTCTGAAAAAATATTCTGATATTTTGAAATCAGAATTACTCTGATTTTCTGAAAATATTCTGATTTTAATAAATATTCTGATTTGAAAAATTCTTCTGGTATTCTGGAAAAAATTCTGATATTCTGAAAAAATATTCTTATATTCTGGAAAAAAATATTCTGATTCTCATACATCAAAAAAAAATTCTGATTTATTAAAAATTCTGATTTTTAATTCTGAAAATAACTAGTTCTTGATATCTCATCGTTTAATTAATTAATTCTCTTTTTTGTTGCCTAAACTAGACACGGATATTTCTAAAAAAGTTTTGATTTTTAATACACTAAAATATTATTTTCTCTCATTTGTTTATTTTCAATTTGTTTATCCTCTCCTTTTTTTATTTCGAAAACCTTTTTATTTATTCCAAAATAATTTTTTCCCAAAATAATATTAAAAAATGGTCCCAGAATTAAATAAAAATATTACTAAAAAATATTCCGTTAACTTTAACAATATTCCAACTAAAAATAGAAAAAATACAATTTATTTTCTATTAATTTTATTTTTACAATTTAATTTAAGTTTGGGACAGATGGTGCACAATGGCCTTTTATTGCTTTCTTTTAGTTCAGAAATGTTTAGATATTCTGAATCTAGGTAATTCTATACTCTCAAAAAATCAGAATAAATAGGAGAGAAAAATCAGAAAATCAGAAAAAATTTCAGAAAATCAGAACAAATCAGAAAAAATCAATCAGAACCTCAGAAAAATCAGAATACTATTCGGAATCAGAATTTAATTTTAAAAAATCAGAAAAAATCAGAATACCAGAATTTTTCAATGAAATCAGAATACTAACTAGAATCAGAAAAAATTTCAGAAAAACCAAAATCAGAAAAAATTTTAAAATTTAACTCAAAAAATCTTTCAGAATCACACTCCAAGTTTCCCTCATTCTCAACTTGTTGTGGTCTATAACAGTTGTAATTGCTTTTATTGGAGAAGTTAAGGAATACTTAATTATTTTAATTCCACATTTTTGTCTTTCTGTTAGTTTTTAAATTTTAAACTAATTGAAAAATATTTTCTTAGATAATTTTGTTGCCTTATTATTGCCTTCTTTCTTGGATTTTTATGCTCAAATTAACTCAAATATTGGCTATTACAATTACGTTAATATTATTACTGGCAAGTTTAATATTAGAGTGGAGGAAATTTCAGAATTTGTAATTTTTAAAAATCAGAATTTGTAAAAAGAATTTGTAATTTCAGAATTTGTAATTATTTCTGTCTTCGTACTTATTCTGAATTTGTAAAAATAATTTTCAGAATTTGTAATTTTTAAAAATCAGAATTTGTATTTGTAAAAAACCAGAATTTGTAATTTTTAAAAATCAGAATTTGTAATTTAGGTAAAAATACAAATTCTGGTTTTTTTAATTACAAATTCTGGTTCGTTAAAAATACAATTTGTAATTTAAAATAAATCAGAATTTGTAATTTTGAAAAGACCAGAATTTGTAATTTCTGAATTGTAAAAATTCAGAATTTGTAAAAAGAAAAATTTGAAAGAGAATTTTCAGAATTTGTAATCTTAGAAAAATCAGAATTTGTAAAATAATAAATAACCAGTTGTAGTATATTATTATTAAATCAGAATCAGAATAAATTTAAAACACAATTTCAAAACCAGAATAATTTAATTTAAAAATCAGAATTTAATTTTAACAATTAGTATTTGCGCACACCTACTAATTCTTATTATTTTAATCCTTTATTATTGACAATGTATTAACAAAATTAAAAAAATTTTTTAATTAATTAATATTCTTATGTCTATCTTGTTTATAATAATTGCTAGACAATTATTTAAAAATATTTTTTAATATTTTTTAATTTCAATAATATTTTAATTATCATTTCCGAGTACACTAACTAAAATAAAAAAATAAATTAATAAAAAATAATTAAAAGGAAACGGATTTATTTAAAGTTTTATACCGGTAAAAATATTATAATTAAACATCGTGTTTATTAAAAATTATTAAAGCATCAAAAAACACAAAAAATACAAAAGTGCATTGAGGGATAGGGAGACATAACGGGACGGACATCCGGGATTGCGGTATCAAAAAATAATCTCTTGTGTGTTTGTGTTGGGTCTAAAACATAAACTACTCTTTTCCTCTAATAGGACAATGAACTATCAATGACCCAGTGGCCATAGGTCCCAAAATTAGTAGGGAAACTTCATTAGAGATAAAGATCTTTAAAAAGCCTGGGCCTCCTGAGTTCCAGGTTTGATTTATTGGCCTGTACCTGTAATCCAGGAAAAACCCAGGCCCAGGAAAAACTCAGGAAGATAAAAAATGCCTGGACTCTGGATACAGGAAAAACCCAGGCCTTGCTTCAAGCCTAGCTAGGACTCCCAGCCCCCCTATCCCCTCTACTCCAGCCCCTTGGTCCATACCCAGCCCCCCCTCATCCTGATCTCTCCGTCCCAATGTCTGCCTCCCTCTTGAAAGGACATTTTAAATTAAACTAATTAATCAGCCTCAAAACTAGCCCTCATAGACGGCGGGCAAGAGTAATACCCTTCTTCTGCTTGTATTTCATAAATTCTTTTGGGGAATAATTTCCTTCCACTAATCACAGGTTGTTGCTGTTCATTCAACAATTCTTTTTGTTCTTCTTCCAAATTTTCTTCTTTCACGGGGAATATTGGAGAATTTTTAATTAATCTATTTTTGGGTACCAAAACAATTTGTAATTCTCGAGAGTGTGATGACGACAACATTTCCCTCTCAGAGCTTTTGAATATTCGAAAAAGAAAAATTCCAACGAGAAAAACTAGCAGAAATCCACAGAAGGAGAACAAAAGTAGACCCGAAGGGAATAAATGCTCTTCAATGTTTTCCTCAAAATTTTTTGCTGTTAGTTCTGATGAGGAGATAAATGATACTGGTGAACGGTCTAATGCTGTTCCTGATAAAAATAAAATTAATTTAATGTCTGTGACGAAATGTCCTTTTTTTCTACTATGTGACCAAATGGGTATTTTTCTACTATGTGACGAAATGTCCTTTTTTCTACTATGTGACCAAATAGGTATTTTTCTACTATGTGACCAAATGTCCTTTTTTCTATTATGTGACCAAATGAGTAATTTTCCTTGTTCGACATTTTGACATTCTGTTATCATTTTTGACCGAAATGGTCATTTTTATCCAATTGACCGAAATGAGTCTTTTAAATGAGTCTTTTCCCCTTATGACCAATATGGGTAATTTTGGATGATTTAATGTGAGGGAATAAAATGAGAGATTACAGTACCCCTAGATTAATTCCCAACAATTTTCTCAATTTATCTCTTAAAAGTGCTTACTGCTTCTAAAAGTATTAGCAAATTGATTGGGAGAATAAGAATATGAAGAGGAAGTGGAAGGATAATTGGCAATAATTGAAGGTCTTCTAGGGGGATGTTGTTGAGTGTTTTGGTGTTTATTATTATTGTTGTGGTGGTGGCGATGTTTATGGTGTTTTCCTTTTCTTGTTTTGTTGTCATCGTCCCATCTGAAAATTTTGAAGTTGTATTTTTTTGTGTTTTCTTGTATTTTCTTGTGTTTTTCTTGTATTTTCTGTTTTTTGTGTTTTTGTATTTTTTGTATTTTCTTGTATTTTCTGTTTTTTGTGTTTTTGTATTTTTTTTGTGTTTTTGTATTTTTTGTATTTTCTTGTATTTTCTGTTTTTTGTGTTTTTTTGTCTTTTTGTGTTTTGCTGTGTTTTTGTGTTTTCTTGTATTTTCTTGTGTTTTTCTTGTATTTTCTGTTTTTTGTGTTTTTGTATTTTTTTTGTGTTTTTTGTATTTTCTTGTGTTTTGTGTTTTTTGTGTTTTTGTATTTTTTGTATTTTCTTGTATTTTCTGTTTTTTGTGTTTTTTTGTCTTTTTGTGTTTTGCTGTGTTTTTGTGTTTTCTTGTATTTTCTTGTGTTTTTGTATTTTGTGTTTTTTGTATTTTTTGTATTTTGTTTTTGTATTTTTTTGTGTTTTTCTGTGTTTTTGTGTTTTATCTAATTTTTTATTTTCTGTGTTTTTTGTGTGTCATATTCATTTCAAAAAATACATTACCTCAAAAGCACTTTAGCTCCTTTCGGAATAGGCCTAGAAGTTTGTGGATCAGGCAAGAGAGACCAAATAATTTTGTCGTCGGAATATCCAGCAATAGTCATTTTATTTTATTTTTTTAAATAATTTTTAAAAATATAATAAAGTAGCGAAATATTAAAATTTATCTTCTGCTTATAAAGAAATTTTTTTAATTTAAAAAAAAATTTAAAATATGACAGATAATCTTTATATTTAAATATTTATTTACATTTATTTTTGCAAAATTTTTTTTAATAATGTAAAATTATTTTTTAAATAACGAGGAGAGGAGATTAAATAAACTATGCATAATATATTTAAATAAATGTGCGCAAATTTATTTTGCACTTTTTGACGGTATAAAAAATTTTTTGGTATAATGTTGATTCATTTTAAAGCAGCTAAGACGCCTTAAGGATATACTTTGTTGGAAAAAATAGAAGCTTTTGATTATCCCTCAATGACTCCCTTTGTTATTTAGACAGAAACAGATATGCCGAACATTTTTTTGTATATACCAGGGAACGAGCCGACAATGAAACAAAATTCACGATTTTCGGAACTCGGGAATTCAAGATGATTTTCGGGTTGGGAATTAACGATTCCCGGGAATCGGGGATTTTTTGTGTTACTGTTGGCTCGTTTCTTGGTATATACAAATAAGAGGTGGGTCGGAACAGTGAGAGTGTCGGAAATCGGAAGAGCCGGAAATCGGAACTGGCTCAAAAGCTGGAACTCGGAAATCGGAAATCAAAATTTTTTTTCGGAAATCGGAATTCCGACCCACCTCTGATACAAATAAGGAGAGTGCCGTTTCGCCTATCGTCTTTCGCTTTTCAAGATCATTTTCGGCATACCTCTATTGTATGGACAGTATGGACAGAACCTCGAAAGAGCTTGACAACACGTCACTAACAGCCCTAAGTGACTAACAAACGTTTTATTGGAGGAAAGACGACATGATATCGAAATCCTGTAATATATAACCTACCAAAGGCTGTCGAAAGTTCGATTTCTGTTCATTAGTGTGTTTCAAAATTTTTTAAGACAAAATTTTTTGCGTTTTTCTAGCGCACATGGAAGGTAAAAATGATGGAAAATGAGAGATAGAAACTGAAAGTTAAATTGCCAATAAATATTTAAATATTAAAAACATCCGGAAACACACTTTTTTAATCTCTTGAAGAATATTTTAAATTTTTTTAAAAGAGTGAATAACCAATAAATACTTTTAGATTGAAAAATAAGGGATTGGAATTATCGTTCAAACAGTGTAAAAAAAAAATAATTTTTTGATTTTTTAAATTATTTTTTTTTTGATAAAATTGGAGTCAAAAATGGAAAAAATATTTTTGAAAATTAAAAAAAAAATTTTTTTAGAAATTTTCTGAAAATTTTTAAAAATTTCAAAAATTTCTGAATATTCTGAAATTTTCTGAAAATTCTTAAAATTTTCCAAAATTCTTAAAAATCTCTTTAAAAACAAGCAAAAAATAGGCTTTTCTAAAGCTCTATTCACGCAAATACTCATCATTTATTTATTTAATTTAATTTAATATTATACATAGGTATATAAATAGGTATTTAATAAATCTCCTTTTAAAAATGATTAGGAAAAAGAGGAAAATATTGTTTTGTCTTTTAAAAATAATAATATTTTTAAGTCTGCCTCCACTGAAAGTCTGCCTAGTGTAGAAACAGACGTTTATTACATAATTAAAAAAATATTTTTTTAATTTTGAAAGGAAAGCTTAAAATAAAATAATAAAAATAATAAATTAAAATATGGAGAGATTAAAGTAAATTTTTTTTGTATTTTTAGCAGTAGATATACGTAAAGGTATTTTATTAATTAATAATATTACTAGTCGTTTTTGTGTGACATAGGTATCTTTTTTGCTATTTTATTATTTTTTAATATTTTGACGATATTACTTAAAATATTATTTTTGTTAGTAATAATGAAGAAAATTATTTTAGAAAAAATAAAAAAAATATTTTTGGATTAAGCAGACTTTTTTTGTTAATTTAAGTACTTAAATAGGGTATGTGTGGTGTATATTGTGAGGCTTCCTTAATATTTTTAAAATTATTTTTAAAAAAATAAAAAATAAATTAACAATGATATCAAGTACAAAATTTAAAAATAAAAAAAATATTTTTTTTTGAAAATTAAAAAAAAATTTTTTGAAATTTTTTTGAAAAATTTTTGAAATTTTTAAAAAATTTTTAAAAATATTTTCAAAAAAAAAATTCAAAAAAATCCACTTGAAAGTACACAAAAATAGACACAAACTTGTTTTTACTTAAAATTATTGTAAAATTAAATAAATTTACAAATCCTTTTTAAAATAAAACTTGATTTTAAAATTGCCTTATTTTTTCAATTCAACTTGAATTAAATAAATAAAAATACAAAAGGAAATTTAAAAAAAATTTTGAACTAAAAATAAGTTTATCTAACAAAGTTGAGTTAGAAAAGGTTGGAAAATAAAAAAAGAATAATTGTAATTACAAATTGTAAAAAAAGTTGGAAAAAGGTTGGAAAATTATTAGTATAAAAGTAGTAGAAAAATTCCAACTTTAATTCATTCTAAAAACTTTAAAATAAACTTGAAAACTTGAAATATTAAAAATACAACCTTAAATTAAATAAACTTTTTACAACTTTAAAATAAACTTTAAATAAAACTTGCAAACTAAATAAATTTGCAACTTGAAATACAACCTTAAATTTAAATAAACTTTAAAATAAACTTGAAAACTTTAAAAAACACAAAAAAATACAGAAAAATACAAGAAAATACAAAAATATGTATTTTGCCAAAGTTTTATTTTTCTCCCTTATTTTTACAATTATTTTTCTTAATTTATGTATGACGACTAAAGCTGCGTCATTTAATGAAGAGTTTGTCTTAAAATATTTTTATTAATAATTCTTATTTTATCTTTAAGAAAGCCTCTACAAGTGCGCGAAAAACGCAACTACTATTATCCTTATAATAATTATTTTTATGGTAAATAAATAATTTTTTTTGAAAATTCTTAATAATTTTTGAATTAAATTAATAATTATTATTTTGTTAATTATTTGAAAAAAAAATTAATTTTTAATTTTAAAAAAATAGGTGGATATCCAGACAATGTGTTTTACCCGTATACCCGTCAAGTGTATTATAAAAGAATTGTTTATCCTAATTTGTATGGATATGGAAATTATTGGTAAAATGAAGAGAAATGAGTTAAATAAAGATTTAATTAATTAAAAATTTTTTTGAGAATTTTTAGAATTTTTTTTACATTTTTTGAATAAATTTTGTATTAAATAATTAATAAAAAAATTATTAAAATAATTAAAAAATACAAAAAAAATTATTTTTGAATTATTCTTCTAATTAAAATAATTTTTAATTAAAAAAAGACAAAAAAATAATAATTTTTAAAAAATTAATATTAAAATAAATTAATTGAATTCGTCATTTAATATAGTCAGTAAATATTAAATATAATTAATTTTAACTAAAACACAAAAATAAAACTTGAAAAACACAGAAAAATACAAAAAATACAATAATAATATTATTTTTAATAAACTTGAATTAATAAACTTTACAATTTGTAATTACAATTAGTAAATTGATTTTAATGAAAATAAACCTGTCCAAGTTTATTTAAATATGTATATTGTAATTACAAATTGTAAAAAGTTTATTAATTCAAGTTTATTTAATAAAATTTTATAATCTAATAAATAAACTTTTTCAACTTTTTCCAACTTGTTCAAGTTTATTTAATTAAATAAACTTGCCCAAGTTTGTTTCAGATAAAACTTATTTAATTTATTAAAACTTGCTAGTAATATTAAATTAATTTATTTTAAAGCATTTAAAGCAAGTCAATTTAAAAATCAATTAAAATAAATCAATTGCCACTCTATAAATAAAATAAATTTTATTTTTAATTTATTTTTTTATCTATTAATATTTTAAATTATTTCCTAGTCTAAAAAAATGATAATATTTCTTTTCAATTTTATGTCTTTCAATAATTAATTTAATGGAAACACTTTCTATGGAAATATATAAAATACATAAAAATGTTCCTATAAATGATACATCTTCAATTTTTATGTTGGTACTTTTTATTTTATTTAATTTTTTATTTCTGTTAAATTTTTATATTTTTAAAAATATTCCCATTCTTCTTCGACGATTTGTCACATTTTTGCCCTGCTGACATTATGTCGTATTTTTGCCTAGTTGACATTTTTAAAAATTTTTTCCCTATTGTCATTATGTCGTATGGCATTATGTCGCATTTTTACTTACTGACATTTTGTCGTAATTTTACCTGATTGGCATTATGTCATATTTCTGCCTTATTAACATTTTGTAAAAATTTTCCCGTGTGGACATTTTGTCACATTTTTGCCCGTTGACATTATGTCGCATTTATGCCGTGTTGGCATTATGTCGCAATTTCCCTTATTGACATTTTTCAATTTACCATTTTGTCTCTACATCACCATTAGTTATTTTGTTCTTTTGGTTATTTTTGTTTTTCTATAACCTTTATTTCTTTGTAGTCTCCTCATTTTTTATGGTATTTTTATTTTCATATTCTCTATTTTGTTTGTCTTTTTATTAAATTTTTCTATTTATTTTTCTCTATTTTTTAACAAATTTTGTATTGTTAGAGAATTTTTTTTTCAAAGTTTGCCCAATTATTCATTCGTTTCTTAGGGCAACCACTTTTTATTTTAAGAATTTCATAAAACTTTTCACTTTTCTTTTAAAGATTGTTCTCCTTTTGTTTTTAAATTTAAAAGAAAAGCTTTCCTTTTTTAGAAGCAATTCTTCAATGTTAAACGATGCTGCATCATCAAAAATTTCTTTAATGGAAGAACCTCAAGTTTCTGTTGCTGTTAATAATAATCTGTTGGAGGTTTGTTAGATTTTTTGATTTTAAAGGACAGTCAGACCTTACTTATAAGTACTATTAAGCTTCGTTCCCCCTCCCTTTTTTGCTTCTTTAAAAAGGCCTTTAATGAGCTATCAGTGATAGGCTGTCTTCCGTTTTTTTAAATACAGGCAGGATTCATTCTAGTGATCGAGATTTTTGAAAAGCCTGGACATGCTCCTGAGCTCTGGGGTTGATTTATTGACCTGAACCGGATCAAGTGCCTGTCGTTCAGGAAAACCCAGGAAGGTCAAAAAATGAATAGGCCTAGACTGGGTACAGCCAAACCAAGGTCCTGGTTCTGACACATCTCGATCTCTAGTTCATCCCTTGTTGATTTTCTTCTTCCATTCATTCAATTAGTCAGTAAAGGACTAGTAATCTAACGTGTAAAATTTAAACTGAGATATTTTTAGGGGCTAAAGTAACGGCCATCATGAGTTTTTTGAGAAAGGAAAGTAAGGAGAGGAGGGGAACGGATTGGAGAATTCATTTACTGAAAAATCACCCCTGATAATTTCCTTAAATTTGGTTGTCCTTGGGTTAGAATACCCATCCAATCGGAACCCTCTATTTAAGAGACACTCATGTTAAGATACGAAGTTTTTTAAGCCCCGTGGGTACATTTTATAATGAAGGTCTGACTTTATCATTTTTACAGCACAAGAATGGTGGTGGAGACAACCTTGTGGACTTCTACATTGGACTTGGATTGGCTATTAGTTCGAGTATATTTATTGGTTCCTCCTTTATTATCAAAAAAAAAGCTTTAATTAAATTGGCTAGTGTATCTGGTGATTATGCACAGAGGGCTTCTGAAGGGGGTTATGGATATTTGAAGGAATGGCTTTGGTTTGTTTTTTTTCTTTTTTTATTTGAAAGGTGTGTGTTGGGTAGATAAGCTTATTTCTCATTGGTACTTTGGGAGTATATTCCCGCATGTCCGCAAATGTTTGTCCGCAACTTTTCTTTTCTTTCATCTACCTTCTCTCAGAGATTAAAAATGGACTTGGAATTGTGATTGTGTCGGGTTACTCAAAACCTGGGCCCGTAGAATAAGAAGGTGGTTATGTTTACCTAACCAGCAACCGAGTTCTTATTCTACGGCCCTGAACTTATTTCTCAACCTGACCTTTTCTCTGTTAGGGACCCAGAACTTGAGAAGAATATTTATTTCAAGTGATGATCTAGATCGACTTTTAGTCATGGAGAAATCGGGGGCTGAATCCCTGCTGTTTTATTCCTCATTTTTGATTTTCTGTGGCTTTTGGTTATTAATACGTGGAAATTTGAAAAGTTCATGACCTTGCGTCTTTGGGGAAATAAAATTCTGAATCTGTCGATTCTCTATTCTAAAAAAATATTTTTCTAAATTAGGTGGATGGGCGTAATTACAATGGGAATTGGAGAAGCTTGCAATTTCGCAGCCTATGCTTTTGCTCCAGCAAGTTTAGTAACTCCAATGGGGGCTTTGGTTTGTTTTTCCTCTTAATTTTTTTTATTTTTGAATTTAGAGTGTTCTAGTAACCGCTGTCCTTTCCTCTCGAATGCTTAAAGAACGCTTAAATTTATTGGGAAAAATTGGATGTGCAATTTGTTTGTTGGGTTCAACTTCTATTGTTATTCACTCACCTAAAGAAGAGGAAGTCTCGTCTATGAGAGAATTGGCGGAGAAAATGAGAGATCCAGGTTGTGTTTTTAAGGGGGACATTTTTTGACTTAAAATTATTCGAACGGTTCTTTGGAGTTATAGGCCAAAAATTCAACCATGTCAGCTGTAGATTATGGTCGTTTTCCTATTGACAAATTTTTTTTAAAGCAATTGGCTTGTTTTTTGATAATTATAGACCAGGGCTCAAATCTCTTTTGTTTCTGGCTTCTTCCTACTTTTTTGGTCCTACCGTCTTTGCCTTGCTTTTCTACTCTCTTCTGTTTTCTTCTGCTTTCTGTCTTTTTATTTTTAGATATGGACCCTATAGACCTTCAAAATTGGATACTTTTTGGAGATTCTTCCTCTGCTTTCCTTTAATTTTTTTCAAAAAAAATTCTTTTTTTTCAGTATTCATCACCTACGTAGCTGTAGTTTTTGCTATAACCCTAGTTTTTGTGTTTTATGCCGCTCCTCGTTATGGCCATACAAATATTCTTGTATACATTTCAATATGTTCATTAATTGGATCTCTGTCAGTTATTTCTGTTAAAGGACTTGGATTGGCAATTAAAGAAAGTATTACTACAAAAGAACAATTTACTAATTGGTTTGTTTCGGAAAAAATTTTTTTGGGGGAATTTTTCGATTTTTTTTTGTGTCTTCTAAAGTCTTGGCTGTTCGCATTAAGGCCGTAACCAAAATTTTTTCGGGGGAAGGGGTAGGAGCAAGGTGGGAAAATTTTTGTGCGCCGAATTTTCGGGTGGATTCCCTTTGGCTATGGCCCTGGTCCGCATATTTTATTGTAGATTTTTAAAATTAATTGAGTAACGTGTAGCTAACCTACATTTTTGTTAGTCTAGTAATTCCCCTCCTTTCTTTCATTTAAAAAATTTTTTTCTTAAAAGGTTAACATGGTTTTGGTTAATTGCTGTTCTCTCCTGTATATCAATTCAATTAGTTTATTTAAATAAATCTTTGGATATTTACAATACTTCTATGGTTTTCTTTTAAATTTTTTTATTTAAAATTTTTTTAATTAATTGTTCGTCCTAAATCGTGTCCTTTGGCTTTCCTTGAACTTAAGTCGAGTTTAAAGCTTTTTTAGGTCCACTGTCTTTTTTCATTTCAAAATTGATTTCAAAATTCATTTTCTTTAAAGGTTAAGACTCTCGTTTTTTGGGGAAAACTCTCGTTTTTATATATTTAAAATATCACCGTCTAGGTTTCAAGATTCACCGTCTAGGTTTTCAGATTTTCAATTTGCCTGTTTAATCTGACTTATATTTTGGGATGGAAGGAACTTGTAATATTATTTTCACATATTTTTCCTTTAGAAATATTTTTACCGTTAAAAAAATTTTTTTCGTCATCTTAAATATTAAAAAATTTATTTTTTTATTTTAAAGGTAACACCAATATATTATGTTTTCTTTACAAGTTTTGTAATTTTGGCTAGTTCAATATTGTAAGTTTTTTTACATTTTAATTTTAAAAATTTTTTTTTGTAGATATAAAGAATGGTCATGTTTGGGTGCAAGTGATGTAATTGGGAATGTTATTGGATTTTTGACTACAATTATTGGAATATTTCAAGTAAATCATTATTTTTTTTAAATTTTGGTTGACCACTGGGTAGGGGGTAGGAATATTTCAAGTATAGATAATTAATTTTTTTAATTCTGGTTGACCACTGGATAGGGGGTTTTAAGCTCTTGTTTTTATATACTCGTAGAAAGCTCTATGTATTTAATTTAAAATTTGTTCACCAGTGTGGGTGAGGGAGCTAGTTACTTAAGCGATATAGCCGTCTCAAGTGATGGAATCGTTCCAGTTCCAGAACTGGAACTGAAGAAATTCAAAAAGCAGTTCCAGAACTGGAATCGGTTCCAGAGAAATTTAGCAATTTTTCCATCACTGGCCGCAATCCTTATTCAATATACCCCTCATTATAAAATTTAAGCTTTTACGACTCGTGGAGATATTCTCATATAAGGGAGAGTCAATTGTATTTTCCTTTCAATTTTTTCTAATTTAAAAAAATTTTTTTTGTTTAAAGATGCAATTATTCCGAGATATAGAAATTGGTTCAATTAAACGTTTCCGTTTATTGTGTTCAACAAATCAATATATAAGAAATTCATCTCAACACCAACACCACCAACAACAACGTGAACATAATCGAAGTCCAACAGGTAGTGTAACAAGTAGTATTTCTAGAGTTGATGCTGTAATGTCCGAAGTTGGTTAATTTTTTGAATATTGAATTTTTTGTGGAATATACTAAAGTTGAATCTCCCCTTATGATTAACTTACTAAAGGGATTGGAGAAAATATTTTTAAAGCAATTTGTTAAATTTAAAAGCCAATTTTAATGAGAATTATTACTCTGGGACAGGACCGACCCTGTCTTGAGAGGCTAGTTAAATATTGAAGTTTATAATTTCTGTAAATGCTCTAATTAAAACCATGGGCGTCTATTTTTCAATAGGACAATTTTGGGTGGGCTTGTATTAGATATGGGCTTCTAATAGAGCCGAGCTTTAATTAGAGCATTTACTGGTGAGATTCAACTTATATTTAAAAAAAATATTTTTTTGGAAGGAGAATAATTAGGAGATGAATGGAAAAATATTTATAGAAAAAAAATTTTTTTTTTCTGAGAATTTTTTGAGAGGATTTTGTTTTTTGTGTGACTGCCTGTAAAATAGTAAAGTAGTTCGTTTTCTCCTTCCAAAATTTATAAAATTTTATTTGAATTTTTTCTCTCATCCTTTAAATTAAAAAAAATTTTTTTTTGCTTGCAGTATATTCCCCATTTATTAATTTTTCTTTTTTTTTAATTTTATAAAATTATTTTTTTTTAAGTCAAATCTCTCCAAAAAATTTTTTTTATTTTTCTAGTTTATAATTAATTAAAATAATTTTTAAAAATGAGAGAGATTTTATTTTTTAAATATGTACTACTACAATTTTAGCTCATTATATTGGCCATTTTGTATATTCAAAAACTCTTTTTTTCTATAATTGTATTTTATTTTTAAAATATATTCCAATTTTTGACTAAAAAATAAATTTAAGAAATTTTTTAAATTAGAGAATCTAAATTAATTTTTTTTTAAATTTTTAGTAAGAAGAAATTTTTTTTAAAATATTTTTAAAATAAAAATTTTTATTCACTTCCTTTAATGGAAAAATTAAAAAAAATAATTTTAAGTAAACTAAAAATTTTTTTATAACAATGTCAAGGTGAAAAGAACAATACATAGTAGAAAATATTTAAAAAAATTTTTTAAATTAAAAATATCTAAAATTAAAAAAAAAGAAAAAATAAAATAATAATTTTTATGAGAGAGAGAGAAAGTGTAAGGAGTATTATTTTTATTTATTTTTTTTAAATTTTGGAATTTAAAGGAGAGTAATTTTTTAATCTTTTTGGTGGTCATTTAAAAAAAAATAAAGAATTAAAAAATTAAAAAAAATCATTTTTTATTCTGTCCACAGTTTGACCCGTTCAATTAATTAATTAATTTTTAATTTAAAAATTATCGCGATGAAATTGTTGTCCACTAAAAGAAGCAGAAGGTTGCTGTTTATTTAATTGTTTATTTCCTTCACTTTCTTCACTAAAATTACTTGAAGAATATCTTTGATTACTTGTGGAAGCATTCCCCCCTCCTCCTCCAATTTTTAAATTTCCTCCACTATTTAAATATAATTGTGTCAATGTTTGTGAAGGCTGTGCTGCCAACTGTCGTAAAGAGGAGCCTAAACATTCTGAACCGAGATGCCGGAAAGGTTCGAATTGTGAAACCTGAGAAAAAGAAAAAAAAATTATTTGTAAATTAAAAATAAGAAAATTAAACTCTTCCGGAAACTATATTTACAAACTAGAGAATTAATTATTTTATTTTTACAAACTAGAAATTAAATATAGTTCCGGAAAAAATATAAAAAGTTAGATTGTAAAAGGTTTCCGGAAAAATATATTTACAAACTAGAATATAAAACCTTCCGGAAAGAATTAATTTCGTTTGTTTTGCAAACCTGAAACTAAATATTTCCGGAAAAAGTTAAAAGCTAGATTGTAAAAACTTATCCGGAAAAATATATTTACAAACTAGAATATAAAACTTTCCGGAAAGAATTAATTTTGCTATTTTACAAACTTAAATATTTCCGGAAAAAGTTAAAAATTATATTGTAAAAGGTTTCCGGAAAACCATTTACAAACTAGAATATAAAACTTTCCGGAAAGAATTAATCTTGCTATTTTTACAAACTAGAATATTAATTCCGGAAAATATATAAACTATAAATATACAAACTTTTCCGGAAAATATATGAACTAAAAGACTTTTCCGGAAATAATTTTACAAACTAGAATATTAATTCCGGAAAATATACAAACTAGAAAACTTTTCCGGAAAAATAAAAACTAATTTATATATTTACTTGTGCAACAATTCTAGAAAGTTTTGATGGTTGTGTTGAACTTTGACAACAATGATCTTTTAATGCATTAATATAAGTTGAATTAAAACGTTCAACGGAAGTTTGGGTAATCATTCCAGAAATACTTGGTCCAACTTTAAACATTTGTAAAACAATCAAAGAAGCTAAACAAGGAATATCCCAGTCAATAAGCATCCGAAAGTTGTGGGCAACTGCGGTAACTTCACAAAACCATTTACGCCATTCTACAGGTAATTCATCTGTTTTGAGACAAATGCCGCCTTCAAACCAAAAGTCTTCTGACAATTGTGCAGTCCTTTGAAAAATACAATAATTAAAGATCAGGAAAGTAAATGTTTCCGGAAGATAGGTATGTACATACAAAACAGAAAATAAATTCCGGAAAATATATTTACAAACTAGAAAGTTTCCGGAAACAATTTTGTACACTTACAAACTTGAAAATAAATATTCCGAAATATTCCGGAAAGTTTAAGGGGAATATTTGCAAACTTAAATATTTTCCGGAAATGTTTTCTACACCTTCCGGAAAACATTTATAAACTTAAACGTTTTCCGGAAATTATTTAAATGGTATCCGGAAAATATTTGCAGACTTGATTATTTCCGGAAATTATAGTTTTCCGGAAAATTACAAACTTAAAAATTAATTTATAGCTTTCCGGATAATGTTTACTATTTTCCGGAAAACATTTGCAGACTTAAATATTTTCCGGAACTATTTATTATATATTTTATTACTTTAATTCAGCCCAACGAAACGCCTGACGAACAGCAAAAATAGGGAAAAAGTTGTGGAGTATAAGTAAACGCAACTCTGCTTCATTCAATTCTACAATATCGGGTATTCGACGAGCAAATCCCCAAATATTTTGAAGTTCCAATTCCAATATAGAACAAAACTCATTTAAAGATAAACGTTGCTTCTGAATATTCAAAAATTTTTTTTTTAATTTTTCCAAATTTTTTTTACAATTTCTCTTCTGCATGCCGTATTAAGTTTCCCATGTATTTCATTAAAAGCTTTAGAAATAATTGTTAAAATAGGAAGAGGTGGACTTTGAGCAGGTTCAGGTTGCCCTAAAGTAGACATTTGAAAAGAAGTTGAAGATGATGGGGAAGTAATTGAAGAACTTTTTACTTTAGAAGGAAGACGTCCTCTACGCCCTGTCAAACTGCCAAAACGGACAATCTTGAAAAAATACTTTTTTAATTAAAAGAAATATTTTTTAGTACCTCTCGAACCATTCCAACATCCAAACATTTTTGAAAACGACAATATTGACAACGTGAACGATATTTTTTGTCAATTCTAAAATGAAAAATTAAATTTAAAAATTAAATTTTTACAAAATAAAAACTTACGGGCACTTTTTTTCGCCAGCACAAACATATTGTGACTTTTTCTGTACGGTTCGTTTGAAGAAACCTTTACATCCTTCACAAGTTAATGCTCCATAATGTTGACTTAAAAACATTATTAATAAGACTTGAAAATCATAAACTTAAGAATTAAACTTTCCGGAAAAGTTTGCAAACTTAAATAATAATTTAATTTTCCGGAAAAGTTTGCAAACTTAAATAATAATTTAATTTTCCGGAAAAGTTTGCAAACTTAAATAATAATTTAATTTTCCGGAAAAGTTTGCAAACTTAAATAATAATTTAATTTTCCGGAAAAGTTTGCAAACTTAAATAATAATTTAATTTTCCGGAAAAGTTTGCAAACTTAAATAATAATTTAATTTTCCGGAAAAGTTTGCAAACTTAAATAATAATTTAATTTTCCGGAAAAGTTTGCAAACTTAAATAATAATTTAATTTTCCGGAAAAGTTTGCAAACTTAAATAATAATTTAATTTTCCGGAAAAGTTTGCAAACTTAAAGATTATTTAATTTTCCGGAAAACATTTACAAACTTAAATATTAATTTAATTTTCCGGAAAAGTTTGCAAACTTAAATATTAATATAATTTTCCGGAAGACATTTGCAAACTTAAAAAATATTTAATTTTCCGGAAAGGGTTTGCAAACTTAAATATTAATTTAATTTTCCGGAAAAGATAGCAATCCTTAAATATTAATTTAATTTTCCGGAAGACAATATTATTACAAACTTAAAATTAATTCCGGAAAATATAAAAATTACAATACATTATAATCCAATTTATGAATTAATTTTTATAAATTCTAACCAAACAGCGTAGTCATTACAAACAGCACAAATCTTAGATTCATCCACTTGAGAAAATTCGTCATCCATTTGATGATGAGAGGATGATGTAGATGGTGATCCTCCACTAATAAAAGCAGCTTGTCCACCAACATTTTGACATATTCCTGTATTTGATGAAGACGTGACTGCTGTGGATGTGGAAGAAAATGCTGCAGACAACATTGCAGCAGATAAAGGACTGCCACGGATAGATTGAGGAAGATGAGGAACAACAGAAGTCATTGCTGAAGGTGGAATTTGTGAGATAATGTTAGTTCCACCTTGAACGACATTAATATGTTGTGGATCTTGTGGAGTGGTAGAAAACATTCTTTATGAAAAAAAATAAATTTAAGAAATACATATAAAAATAAAATAAAAATAATAACAAGCTTAAGAATTTATTTTTCCGGAAAATGTTTACAAACTTAAAATTATTTTTATTTTTCCGGAAAATGATTACAAATTTAAAAATTAATTATAATTTTTCCGAAAAATATTTACAAACTTGAAAATTAATTTAAATTTTTCCGGAAAATATTTACAAACTTGAGATTAATTTTTATTTTCCGGAAAATATTTACAAACTTGAGATTAATTTTTATTTTCCGGAAAATGTTTATAAACTTGAGATTAATTTTTATCTTTCCGGAAAATGTGACAAACTTAAAAATTAATTTTACTTTTCCGGAAAATGTTTACAAACATAAAAACCTACCCTTCAAATCCTCTCATTAAATTTGCCGCCGATGTTTGTTGTGCAACTAAAGCAGAAGCTTCCATAAAATGTTGTTGTTGTTGTCCAGCCATAGTTAATATAGAAGGGTTGTGTTGTTGTTGTCTTTGTTGATTCATTGTTGTAACAACCGAACAACTTATAGTCTGACGTCTTTGTTGTTGTTGTGAATATGTTGGTTGATGTTTTTGTTGTTGGGGATGTTGGAATTGTGACATTGTAAATTGTTGTTGTAATTGTAAAGGTAATTGCATTTGTGATAAAGAATTTCCGGAAATTAGAGATGTTGGGGAGAGAGACGAAGAAGAAGAAAATGGGGGAGAGGTTGTTGCAGAAAGTTCAAAACTAAAAAAATAAGAGAAATAAATTCAAGTTTGCGAAATAATTATTTATATTACTGTATTTTATTTAAGTTTATTAAACTTTCCGGAAACTTAAAAGTTTTTAATTATTCCGGAAAAGTTTACAAACTTAAAAAATAAATTATATCTTTCCGGAAAATATTTACAAACTTAAAAATTAATTTATCTTTCCGGAAAATATCTCAAATGTTTAATCTTTCCGGAAAATGTTTACAAACTTAAAAATTAATTTATATATTTCCGGAAAATGTTTCATTTTCCGGAAAATGTTTACAAACTTAAAAATTAATTTATCTTTCCGGAAAATATCTCAAATGTTTAATCCTCCGGAAAATGTTTACAAACTTAAAAAATAAATTATATCTTTCCGGAAAATATTTACAAACTTAAAAATTAATTTATCTTTCCGGAAAATATCTCAAATGTTTAATCTTTCCGGAAAATGTTTACAAACTTAAAAATTAATTTATCTTTCCGGAAAATATCTCAAATGTTTAATCCTCCGGAAAATGTTTACAAACTTAAAAAATAAATTATATCTTTCCGGAAAATATTTACAAACTTAAAAATTAATTTATCTTTCCGGAAAATATCTCAAATGTTTAATCCTCCGGAAAATGTTTACAAACTTAAAAAATAAATTATATCTTTCCGGAAAATATTTACAAACTTAAAAATTAATTTATCTTTCCGGAAAATATCTCAAATGTTTAATCTTTCCGGAAAATGTTTACAAACTTAAAAATTAATTTATCTTTCCGGAAAATGTTTCATTTTCCGGAAAATGTTTACAAACTTAAAAATTAATTTATCTTTCCGGAAAATATCTCAAATGTTTAATCCTCCGGAAAATGTTTACAAACTTAAAAATTAATTTATAACTTTCCGGAAAATGTTCTATTTTTCCGGAAAATATTTACAATCTTAAAAATTAATTTATATCTTTCCGGAAAATATCTACTAAAACTTACAATCTTCCGGAAACTATTTACAAACTTAAAAATTAATATAATTATATTTTGTTCTCTTACCCTCTTAATAAAAATGCTGGATGTGTTGCTGGAAATAAATTTTTGTAAGGTGACCAAGAAGGAAATGGAGTTGTTTGTGTTGATGTTATTGTATTACTGTTATTATCAGTATTATTTGTAGTAACCAAAAGTTCTTGTTTAATTGAAGAAGAAACTTCAGGTATTAATGGGCGAAAGGATGAACTAGCTTCGCTTTGTTGTTGATCCTCCATTAGTCTACTACTGGTGGCTGACTGTTTTTCAACTGATTGAGATTTTCTCTGAAAAAAAAATATTTTTTTTTAATTTATTGAAAAAAATATTTTTCTACCCTAAACATAAAGTAAATTTTATTTAATTAATTTTATAAGAAAATTTGGAAACTCTAGTTTGGTCTATTAAATTAATGTATACATATTTATTTGCATTAAATTTTCTCCTATTTATGTATTATTTTAAATACTAACATAAGCTTTAAAAAATAATAATGACACTATTGTAATTTAAAGGACACCTAAATAACGTCAAATAAATATTTATTAGACAATCAAAAAAATTTTTTTCTTAATTTTTTTTGTTCTAGAAAATCTCGAAAAGATGAAGAAAATAAAAATTAAAAAATATAAATTAATTACATCATCAAAAATTTAATTTTTAATGTGCGCAAAATTTAAATACAACGGCCAAGCTTGAAAAATTAAAAAAAAAATTTTCTTGCGCACAAAAAAAAATTTTTTTTTCTCTCACTTTCTCTTTTTGGATTAAAAAAGCTTTATAGGCGCAAAAATGTTTCCCTCTTTAGCTGACAGGATTATATATATTGCTTTGACTGGAAAACCTTTTTACCTTATTTTTATTTATAAATAGTCGCGCACCGTTCAGGGCTTCTCCTTCTCTTAATATTTAAAGAAAGTAAACGAAAAAAGCGTCACTAAAAGGGAGAAAACTAAAAAAAGGTTAAGAGAGAGACTGACTGACGTTATTAAAAGTCTAATCCATTAAGGGAATAAAAAATAAAATTTAATAAAAAATGGCAGAAGATAAACGACCAAAACATGTAACGGATCATGAATGGAAAGAAAGAAAAAAAGGCGGCACAAAAAATAAATGTTTTTATTGGACTGCTAAAAGCTGCTGAATTATTAGAACCCATTAATAAATTAAATATTATAGTACAGACTTGTACAGTTAATCTATGTTTTTGTGGGGGAACTTAATGGATCGTATAAAGATAAATTAAAAACAGAGCTATTTTTGGAAGAAAAACAGTAGTTTGGTTTAGAGATTAGAAGGAGACGAGAACTTGTTATTTTAAAATCTTGGTTGCCTTAAAAATATTTTTTTGTTGATACCGACCAGGCTGGAGAATTTTGAATTTTAAAAAGGCGGAAGACGGAAGCGGAAAGCTAAAAAAAAAGCGGAATTCTGCAGAAGAAGGAAGCGGATCCAGCTCTGATTTTGATTTGATTCAGTCCTTAATCAGGTATCTAGTTTAGGGCATGTCGCCTATATCGAGTGTCTGTTTAGGAAAGTTTTCAGCCCTGATTTTTATTTGATTCAGTCCTCTGATCCGGTCTCTAGTTTAAGAGATAAAAAAATTGAGCTAGAAATGCAGAGACCCCTCCAAAGAAAGACACCTCTCATATAAATAAAAATGTCGCCCATATCGAGAGTCTGTCTAGGAAAGCTTTCAACCAAGCTATCTACTATAGAACAGAGCATTCTCCAAAAAAATTCTGATGAAATTACAGCTAATTTGTCACAGTTTAAAAAGGAAGAGTGTTCATAAAAACAGAGTAGTCTACCTTAGAGATCAGAATGAGACAAGATTCTTCTTGTTTTTATTTAACTCGTGGCTTTTTTAGGAGATAAATCTTCCTTTTAAAAAACAAGGGATAAAATTCGTTATTTAAATTAATACAGAATATATAAATAAAATAAATTTACTTTTATTTATACCTTTCCTTATCCATCTTTTCCCTTTACTTTTTTTTGCTAAGCACCACCCTCTTTTTTAATAAAAATATTTATTATTTTTATTAAAATTAGGCCCAGTTCCTTGTTTAGTGTTCAAAATAATTAACCGAATTGATAGGGAAGGGTAGGAGAGAAAAGGAGATTTAGTTGGATTAGCGGGGGTGGAAGGAGGAGAGGGGGGGGAAGATTAGCGGGGGTGAAAATAACTGAAGAGCAAAAGTATATATAGAAAATTAGCCAATAAAAAAAGTAAAAAAAAAGTAAAGTATTTAACCCAATCGGATTTTGAAAGTGTGGGAGGGGATATAAAGCAAAAAAGTGATTTTTTTATATTTGAAGATTTTTGTAGTTTTTTAGAGGATTTTAATAATTCCACCCTCATTTTTGGAAAATATTTGAGTTATAATTGATATTTTTATTTTAAGAAAAATCTTAATTATTTGAAGAATTAATGTGTGGGAGAGGTAGGCGGTTTAATTAATTAAATCAGAATTAAGTTTACAAACTTGAGTTTATATAAAAACCAGAATTAAAACCAGAATTAAAACTTAAAAGACAAACTAAGTATCAAGTTGGGAATAATTCTGTTTTAATAAAAATCAGAATTAAAATCAGAATTAAATATTATCTCAAGAAAACCCAGAATTCTGGATTTAATAAAAACCAGAATTAAGTCTAAATCAGAATTCTGATTTAAACTAAATCAGAATTTTGGACTTAACCTAAATCAGAATTATGATTTAAATCAGAATTCTGGTTTTTAAATAAATCAGAATTTTGTTCAAATCAGAATCCTATTTTTAAAATAAACCAGAATTCTGGTTTTAATAAAAACCAGAATCAAGTCTAAATCAGAATTCTGGTCTCTAAATAAATCAAAATTCTGATTTTAAAAACATTTGACACTAACCCAGAATTATTATTTAAATTAAAGTTTACAAACTTAAGTTTATCCAAGTTTATATTTATTTAAAAAATAATCAGAATTAAAATCAGAAATACTCCAATAACACATTTGTTTTATTAAATATATGCAGCGGTCATTTTTACTGTCTACATATTTTTGCTCATTTTTTTTTATTTTTTAAAAATTTCTGCTGACCATATCGCAACATCTCTTCCTTCCTTCACCTTTTATTTATTTAAATTAATTTTTTGTATTTTTGTTTTTTTAAAATTCTCTCTTCAAAAAAATTTATCGTCATCATCTTTTTAGCTTTTAAAGGGTTTTTAGTATTTAAATAAATTTTTTTATTCAATTTTTTGCTACTCCTTTTAGTATAAAATAAAAAATAATTTTTTTTTGGTGACGGATGTTGCGATGAAGGAAGGAAAGGGGGAAAAATTAAAAAGGTTGTTTTTACAGTTTTTGTAATGCTTATGCCTAAAGACAATGTTTTGTTGACTAATCAGATTGAAAGGGAGGAAATAAATAAAAATAAAAATTGTGATTTGAAGTGAGTAAAAAGGAGAGGGAAAACAAATTAAGATTAAAAAAATAAATAAATTTGTTAATAATTATTAGTTGTAAGCATTTGTTTATATAATTATTAGTTGTTTTAAATTAATGTTTTACAAACTTAAAAATAAGTAATTAAACTTAAATTTGCAAAATATTAATATTACAAACTAGAAGAAAAAATTATAAGATTACAAACTTTCCGGAAACGTTTAATATTACAAATCTTCCGGAAAAGATAAAATTACAACTTTCCGGAAATAAATAAATAAGATTACAAAGATTCCGGAAACAATTAATATTTCAAGTTTTCCGGAATATGTTTGTAAATTGCAAACCTTCCGGAATAAAATAAGATTACAAACTTAACGGAAAAAATAAATTAAAAACATTTAAAAGCTTTCCGGAACATATAAAATTACAGAATCCAGGAAATATAAATAAAATTACAAACCTTCCGGAAATATTTAAAATTACAAACTTAACCAGAAAAAACTAACTTTATAAACTTTCCGGAAAAAATTATTTCAACCCTTCCGAAAACAAATACGAATATTTAAGTTTACAAACTTAAATATATTAAAACCTCTCCGGAAAAATATTATAATAATTTTTTTAGCTTTCCGGAAATATTAAAATACAAAAAAATTAAACTCACATCTTCATCAATTAAAGTATCAATAATTTGTCTGAGTAATTGATCATCAGCCATAGAATCTTCTTGTTGTTGTTCTACAGTATTTAATGTTTGTTGTTGTTTGTCTTGTTCTGGAGATTGTCCAGCCCCAAATAATTCGTCCATTGAAAGACTTTCGAGTGAACGAGATAATTGTTGTTCAAAATGTCCAAGTGGCGGGTTCTGCAAAAATTATTTATTTTTTTAAAAACAATTATTATATAATTACTAAAAAAATTTCTTTTTATAAAAGTTTTTGTTCACGCCTTCTCTTGCAAAAAACATAAAATACCACAAAAACATTAAAAAACGACAATAGACCAAAAAAATGACGTTTTGGTAAAAATAAGATTTTTAAAGATTTGTATTGTATGAAGGGTGTTTTGCAATATTAAAAATTTTTTGGAACCTTTTTTAGTTGTTTTTAGTGTTTTGGTGTTTTTATGTGATACTTTAATGGTTTAAAAATTGCACCATTTTTAAAATAATGTTTCTTTATGTTTTTGTTTTTGAATTATGATATTCCCAAGTTTTTTAAGTTTGTAAATTAAAGTTCAATAATTTTATAAAAACATATTTTATTAATATTACAAACTAGAAGAAAATATTATAAGATTACAAACTTTCCGGAAAATATAAAATTATAACTTTCCGGAAATAAATAAGTTTACAAAGATTCCGGAAACAATTAATATTTCAAGTTTTCCGGAAATGACTAAGTTCACAAACTTAGCAGAAACTTTAATATAACCAACCTTCCGGAAAATATTTTTTTTCAAACCTTCCGGATTTAAGATTACAAACTTAACAGAACTATAAAACAAACTTTCCGGATATCTAAAAAATTATTTAAACACTTCCCGAGATAAATAAGACTACAAACTTTTAGGTTGTTTTTTTAGGTTGTTTTTAAGAAATATTGTTTTGTTTTCAAATTTATTTTTAAGTTTGTAAAATACCAACTTTTTTGTTCAATTAAATTTTACAATTATGTTTTTACAATTTATTTTCTAAAAACTCACTCTAGAAATAGACGCCGTTGCTACAGTTGAAGTTTGTTCTGTAGAGGAAGAATCTCTGGAAGTTGTTGTTTGTCCTTCTGAAACAGAATAAACAGAAGAACGTCGTCTATGGAATGTTTGAAAGTTCGAAACAAATTGAGAACTTGTAACAGACGGGAATTGAAGAGATATTTGGTCAGAAGGAGGTTGGGGAGGGGTTAAGGGGG